TACATTAATCAATCACTGAAACATCATTCAGCCCACCAGAGTAGCAGCATCCAAGCATCTAATTGCTACTGTTCAAGGAAGAGATGATATTGGATCTTATGTAAACAAAGAAGTAACCATGGTAACTGTATAACAGCAGCAACATGAGTGTGCGTGTGATGGAAATTAGGATTTCTGTATTGTGGTTTGCTAATTTGAGACATCCTATAATGTGCTAAAAGAATTTTCTCCTTGAAGATGGGTTTCCCAAACATCAAATTCTAGGATATTGCTGTGACTGATATACTTAAGGTCATTAATGTAAATATAGTGCTTTCATGAATTTATGTCAATAGTGCACTATAAGTTCTTTTTTAAACACCCTCCCATCCATGATACTCATTTATGTGATAACAAGCTGCAGCCAACATAGTTAAAGATGAAGTTGAGTTCTGGTCATGCAATTGCATTGTGAAAGAAACGGTGTGGAATCTATCAGAAAAGATTGATCATCTAGCATATAAGAATTTGTGTGTATTGCAAGGTTCTGGAATCATCAAAATGATAAGAAATTTGGCCAAGTCTTGGTAAAGTTACAAACACTGTACACAGAAAGATGTATATGGGACTACACGAACACGTGGCGTAAAAATCCTACCCCCGAGTTTTACGATGTTACATGATTATTTAGAATATGAAGGCATTTGAAGAGCCATGCTTTTCAGGGAACATGTCTTATCTGATGTTCTTCCACACTTGCATAATAGGAATGATAACGCTCACAAATAATTTTTCACCTCTTCCCAGAACTCAACCTTCTCTTTAAGTTCTTTTTATTTTTCCTGACTCAGTTTCATCCAAGATGCCCCTTATAAGGACAGAGCTCATGTCATAAGCACTTTTTAAGTTTATTTGTCTGTCTGTGATGTGAAAAGCATTGTCTCATTCGTTGTCACGTACCTGTGTTACTCATCAGCAAATGGCTGAGAAAAAGAACATAAGGTACTGTTTGGTAGGTGATGTCAAGGGATCGAGGTTATTTTGAAATCATGACTAAACCTTCAAAAGAATGAGGTAGTTGTGATCTTGAGATGATTCGGTAAAGCTGCTGGGGGATGTTTCACAAAGATCCTGAGATGAACTTATCTTTAAGTTGGACTTAATATTTATGGAAAGCTGTTTGAACATATTAGTAAAATTTATTTTAAAAGGCATACAATGTTGATTCAAAACATTCATATGTTCTATTATAAAGGAGATTTCATGTTCTAGTTGTAGAATTAATGAAAAGTCTAAAATATTTGAATTTTTGCTTTTAATATATTTTATTTTAAGGCTACAAATGGCTCTCCATAATAATTAAGTCCAACATAGAGATAAGTTTGACTTAGGATCTTTGTGAAACACCCCCTGGACAATGTTAGGATAGACTGAAAAAAATACTGATAGGATTTATCTCTTTCCAGTTTGTAATGGATAATTGGCATGTCCAAATGGTCCAAGTGATGAAGCTAAAGTCCAATGGTTATGAATATATCAAGAATAGAAACTAAAATGAAAATATTTGACAAATTATCTGTGTCATTTCAATTATATTTGAAATAATGCATATATTGTGTAGTATTCAGTAACAAAATATATAGGCCTAGTTTGGATGCCTGCCATCATGTCATACGGTAGATGACATGATTTCCAAGTGTTACAGTTTTAATTTTGGGAATAGGGCTAACTCTAAACAAACGAATAAAGAAGTGCTTTTCATCTGGTCTTCTCATATTAACTAGGAAATGAGACTTCAGTATTGATAGGGATATGAAGGCAATGAGCAATGACATGTGTCCAGCTAGTAGGTTGGTTTGATACTACAGGAACAGGAAAAGTCCAAGTAGGTTACAGAGACCATCTTAAAATAACACACAGCTGGAGACGGTAGCCAGAGTAAATTTATAACAGCTTTCTACATCTCTGTTTTTAACCATTAACCTCAACCATGGAGCTTGATGTACGGGAATTAAATAATTTTACTATGTTAACAGAACTTTACTCTCCTGGTTTGTTAATATTTTGTAATTCAGGCTACTCCTTTATTTTATATTTTTAAGTGACATTTGGGGAAAATGTGAATAATGTTCCTGATGATTTAAATTTAACTAGTGGTTATCTTAAATGCATTATCTTAATTTATGTCACATGATAATTTTGTATCTTTGAATTTCTTTTGAATTAGAAAGTAATCAGCTAGTGTCTTTTAAAAGTGAAATAATACAAGACATTTGATCCCTGTGCAAATGGAGTGACTTTTTGATGAATTGTTTAGTATTTAGTGGCCTTCTTTTTCCTTTATTTTGTTTATGAATACTATTTTTTTCTCCAATCCTTATTCCATTCAAAATAGGGCATGGAAATTAGAAAATATGAAAATCCATGATGTATTTCAGTACATGCTCTATAAAAACAAATAGTTTCTACACGGGTCAATCTTCAGCCATATTGGTAAAAGATTTGATTCCTTCAAACTGGGCAGGAAGCCCTCTCCTCTGCTGTCACATCCAATATACATGAGGAGGGGGCCTCCCTTACCAGCCCCTTACTCTCTTGTACAAGGTTTGGTTTCTGTTCTTACTTCCTACCCCCTCCTCTGACTCACCTCCTCCCCAGTGGGCACAGACCCCTTATCGCCTACCCCCATCAGCGTCATTTTAACTCAGGCAATCAAAACATGCTCACTACCATACCAAAGGCAGAGGTGGTAAATAATATATTTTCTGTCAGAGAAAGAGAGAAAGGGGATTTGGATGTTGAGCAATACAAACATTAACAAATCTGTGGTTAATATCAAAAAGGAAATAGAATATTGACATTTTAACCACTAAAGAATCAGCAGGAATACAGAGTTAGAAATAGCATTTTGAATGGATATTCATGCTCATAAATGAAGAAAGGTGGTAGTTTGCTTCTTAATTCAACAAAATCTTTCATGTAGATGATAGTGTTACTCCTACAAGTTACAATATTTTGGTATGGTGATTATAGATGAGTTATTGCATTACTGCCTTGGTAGGTAAATAGATTTGGAGATCTGTAGATAAATGATGTAGGATGGAAATGTTAAAAAGGGGGTTGTATTCCAAACATAGAACCAAGAACGTATCATGTAATAGACAGGATGGATTAATGAAAAGATAATACAATTAGCTCGCTATACTTAATGTGTCTGGTAGGGAGATTGGAGACACCCAATAATTTGGTCGCTTCTGCCAAATAATCTAATCTTCTACAAATATGATTTTATTCTGATTCACAGACATGTAGATGAAAGCTAAGATTTATAGACTAACCTAATATTGTTTGACAGGACTGTATCCTACTTCCTAAGTTTGATAAGGAGGTTTGACATTCAGAAAAATATTTCAGGGACCTTTTTGTTATGACTAGACTCAATGAAATCATATTGTAGTTGACTTTTATAGAAATCAGCTGGATTCTAAAAAAATAACTATTGTGCTATTTGACTGAAGGAAATGATTTCATTATATCAAAAATAGAACTTTGTGTATCATTTTTATTAGCATATTAGACTACCATATTCCTGTTCTATCCTAGTTGATATAAACAAGATTTGACCAGAGTGATATTTGTGATTCATTTTGTGTAAAATTTTTATTGTCCGCACCAAGTATTTTGTATAACTTTTCTCTAAGAGTGGGCATGAGGGCTCAGTATTATTGGGATATTTAAACTTCTGAAATAGGATATTAGACAGTGAGGGGGAATTTACCATCGCAGATAATATCTCAGTGACAGTTAATGATTGTTTTTAGAACCATCACATCAGAATGATCTTGTTAAGGATAGTTTATGCATTCGTTTGACAGTTGTTCCATCCCCACATCCCATGTGGAGTATGTTATGTGGGCGAAGTTCAATTCCATGTGATATTAATGTCTTGTTATAGTTTTATGAGGGTATTCAATGTCACAGCTAATGCTCGTTTGGTCTTAGATTGACACATCAAGGATGAGATGGGCGGAGACTGTTCAGATAGATTGCCCTCCAAGAAGAAAACAGAAGGATAAAGAAAGAAAGAAAAAAAAGTATTAGGCACAAACCAAAGCAAGATGTTGAAAATTAAATCATAAAAAGGGGAGTGTGAATATTTTGATAACAACATTAACATAAGATGATGGAAGAAGGTTGGAAATAAGACAATACAAGGAAAAAAAAGATGCGATATAGTTTGAGAAATGGATGGACATTATTCGTATATTTTTTTTTATTGTAGAAATTAGAGAAAGAGCAAATAGGGCAATACTGTATGTAAGATGCAGGACAAATGTTATTACCTGTAAGAAAAGGCATATCTAGATCAACAACATTGTAAGTTGTGAGATAGATGATGTCCAGTCCTTCTATCATTATCCCAAGTATTTGAAGTTAACCTGTATCTGTTAATTATTCAGTCTATTTGTATTTGATGTGCCTCTGAGGGAAGCGCCAAGGTCACCAACTATTTCAGATTGTTTTTCTTGAGAAGTATGCCTAAAATATTATGGGTGTGAAGTGATCTGCACAGTCCCCGCATCAATGACATGGATCTGTCAAATCTGCTCATCCTAGATGTTGACCATCTAGTACTTGACCATGCCCAGCCCAGGATGACCATGTCTACTGGGAGAGATACTATCTTTTCCCTTAGTCCTCCCTTGTCATATGTTGTCTTCCAATCCATGTCAAAGCTTGACTTATATTTTAGCCAAGATGTGTTTGGAGCATAAAGGATTGACTCATACACCCTGAACACCTTTGTGGCTCCAAACAGACAATATATTTTACATCTTCTCTTTCATTATTATGTTTTCCATGAACTGGTACGTTTTAAATTTGTTCTGCACAAAATAAAAGATACATTTTGTATTAATGCTGTTTAGAAATATTCACTGACATTTAATTCTAATCATATATTTATGCTCTTATCAAAGTCACAAAATATCAAATGTTTCCCCTTCTTTTTCTCATTGCAGGATGATCTGAATACCTATGGAGACCTTGTATTGGAGGTAGGTTCAATCAATGTTTAATTCCTTAAATGATAAACTATCAAACTAGATAGGGAAACAATAATTTGGTGGAGAATGCAAATGAACATCACTGACCAAGTGTCAGCATTACTCTACCCAAATTCATAGCACATACCAAAATTAATCAATCTAGTCCCTCAGTAAAATAGATTTCTCAAATCTTCAACCTGCTGCAGAAAATTGGATGGACTAGATAAATAATTTGATAATCAGTTTCTGTATAAGATATACTGAGAATAGATTACAAGTTTGTTTAAAACCTCTGAAGAATTGACTGGACTAGAATAATAATTTGATAAAACCAGGATTTTTAGGGAAGAGGAAGAGGGAGCAAGATATGATGTAAAAAAACTAGTCAAGTCTTGTCCTTGGAGAAACCTTGCTCAAAATGTAATTTCTTAAGACGAGAGGATGCAGGGGAACAAGGGGGTAGGCCACATTGGTAAAAAAAAAGAGAAAGTTAGGAAATCTGTGAACTATAAAGAATATTAGAAGCTTCCTGTGGCGACATTATTAGCAAGAGGTCTCCCTGTAAAAACTATTTCTGGATCTAGATCTTGGATTTCTGCCATGATGGACTCTGGTCAATGTCAGAGTGTTGTACTTCAACTCCATGCATGTTTGTATAGTAATTCTTACCTCATGATTAGATTCTGTCACGAGGATACAGGTCTGCTAATTGATTTATATTGTGTGTATTTGGTTTTTACAGACGTGTATCAATCAGATATGATTATTTACGTCTGGGGACCGACCTTTATCTGTGTAGACAATTAAAGAAATAAGAATATTGTCATTCATGGGCAGTGTATAATCCAGTCTACCGTATTGTGAATTCCCCATTTAATTAGGGAAGAGATTTTAAAATTGCATCTTCATAGTCTCATGAATGTAATCTTTGGATGATTTGTGGCTAAGATGATAAAACTTTTTTTTAGAACTAATAATTTGTTGAAAAGTAATCATATTTGTAAAAGGATATACAATGGAGATAATTGTATGTAGCAGGGATGCCAGTCTTCAGACAATAACCTGAATTCAGGCCCTGGCGAGTTATTTTTAGACCATAGTTGAGGCTTTTTTGTGTTCAAAATACCTCATTCTAGGTGATTTTCAGGCCCTGTGATCAATTCTAACTGGCATCCCTGATGTAGGAAGAAGAATGCATGTATAGAAATGATAGGAAATAGACACAATGAAAAGTGAAAGAAAACAAATATCTCTGCTATAATGTTGTCACCTGTGCAATCAGCGATACATGGTTGAATTCAAAGTGCAATTACACTAATGGGGTTTACCATGTCTAACCCTAATTATGTCATGTGGTAAAAGTGATTAAATTGATCACTTTGTGGAGCAAGCTAGACAGAAATGAGACAACTACAAATAGAACAAGTGAATATATGATAAACTAGTATGCCATCAATAGAGGAAATGAGCCAAGACACACTTTCCTAAATTTGTTCACCTCGCACTTTAAGCCGATTTAGGTCAGAATACAATGCAAACAATTTAAATGTTGAATAGAAATATGAATGCATCAGCCAATGATATTATTTATTTCATTTACACTTAATGAATAGAGAGAATGTACAAATAATATCACAATGGGCTAGTGCCACAGTCCAGCTTGGCAAAGGGTCATTGAAAGTATTCGGATTAGCCTTATGAAATTACATTTAACTGTTTTATATTAATATCCTTCCAACATACTTGTATTCAAATACATGTATTCCTCGCCTCAGAATAAGAGCATCACATGTATTAAAACCTTTTCTAATGTCATTTTATATGTTAGGAAATGAACTTCTTTTTCCAATATATCTCATTCCAGACATGAATGCATGTTGAAGGGATTGCAATTATATATTGACTAATAATAATTCATATATTCACATAATCATATGTTGCAAATGATTGAAGGTTCTGATTGTCAAACACATTGTAATGTGCATGAACTTTCACATACTTTCTCCCCATGTGTACAGGGTGTATTGCGGATGCATGGAGCACGAGGTGACCGGTTCATCTACCTGTTCGAGAGAGCGCTTCTCATCGGCAAGAAACATGAGAACACAAATCTCATCAGTATTAAGACTCAAATCACAGTAAGAAACATCTCTTTTACGTCATTGATCTAGAATTCAGATTCTACCATTTAAATACATATCCGGTTGCTCATGCCTTGAGGCAGGGTAACTTGGTACCATGAAATACCCCAGACACAGCCAACTTGAACCCAAGTCCCAAACTGACCGGTTCTTGGCATTTTGGATTAAAATTTAATTTTGTTGGTATGGTATCTGTCTCATTTGTGTGACTATGGTATAAGATGATGTAATAAAGGGTGATTTGGTGTTAATGTAATGACAATCTAAATCATTACAGTAAGCTTCCCTGTCTTGGAACAAATTTGGCTGAAAATTTGAAAAGAGGCCACATAACAGACCCTTAAAGATGGATATTATATATTTTTCAGTGACTACATATTAAGTATCCAAACAAAGTTGCAATTTCCTGTCTAATTTTGTATTATTTGTGTATATGTGAAAGCAAGATTAGGCCTAGAGCAGACGAACAGGTTAATTTGTTATTTAAAGGACATTAGGAAAGAGACCATCTCAAATTAGAATATTATTACTGACAGAAGAACAACAGAACCACACCCAAGAAAGGATATCACTCAACTTTCAACTGATTAGGCCTATAGTACTATCAGTCTACATACTCGACAGACTAGACAACATACTAACCTGTCTTCAGGATGTGACCATTTCCCTGCATTTTACCTGCATTTTACCTGCAAATATAGTTTCTTTCTTGAAATTCATGGACTGGTTGTGCAACCGATTTAAGCAGTTATTCATTATTTAGGGCAGATCATGCCTTCAACATATTAAATCGTCTTCGATAAAGCAGATGAATAGTGGTGACAAAATTGGAACTTCTGTGAAAGTTGGCCTTTTGTTTTGAAAGAAGAAAAAGAGAATTAGTTCAAGTACTTACAAATAATGAAATAAAGAAAAAATCTGTAGAGATTTGGAAAGCATTGATATTATACTGATATCACACCTCCACCCCATTCACTCGCAATTTTATTTGCAGTCAGTCGAAGGTTAGTTTGCTAAGTAGATCTCACTTCAATATGAGGTGGGGGCTTGTTGACTGTAGAGTAAACATTCATGTCCGCAGAACTATTCAATGCAAATCAGAATGCTCAATTCACAAAGCTTTACATTCCATTCTCGAGGAATTTGTTATCAACTGGAGGAGGTGTTATTTTTACTTGATATTACCTTGTCATATCACCAAACATTCTCTATTTGTTTACAATCCACTAGTTTTCAGTTAGACTAGCTCTGGATGTCATAACGTTGACCAATGATTCAGTTTTTCACACATTACTATTATTAGGTATTTTGTGCACCTGTGCCTGGGAGGTAAAAAACGAACTGAATCACTGTAACCCTTGGGTCTCTCGTCTCGATATAACTGATTAGGGATGTGCATACCTTAGTAGCTGTGAAATTGTTTGATACCCAGTTATAGCTGGAATCTGAAGGATAGAGGGTTATGAACACTCTTTATTCATTCAATTATATTAGTACTACTTTTATTTATTACTTAAACAATAACTTTTGCACCTTTTAGATATTACAGTATACGTAGGTAACACAAAAGTAGTAAAACGTGACTGTATATTCCTTGATAGTGGATTAAACATGTTGAATTTTTTGGTCCTCCTGTGGTTTCCAGTTGACTCTACATCTTTAGGCCTGTCCACATCAGCTCGAGTTTGCCAAATAACCCGCTATTTTAACTATCCCGATCACAAATTAACCAATAAATTTGTGTCTTCATCAGCCCGTAGTTGCAATTACCGGGATATTGGCGCCCGTCCGAGCTAGTTTGTGATGAGCTTATCGGTCTGGTGAAGATGGAATTTGGAGCTTCGGGATAATATCTTGAGTCTGAAAATAGCAGGTTATTTGGCAAACTCTGGCTGATGAAAACAGACCTTTACTTTGACTCTGCTTTCCCTGAGAACAACATTCCAGCGATATCTTGAGAAACATTCCAGACATGAAGCATGTTTGCTCTGGAGGATATTTGTTTGACTTTGGGTAATGTTTACTAAAGTCAATATGACGAGGGAAGTATTCCAGAGGTCTTGTGACTAGAGATCCTCAGGCATTAATAAGTACATAATTGACAGTCAAATCAAATAGGACTTGCAACTTATAAATTTGCAATTGTCGACAGGAGATATTTTTGCCGAAGGCCGTTATAGTCCTTCGTTGGTATTATGAGATTGCAGTATAATCCTAAGAATGGTAAAAAATCATCCTTAGTTGATGAGTTATCTGCCTTTCTCAATAGGTTTCATGGTGTTACATGATGTTTCATGTGAGAAAAATTGACACTTCAATGAAAACAAAGGAAACATCTCTATAAAGCTAAAGAAATGCTATTTTTGTCCTTTTTAAACAATTTTTGTGACATATTTCCTGGAAATAAAAAAAAATTTAAAAAAAATTCTTTCTTTCTTTTTGATAGTGCCAGGCACTGCATATTCTTAAAAAAGAACAGTCATCCACTTTGGGCCAATTCTACAAGGGAAATTATCACGATTGTAGTTTTGATTTGATTATCCATGCATTTGTTGATAACCTGATTGTCCATGTTTCATATCCTTTTGTGTTCATAACAGTGTGCCAACCTGATGCTAATAGAAAGTGTTCCCAAAGAACCCCTTGGCTTCAATGTGATTCCCTTTGATAACTCAGACCTACAGTACACCATTCTTGTAAGTATACTTTCTGTTTTCAATTATGTATTCTAGGAAAGAATATTAATAGTTTGTTGTCATACTGGCACTACTTCAAATGTTACTACAACCACTTTTCTTTCTACTTCCTGTACAAGCAGCAGAAAGTATCACAAGGAGTAAAGCTGTCCTTATTGACAGTATGATACTTTCTGCTGCTCCTTCTTCTCCTACCCCTGCTCACACTCCTATTATTCTTACTATGACTTGTACCAGTATTACTACTGCTACTATTACTCTCACAGCATTAGCAATACTGCCATTACTGCTACTTTAAAAAAATATTTGTCCATATAGTCTCTCTGTTTTTCAGTGTTTGCTACCTTAATAATTAATGAAATGATATTAATGATTGTCACTTGTACTTCTCCTGACACCCCCAGGCCAAATCTCAGGAGCAGAAGAAACAATGGACTCATGAAATAAAGAGACTTATCCTTGAAAACTACCAGAGCAACATTCCTACCAAAGTCAAAGAACTCATCCTCGGTACAAGTAAGCATTCTATGGATTCTTTAACTCTTGTTAATCATGTTAGATAACCATGATGTGTGCCTTGACAGTTACATATACAGGAGATACCTGAAGAATCACCATGCATCTGACACATATTCCATCAATATTACTTTTGGGAGGAGGGGATATATTACTCTAGATATGGTTTTAATGAGTGTCAATGGACAAGAGGGGCCACAAAGGACATCTCTGTTGTCACAGTACCATATGAATGTAAGAATTACTTTACATAATTAGGTAGAAATCATACTACAGGTACTGAAATGGGTATAAATTCAACGTAGAATACTTAATAAGTTGTATATATTTTGATCTTCCTTTCATACGTATCTAGTATCTGAAGTTCCATCCTATAATGCGGCATCATGTAAAAATTGTGATATAAAGAAGAGTTCCAATATTTATAATTACATGCAAATGTTGACACCGCTTATGATGAAGTTATTTGGTGAATCAGATTTGAAAGATATGATGAAGATAATGATGCATTTACATCTTGGGTGGTCACAGCTAGTGATGTTACATCAAACCAGCGGAATCAAGGTTATAGGAAGGAAATCAGAGCAATTGTCTTAGTCGTTCTTAACAAGAACAAGATTCTGAAATCTTAATCTCAAGGTACTTGTGATGAACAATATAACACCATAAAGATAAGATGAAATTGCTCTGTGATGCCCTCAGTGACGTCACACCGCAGAGCTTAGTAGATAAACATCTGCAGTGACTGAGGTTGATAAATCATCAATGACATTAGATTTAGGAGAGCTTGGCTGTTTGGGGGTCCCTTGTTTCCAGAGTAAGATTCCATCGGACGAGAATCAAAGTTGAAGAGGAAATGGTGATTTCTGGTGCTTCCACGATCGACTTGCATGTCATGGTCTGCACCACAGAATCAACGCCTACCCACGGTGAATCATACTTCCGCTCAATTAGACACTCTTAACCATCCTTCAGATCTCAAAAGGGTATGGAGGGAGAGGGTCAGAGAACAAAACAAGTGTTAAGAGATAGAGGGAGAGGGAGGGAGATATCAAAACAAGTGTAAAGAGATAGAGAGGGAGGGAGGGAGATCAAAACAAGTGTAAAGAGATAAAAGGTTATGGGAGAGAGATATCAAAACAAATGTAAAGATATAGAGGGAGAGGGAGAGAGATATCAAAACAAGTGTAAAGAGATAGAGGGAGAGGGAGGGAGAAATAAAAACAAGTGTAAAGAGGGAGAGGGAGGGCGTTATCAAAACAAGTGTAAAGAGATAGAGGGAGAGGGAGAGAGATATCAAAACAAATGTGAAGAGATAGAGGGAGAGGGAGGGAGAAATAAAAACAAGTGTAAAGAGGGAGAGGGAGGGCGTTATCAAAACAAGTGTAAAGAGATAGAGGAAGAGGGAGGGCGTTATCAAAACAAGTGTAAAGAGATAGAGGGAGAGGGAGAGAGATATCAAAACAAGTGTAAAGAGATAGAGGGAGAGGGAGAGAGATATCAAAACAAGTGTAAAGAGATAGAGGGAGAGGGAGGGAGAAATAAAAACAAGTGTAAAGAGGGAGAGGGAGGGCGTTATCAAAACAAGTGTAAAGAGATAGAGGGAGAGGGAGAGAGATATCAAAACAAGTGTAAAGAGATAGAGGGAGAGGGAGAGAGATATCAAAACAAATGTAAAGAGATAGAGGGTAAGAGGGAGGGAGAGAAGACATCAGGAATACAATATAAAGCAAGGAAGAATGACATGGGTGTACAAATCAGTCACAAGCAAAATGAATGGATTTAAATGTTAGATTGATTGAGGATGGAGGACATCAGGACGGTATAAAATGTAACAATTAACCATAGAGCAAGAGAGAGTTTGAGGAGTAGGGAAAAGAGAAGAAAAATTGCATGGATGAAGTGATAGACTGAAAGAAACATGCTCACAAGGATACATCATTTATGAAAAATATATTTATTTTGAAAGTCATAATCACATTATCGCGGCTTCAGCAAGAACGGGTCAGATGTTTCTTATAAGTTTCAAGGATGTAGAGAGTGAGGAAGAAAGGTGATATAGGAAGCAAGGTTGGGCTCCACATATAACATTCTATAGCTTCAAGCATTTGGATCTCATTGAATCCGCTAAGACGCTAGAGAATTGATAGGTCATGTGACTTCCACCAAGCAACTGTGAGGGATTACTGAACCATATTTATTTAAAAGAGTGAATAAGATAATGATCTGTATGAAAGTTTCATGATTTATCCTTTAGCTGCCATTCCAATTTATTAAAGGCAGGTGAAGTATGTTCAGCGTCATATAAGGAACTTAGTTGAGTACAAATGTTCAAAATAAGAAGATGAAAGTTGAGAATAGCAAGCCATATTGCAACCAAAGCATAGTTGGAAATTTGTCCATAAGCACAGGAAAAAGAATCAGTTCTTTCTGTAGATTCTGACAGTTTTCAATGTTTAAGAATTAAGATAAACCAGTTATTAAAGACACTGAAATTAACATAACATTCCTCTTGTTTTTATGTTGAAAAGATTTGAAAGGTTAATAGTTTTGTTAATGTACATATTCATATTGCAGAATTGACATACATAAATGTGATCAACTTCTTCTTCTCCATCAACATTACTTACAATACAGAGCTAGAAATCAGCTTATCACGTAACCCCAAGATCTGTCTTGCATCATAGCAATACTCATGAACTTATCAAAAGACCATCTTTCAAGCCAATAAAATGTTTCCTACAACCTACTTCCTCAGCTCTGTTTAGTTGGGCTTAAAAGTATGATAATTGCCTTGCAGATGGAGACATCCTGTATTAATCGTAAACTTATTCAAGATTGTTGGGAAGTGATCTGTGATTATCTTCCAGATGTGGAAGGGGGTTGATTTGAGTTCTAAAAAATGTCAACGTTCTGTCAGTGAAATAGAAAATAGCAGATAGAAAATGTGTTTAAGATGAAGAATCGTTCATGTTCACTCTGAGGGAGTGTCGTGCGACATAGGAGTTTGTCAGAATGGATCACAGGATAATTAATTCAGTGAGGCCTCAAAAGATTTGTCCTTGAATTTCTTACATCTTGGGCTGATTAATGTCATTCTAAACACAGGCTAGAAACGAGAATTCACCATGACAATGTGTCAAGAACTTTACTTTTGTCATAATGCTGTAATTTCTATCAAATTTGATAATGTGGAAATGGTTTTACTCCTATAAAACAGGTGTATTTCTGTGATGACTACATCACTTTAATCTGGGATTAAGATGAATTTATTCAAGGAAGACAATTTGTCTTGAATTGTAATGACATTTCACTCATCCAATCATTAACCTGCTTCTTCTCCCGACTTCCTTAACAAGTGGAAGGGCTTTAATTTGTTACCAGTCTATCCAACTTCTGTTTTACCTTTCTCTAAATGAATGATTTCCCCAAGGGGTACAAGAGATTGCTTCTTAAAATTGACATGGCTCAAGTCCAAGTTTGCATTTGTCATCAATGGTTGCTTAATGCAACCCAATGAGGGGAGACGAACGGGGAAAGGACAGGTTTTGTCCCGCTACATGGGCAGCTTCCTAATCATAGAATGGCGGATATGGGTCATTCTTGACAGACCTAAATCTATTTCAGGTCTTCCTCTGTTTGTCCTGCTGATTAGTGTGTTTTTAAATTCTACATGTTCATAAATACCTGGTCTAAATGTGAACCTCATTCAGAAGTATGTAGTAACCTACCCCTCCCTCCTCCCCCACTCCCCCTCCCCCTCTTCATTAAAAAAATATACTGAGATGTATAGTGCAAAACCACTAATTGAAATTAAGGCCTGCCCTTGATTCTATTTGTTCTACTTCCTTCGCTATTCAGTTACTCGTTAAGTTTTGTTCGTACATTTTTCTAAAGCTGTATTACTGCCTCCTATATTTAGAGTGTTTTATGGTAAAAGCACTTAGTTCGTCCTCGTTAGATAGTTATAAATTATCAAGGAATTGTTGCACACATATTTCAAGGGCTCAATATTGACTTCATTTTCTAAGGGTCTAAGTTTAAAGATTGAAAAATACATTGCTGATAAGCATTTTTTTAAATGCTTTTATTTCCAAGACTTATGTTTACTCCCCAGCATACTTTTCTTTTAAATCATACGTGTTATCATTCATATTATTAATGAGACATATCTCTTTCCCACCTTTTACAATAATGTTATTAAACAGGAGCAGCTAAGAATGCTAAAGATGATATTGAGGCAGAGAACAAGGCATCGCCATCATCACCTCAAGAACCCACCATGTCGAGGGACAGGAAAGAACGCAAATCTCGCAAGAAACACAAACGGCGCAACTCGGAACCCATGGGCAAACTACAGAGGGGGCAAAAGCAGGTCAAAGGTGAGCATCTTTGTTTGGAATAGAGTCACATCATTTCATTCATCATCGCGTTTGACATGAGGAGATTGCAGTGAAAATAAGTTTTCCGACCTTTTAGATGGATGGATGAGTTCACAAGAACACATTCAGATAATTAGTCAATAGCCTTTTTTCTTCCTCTTGATGTTGTTCTTATGAATTCCTCCAAAAGTTACAATCCATGTTTTAGGAAGAGTGAAAAAATATGTTATCCAACTGTCTGTCAGTAATATGACAGATGATTTCATCCCAGAATACCTTAATATCCCCTCTACATATGAATAGAAATAGGCCTGATCCAAAAAGGGAAAAAATGTTCATGGTCATCTGCAAGTAAATTGTAGTGGCCATAAAGGTGTAGTTGATTCCTGAATGGTAGCATTGCCCTGCCCCTGCTGCTGCTGCCCCCATTAGCCAATAAACCTGGCCCCCTGCTTGGATCCATTCTACATTCCTTGCATCTTTTCTCTCCCCTTCAAATTGGCCTTCAGACGGGCTAACTGTTTGACATTTGGACTTGATACCGTAGAACAGAGTGTAATTAATCCAGCTTATTTTTAGAGACGGGAGTCGGTAATGGCGCATGTCACTGGGCATCAGCCAATTAAACGATCCCATGGTTATGACATCAGCTGTCATGGTGTATGGTAGCAGACGATTCTATGCCCCCCTTGCTCCTCTGACTGGTCTGCGAACCCAGACCAGGGAATAGGGAAATTTGTCAAGTCTAACTAAGGGGTAGGAAGAGAGGGAGGGAGAGAAGAGATGAGAAGGCGATATGTTTTGAGTGAGGGTGAAGGAAGTGAACAGGGGTGAGGCAGGAAGTTTGAATTTATATCCAAATTATAATGGGGATGTGATGATGATGATGATTATGATACGAAAAGAGTGAGAATTTATGAGAGTGATGTGGGATACAATTATACAGGAATGCAGAAAAGGAAGAGAATACACTGCTGAGTAGCAGAAAAACAATTTTGGTTTATGTTCTTTTTAATGATGCTGTAAAGAAACAAACAAAAATAAGCAAATAAGGCTAAGAATGTATGCCGGTATGACTCATGAGAGAAAAACAGAAAGGGAGGAAGAAGGAAAATAAAAGGATATATATGGAGGAAGATTTACACATTTTTAAAGGGTTTGAGAATTTTTTTTTTTCTAACTCCCTCACCCCCCAAAAAGAATCTAAATTGTAAAAGAAAATGAAACACACAAACAGGAGATTTCCACCTCAGACAAAACAGAGACAATGTCTGCTCTTCTGTCTGAGCTGTCACCTCATAGTGTGAAATTGGACTCGAGTCCAAAGTAAAAGGAAAAGTATGTCTGTCAGTATGAATAAATTCTCACGCCCCCTAACAACTGAGGAGTTGTTTTGCTCCTCAGACAAGAACCCTGGATGGCAATGAACTCTCTTTGACCTTACTCAGGCCTGGGGAGGGGGGGGGGGATAGTACCTTGATACTTAATTTAATATCTAGTGTGGAATGTAGAATACTAATGGTATCTGATTAGTTCTTAATAGGCTATATGGCTCTGATTAACTTCATTTTCTAAGGGTGCGAAGGAAGCCTAACTAAGCGTATTAAAAAATTCCCTTGAACTTACATTTAATTATATTTTATAAGAGAATGAAGGTGATTGGTCATACATTACTCTTACCAAAGCTCTGAATGAAGCTTTGGATAATTTTGGTCAGGTTAATTTTGGTCTGGTTGAAAGAATAACAAAAACTTTTCCATTTACCTAACATTATCTTTGGTAGATTTTTTTTCTGCAGTTACTTGAGCTAACTTTCTTCAGGTACTTCATAGAATCATATTTCAGACTTTGCTCTAATTCACCTAAAATTCAAAGATTTGAATAAGAACTTGTAATGATTTCAATTTTCTTAACAGCAGGTATTTCCATTTTGATTTTATGAGACTTTACAACATTCAAAATATTGCCACAGGGACAATCCATCATTCAGGAAACAGAAGTCACATAAATCATTTCAGAACATGATCTGGCTTTAAACCTTGGGGAAAGAGATAACATGAAGGTGATCTCTAGGACATCATGAAAGCTGGGAGTATCAAGGTCTTGACTGGCATAGCGCCATCTGACAATAAGAACCCATTTCCTGCTCTTGTCATATGACTTCATGTACTGTCCTCCATAAAGTCAGCTCCAGTTAGACTGAGATAATTCTGTTCAAGATTAATGTTAGCACATCAATATGTGTACTAATGTCATCACTAATGCAATAGAAGTCATTACCAGTAGTTGCAAATCTCAAGGGTTATTGTTGGCCACTATGTGAGATGGTATTGACATGGGACAATTATAAAATGTTCCAGGACAAAGAAGTAGGTGAGAAGAGGAAAATGTCAGGTAGTGCCAAGGAAGAGGTTTATATATTTGATGTAAATAAAACAAAATGTATGCATTATGTTTGAATTTGAAATGAAAAGTTGGCAAAGAATTGCTCTACAAACTCAAAGATATGATCACAACAAAGGGAATACGGTTGGGCGAGCTAGGATCCAAAGGAAACGTCAGATATAGCCAAGTTCAAATAGAAAGTGAAGTGCGGAAAAGAGATAGAGGTAGAGAGAGATGGCGAGGATTAAAGTTCCAGGGATATAGCCATGACACAACTTCCTTTCAGACAAGCTATACTTCTCTGCCCCCTCCCTCTCTAGCCCTCTCCCTCTAATAAGGCCCCCTTCACCTTAAAAGCGGGGTCTATCCCCTAGTAGCCCCTGGAAACCACTTCCTGTGCGTAAAAACAAACTTGACTGAATTTAGAAGGAACTCCTAGTCATCTACTGATGATTAGGAGAGGAGGGATGAGAATTGCAAATGAAATAAAGCTGAATTATTTTCAATTTCGTGATTCATATGACTTTCACTTTCAGTTTATAAATATTGTTCTTTGCAAATTATTTGTCAATGGTCATTGATAATATTTATTGCTGCTTTGAACGGCATAAGAACCATTCATTTATATGAGAAGTGTTAGCATGATGCAAATGATATCATTAATGAATTGGATAACTATTATTATACAAACAGTATGTTACAGTAATGATGATGATGATGATGATGGTATAAGACAACTTTTGAAGTGGATTAAAAAACGATGATTTTGATTTTCTATGTTTATCATAGAAAAATATAAACAACCCAAAGAAACAAGGGGAATGTAGCTGGTACTCTTATCTTTCTTCGTTTGTAATATTCAGTTTAGCAATTTTGGCCTACCTTTGTCTCATTTTCAAATCTTTATCTTGTTTAATATAGATGGCATTGCAGTGTCCTTTGTGGTACTTTTGCAGTGCTTTTTTTTTAATATCTTATGTCCACATTTTGTTTTGTTTGTTTAGTCTATAGATACATATGTTTTTTAATTCTTGAATCTTGTTCCTATTGCGATTCTGTCTTTACATCCAGTTCTTTGCATTTTCTGCTTTAAATTAATATACAAAGGCCATTTGAAAATCCAACACAATACAACAATTTATGTATACTTTAATTTGATGAAATTGAACGCAAATCAATTGCAGAAAAAAGCAATTTAAATACACAATTTTTCTTCCAAAGAAACACAAGAGTTTCCATTTCCCTTGAATGCAACTGCACATGGTGATGGGAAGTTGAATTCAGAATGATTTATGCTTTTGCACATGATATATTTATGCTTGCTATATACACAGCCTGATATATTACTTACAAAACGGCTCAAAGTTAAGGCATAATTGCTTAAAATAAAAGATTGAAGCATGCTTTTAAAGACTAAGGTTGCACAATTTTATCAGCATGGGCTGATCTCAAGTATTCCACTGATTGCATTTTTTATTTCCATTTTTCAATATATCATTTTATAACTGTGATATAAAATTGGGATAATTATTTTACATGATGGAACCGTTGCATTTCATTTCGTTGTAACAATTAATACATGCAGATATTCATTTAACATCCAACAGAAATTTGAGATACAAAGTGATCAAGTTGGAGAAACATACAGGATTTTCATTAGTTAGAGGAGTTCTATAGTAAGAATACAAGATTCTACTTAAGATACATATTAACTGGAAATCAATGTGTGTTTTTCTCCTCTTTATTCCTTCTTCCTTGCCTCTGATCATCATCATCTCTTGCCCATACGTTCTGCACATATCTATCTTTTGTTCCTCCACTGCATTAACTTTCATTCAATCTATTTATACTTCTAACTTCAATTGAATGACATAAATGAACAAACTATTCTGTCATTCCTTCTTTTTATTTTCACACATTCACTCTTTCATCTATTATACTCCTTCACTCCATCATCACACCTACATTCTCACTATCTGTCTATCATTTCACAGCCGCTGTAGAGAACATAATAACCGGTGAGTACTCTGCATTTCATCGCCTTCTTGATTAAAAAGATGAGAACATACCAAATAGAAATGAAGATAGTACCATTGCTACATTTTATATTCCTCAAAATGAGTGATTTTTAAACATTGTAACCTTACTAAAAAATCTTTAGCCAATAAATGGCTCACAAGTGGTATGTTCTCATATTTTCTTGAAGGATTTTCCCATCTTTAGATTGATTTCATGTTGTACAGTTGCAGTGTTCTCAAACTAGATACCGGTAGTTGCACTCTATGATAAGAGTTAGATGTTTTCTAAGCACACATAGACAATGGGTGAGCCACGCTTGTGCACAGTTATGGTTAGAAGGTGCCTAGTCTGCCAGTACAGGGACTTTTGCCCTTCAAATTGTGACAATCAGCGCATCACTATTACAACGTTACAAGGCACATTTCTGTTCATTTACATGCTAGTTAAAAAAGAAATGGACTTCTTCATACATGAAATTGCAGATATACCTCACACAATTTTATTGTTACTTTACACAAATAACAAAAATATACTTTACTTTATCCAAATGAGACTTAAAAAAGAAGAAGAAAATTGTCAGTTTGATATGACTATCGACTGCAGGATAAGAAATTTGTGATTGAATACGATTTGTGGCCCGTATCCATTAACAATGTGTGCTAAGAAACATTCTTGCTTTCATTTTCTTCAGTTTTTATTTGGTGTTGGTATTTGTGTGCACGTTTTAATTAAGCATTGCAGTTATATAGCTTGCCGCATTCAATAAAGTCTTCTATTTTGTATAACATTTCTTTCTTGCTTTCAGATGGTATTCTTGGTTCTTATTTTATTTAACACCGGACAACTAAACTGCAAAATGCTTGCTCTTAACTTTACTCTTTATTTCTCTAACATTACAATATAGATGATAATGGGTTGTTGCATGTTGCATGTATTTTTAAAAGTGTACAGAAGTAGTGGTGTATGCAGGTTTCAGGAATGCATGTCTAAGGATACCTACCCTACCTTCTATGTATCTCTCCTTTATAAGCCTCTGTCATATACATAGCCACTTATCTGGGACAATGAAATATGCATAAAAATTGCAGAGTCACTTTTATTTGCCACCCCCAATAATAGATGAACCGGCCGCTATGCACCATGCTCTATCTAATCCTGTAGCATGCATCAAGAAAGTGCACAAGGTCCATTGATTTTGTTCTTTCTTTCTATCCATGATGAATCTGCAAAGAGCATCTAGGTGACTCAGCGCTGTCATGCCAATGTAATAATTGATTTAGGGTCACTCACTAAATTTGAGTTTAAGTGATGCTACACAGCAGACCCTCATGCTCTATTAGGTGTAATTGACACCTAAATTACAGGCTCTTACAGAATCAGAAAATTGCTTAAATTAGTCACTTTTACATGCAGACATTTTCCAAGAAGATAGAATTAAATCTTGAGAAGGTGACAAACAGGGTAGACAATGATATTGGAATTTAGAGTATCGGTACTAGTATTGGAATGAATGGATAGTATTTTGGAGTCACTATTTGGCTAAGATCAAGAGAGCTTCGGTTTAAAGTTCTCATTTTCAGAGGAGTTTATGAAAATAGCAAGTCATTTTTTGGTAGGCCATATCCCACTGATTTATCATGAGCAAAGGATGAAGGAAGGCTTAAAGAGTTTAATCCATGTAATGAGGGTGATTATCAGATGAAAGATATTTGACATTGCAGTGCAGAAGTCATATTTTGCTTTCTAGTATTTTCCTCCAAATGGGAAGTGTGGTCATGGCCATAAACAAGATTTTTTTTGTTCCAATCCAACTTCAGAATGAATTTTCACATAATCAATTGCCCCTAACCTCCCTACAAGCACCCCCAAATTCCTGTAAATCAACATTTTCAAACACCATGTGAATTTCAGATCACCATTGTATGTAGCAAAAATTAATAGTTTGAGTAAGATCTAAGATATCCATTGTCACTCATAGGTAAAGCATGCTATAGAGTTACATGTACTATTACATTCCAACATTTACTTTCCAAAGAAAATGAAAAGTATCCTGCTTGTAGAGTAATCATGTCTAAAAATAATGGATGACCGGTATATGCCTTTGGTCTATTCTATACAGACCATGAAGATGTACCGGTATCTTAATGAAACTAGGTCAACCCATTAAAAAAATTCAATTTGTGTGACACATTGTCCAGTCCTGTACAGCTGTGTGGACCCAGAGAGTCTGTCTACAGCTGTTCATACTCCTACTTCACATCGTTTCAGACCTTGATCTTTCATGATGACATTTTGATTACATTTGGCCAGTTATCTTGAGATGAAAATACTTTGAAATATTTGGAACAGCAATATTTGTTCTTTATATAGAATATGGCAATAACATTTTGATAATGTGTTAAATCATCTGACATTTTAATTTTCTTTAGTGCCAAGTATTAAAGCTCATCTTACAATAGGATCAAACTTCACTTTTTGCAGTGAAGAAACTGATGCTTGTATTAGTTTAGAACCAGAAAGGATTACAGGCCATACCCTTCTTAATGAAATGTACTGTCGGCTAACTTGTCACATGCAAACCCATCAAATAGAAGTATTCCATCTCCCCCTTCACTGGGAGTCCTTGCTTTCCTTACAAGGGAAATAGACAGTTTAGAGCAGTAGATGGCAGCAGAGTCAATATATTGGCAATCATAGGTTGCCTCTCTCTGAAGAATGAGAAATATTTTAAAGATAGAGATAAGGGATGTGAATTGAAAAGGTTTGTTGTGCTGAAACTGAACAATCCAAACTAAATTTCACTGACATGAATCATTTGATTCATGGATAGTATTTTAAAGTAAATTTATTGTCAGCTTGTACTTATTAAAGAGTACCAGTATTTAAAACTGACCAAGGATCAACAGTAACTCGGTGATGAAACAAAGGCTTGTTGCAAAAAGTTAAAAACTCTCAGCCTCTTGGTTTCATTTAAATTTATTTTGAAATCAGAATGTTCTCACATAAGCATTCTGGTTGGTATCATTCCATTCTGTAAAGTATGCATGATTGTATCCGTTAACATTGCATGAACCCTATTATTCCTTTTTAATATTGGAAGAGATTAGCCTAGCATGCCTTGAATTGAAATACTAATTGTATAAACTAAAATTAATGGACATATTTAAATAGATATATGTAATTAATCATGAAAACCTCTTTTTTTCTTTGTCTTTCTTTTTCTTTTCAGGAATGAAAAGGCCAGATTTATCCAAACTGGTAAGCTATCATATTATTTATGAGTTCATCTCTTCCAGTAATTCAGTTACATTGTGATGATAATGATAAGAATATATTGTGCTTCCCATTAGAAATTATTTTCATAGGGGTTTATATAAAAGCAGATGTTCAGAAGTAACATCTTTGAAAGATATTTTGAAGTATGAACAACCTAGTTCAATGGAGGTTGAGTGCATTAGGAGATGGTGTAAGAGAGAGGAGTATATCTCGGCTCTGGTCCACTTCAGAAGGAATGGCTCTCGGTGGCCATGTGTAGCCCCATGCAGAAAAAGAGGTGGTTGTTTTGAGAATGGTATCAAGCAATCTTTTATCTCTTCAACCATGCAGAGCATCCAAGTTGAGTTTCAATGGTTGATTGTTTTGTAACACAAGCTTGAGAGGCTTACAACCAAGAGATCAGCTTTCCATGCCCCTTCATGAACCTAGAACATTCAGGGAATGGACGTGAATCGGAAGCACACAATTGGGCCAATTTCCCGTCTGGAGGTTCTAAGATTCTTTCATGTTCTTCCTCGCCAAGATCCCTCAAACGGAGACATTGAAAAGACCTCAATTGACCTCTCTGGGAATGAGGTCTAATTTTCATGAGGCTTTTTGCATGGTTGACTTGCTTCTTTGCCTGTCATCAGACTGTATTTACAGGAGGGCATGGAGACAGGAAGGGGGGTAACATTGCCCTCGGCAGATAATGTCTCAGACTAATAGCTCCCCTGCAGGGTGGGAAGAGGAGAAGGGTAAGGGAAGGGGTGTCTTGAACAAGATTATCAACATTCACAGAACTCTAAGCTCAAATGGAATACTGACACTCATTCAAAATATAAGTCTGGAAATTCAGCCGCAGATACAGAACTATTCTAAGTGTATCATGGCAAAGATCAATATGATGATTTTTCTAAGTGTAGCAAGAGGATCTATGAGAACTAAATGTCAACTATATATATATACAGTACCTTCTAAGCACCTGCTGTCCATCCCAAATATGACGATGATGACGATGGCTCTTTGTATAGTACCCGTGTCTGTCTCTGCTGGATGCTTCTTGCTCTAAAAATACATGCATGTCTCACAGACTTTGACATTTATAGTCTGTGCTTCAATCGTTCAAAGATTCTCTTCCATTAGTCTCCTAAATAGTTATTCTTGTGATGGTGTCACATTGCAGAAGATATAGAGCATTTGTTGTCTTGATTTAACTCCGTAGAGAGTATCTATTTATGGGCTTGAAAGCAGCGGATCTATTCTTACGATATCTTCAGAAAGACAAAGAGAAAATGATCTAAGCAAATTAAACATATTTATTCTCCCCTACCGATATTGAGTGTATGTTTTAACACAAAGTATCTTTGCAGAATGAAAATTGAAACGGACTAGATTATTAATTTCCCTCACTAGAGGACGTAAAAAGTTTCATAACAGAGAAGAAAACTTTTGTTGAATGACGATGAGGATGAGAAGGATGATTGTTATCAAGGTGTCTTGTCTGTTGGGGATTCTGCCATATTGTCTCATGTTCTCTTCAAGGAAGGTCATGCTATCCGATGAAAGCTGTATTTTTAGAGATGTGTTAGATGGTACTGATAGTGAAGTGACTCAATGGTTGATATATAGATGACATCATCAGTTGTATTCACCTTTTGTTTCTCCTGCTCTATTGTACCAATGCATGCTCTCTGTGAGTTCCTTTTCCAATTATTCCTAACAAGAGTCTGGTACCTACAGATCTCTAAATTTCGCTCTGGACTTCGTGAATATGTACACGTGTAAACTATTTTAGTACAAATGTGCTCCCAGTCCTAGCTGTATTATATTGATGTATTTAAAAAAAAATTACTTGGAGATACAATCAATGAAATTTTAATGTTACATCTATTTTCTCATCATTCAGGGAAGTAAGAGGTTTGCTGATATCCCTCAGGATGACGGTACAGAAGATTCCCTAGATGAGGTGGATTCCAACAAGACTGGGAAGAGCGAACCCTGCACACCAGTAAGTATGAGGAGCTTCTAATACTGACTGATCCAGCTGATTTAGACCATCATATCCACCGCCCACACACACACACGCATACTCATTCCAGGACTCACTCACAGAATCATGAAGAAATAAATGATAGAATGAGGCACAAACGTGTACATGGAGCATGATTTCCACATCTTAAGGAGTATATCCATACGATCATATACTCACTTATAAACAAAATTGCATTCCTTATGATATCGGGAATTTCCATATCTGGTATTTACAGGAGTATATCATATTTCCAATGTTAGAACCCAGTGTATGCCATTATTCTGTGTTAAAGGGATTTGTAGGGGTGGTGTGTGAACATCAAAATTATTGATATTTCCACCCATATTTGTTTACAGAACGAGAAAGGAGAGAGCACTTTGGCCCCTCTAGCAAGACCTGAGGAGATGAGAGATGAATCTGGTTCTCAACAAGGTTAGTACAACTACAAGCTCTATTCCAATCTAATTATAAACTTTGTTAAATAGAAGTCTTATCCAGAGATTGCTGTGAAGGAATTTTATAATATTATTGTTACAAGAGCCGATGCTCATGATAATTAATTATAATTCATGATTGTTAAAGCTTACGAAAGACATTTTTTGCAATGCCAGATGATCTGTATTGTACTTTACCAATAGCAAGAGAGCTGAGAGATTTCTTTTGTTGTTTGGTTGAGGATGTGTTTCTATGTAGTTTTAATGTATGGTTTGATTTATTTAAAAAAAACGTCTTTATTAAGCTTTCTAAGAACATTACATATTGTATGAAGTATAATTGCCTTTTTGAACATGGTTGATTGAATTATTGTAGCAGACAACCTTGGTATCCAATATTCACATGCCCTTGTCAGCTTTGCCAAACGGTGATTCATCTTTCATGTTAAGTCGGAACATGGAATGACATCCAAATACAATTTTTTCTATGCATCTGAGTAATCATGAAATACATTATATGCAGTCGTTGTCATGAAGCTCATGATGTTGGATATAGTTGTAGTACAAAAGCAGTTCAGTTCAGATTTTGGGGGCAATGTTCCCGAATGATGTTAGTAGTCAGTATTTGTATCAAAGTCTTTGAAAAATTGACAGGATTTAAAACGAAGCCAGGAATATTGATTACTCTTCATATCTGAAATCAAGTTTGTTTGTATAAAGCATCGAGACTGGAATCCCATTTTATTATATTCACCATACAGATACCAGACAAGACTCTTCTCGATCCTCATCCAAGAAACTGGTTCTATCCAATAGTCTGGGAGACAAGAAGGAATCCAATCGAGACTCTGGCATCGGTAGCATGAATCTCTCCGAGCATCTCAAGCTAGACTCCGAGGATAAGAGCAGCGCTGATGAGGCCAAGGCTGGAGATGGTAGGACAGGCAAGAAGAAGGGTGGAGCGGTCAGGAAACAACGAGAGAATGGGGCCAAGAGACAAGATGGTCTGGATGATACAGAAGAGGAGGAAGTAGAAGGAGCAAAGGGAAGCGAAGGAGAGAGTCCTGATGAGTTGGAAGCATTAGAGCAGCTTTCAGACCCACTCCTTGACATAGAGCTATCTCCTAGACCACCCAGGAGAAGCCTGAGCACTATTCATGGCCCAGAGCTCTTCAAATTAAGAAGAGTTGATCTCAAGGAGTACCGTCCACTCAATGACCGATTCAGCAAAGACCATGATGATGTCTGGGTCCCTATGACAGGCAAGGCATTTGCCAGGAATCGCTCGTTCTCTCACATTCCAACAAGACCCCAGAGTGCCGACGTCTGTACCCATCCACACTTCCAAAAACTGAGACTATCAAGGACTCGCAGTGATGACAGTTCCCTCCATGCCTGGGCAGAGCTGGCTAAATGCCAATCAGATCCAAATATTACTGATCACAAGTCTGACCTCGGGGATTCAATTAAGAGCCATGATGAAAAGCAGAGTGGTCTCGGCTCCTCTGCATCTACATTTGGGACAGGGGATGGAGACTTTTCTTCTTTGTCATCTCATGAAAATCTCACAGACTCTATCAACATGGCTTTCCAACAGCTAGGGGCCAAGTATGCTGCAAAGATTGAAAGTGAGAGCGGGAATTCTACACCTCGTAATATGAAAGAAAAAGCCAAAGACTCTGATGCTGCAACACGAAAGGAGAAAGTATCAATAGTTCTAAATGATGAGGACATACTGAACCTGGACAAAGAGGATACAGAATCTTCAAACAGAGACAGAAGCGATACAACAAGTTCAACCAAAGATGACGATACTTCATTTGATTCACCAGAAGAGGAGGAGCTCAGTGCTGCGAAGAAGAAGGTGCAGAGGCTGGCCAGGAAATACAGTAAAATGATCAAACATCAACAAGAGCAGCCTGCTACTATTGTTGTCACAAGGAAGAACAGTGAGTCTTCATCCTCTGAAACTGATGGGAAGCAGATTGCTTGGGCAGTCACTCACAGCCGGGGTGGAACTGTCATCAAGCGCTTTGAGATAGACAGCCCTTCTGGTACTGGGACAGGAGATTCTGTCAGCAGATCTACAACAGATTCAGAAGATGATAAATCCAGTGGCTCCAGACGTCCCATAAGTCGAACAGCACAGAGCAGGAAATCTGTCAGGGACTTTGTTAGGAAATATGAGGTGACCAAGTCGACTAAACCAGAGCCCAAGGTTGTGACACCTGTCCAAGATGGCATCAAGGAAAGACTCAAGAGCTTCCAAGTGGATAATAAACAACCCAATAAATCTCCTCAGCACCGAACAAGTATGGGATTCAAGAAGTTGTCGGAAAGGCGAAAAGAACTTGAAGAATGGGTAGCCAAACCCAAACAGCGGTCTAGACATAACTCTGAAGGTAAAGATTCTACTGATGGTCATTCATTCAGCAGCAGTGCTTCAGATGCTGGTGATCTTTCATTTACCTTCAACAGCAACAGTTATCAAGGTAGTTATGCTTCCAGCTTACATAGTAGTGGACGCAGCTCTCCGTGCATTGAAGCTCGCATGGCCAACATCAATGCCATTAAGGATGGTCTCTTGGAATCTATAAGTCGCTTGACCCCCCATGAGGGCACTGCTGAAGAGGAAGAGGTGACTCCTGCCATGTTCAAATCCATCCGAGAGAGATTTGAAGAGCTTGAAAAGGCTGCCCACAAACCCATCCCACGAACAGTTAGTGATCCTCAAGAGGAGATCAAAGGAAATAGCGTGGTTGAAGATGACGACGACGACACTATTCAAGATCTTACAGACATTCAATCTATGGGAGAAGTTGAGACAAATACAGCCCCGCTAATTCTGGATCTTGATCTAGATCTTCCATTTCCTGAAGTCTTTGACACATCATCTAGTGAAATGTCGGCAGTGGGTGTGAAATCTTCAGAATCTCTTAATACCCGTCTCGATGCTCTAGATATCTCAAGTGACAATTCTGCATCTGATGCCAAGCAGTTCTCATCCTCTTCCGACCTGCTCTTTCCAGAGATTGGAAAGTTGGAAAGTACACCAACTGTTTCAGAGACACCCTCCAGCAAGCCTGTCACCAACGTGAAGGTCACAACTACCAGGCTGTCAGACTCATGTCATTCGGTAAGCTTGGAGATATCCCTCACATCCAAGAAGAGAGAATCTGCTCATCCGACGACTCTGGACGTCCTCTCCCTCTATGAAGGACTGTCCATCGAGGAAGCTCTTGCAGAGGAGCAGAAGATGCTGTCCCCAGAGCCAACACTTAACAGGTCAGATTCATCAGGGAGCAGCTACAAGGATGCTATCTCAGCCAATCTCACTTCTCCAACTTCTGAGGACTATGTCACCGCACCTGAAGAGCACTAAATATTGACATATGTGCTTATTGTCACCCGCCATTTGATAATATGTCAATGCTTTACACTGAATACTTAACCATGTTATTTCAAATTCTTTCATTTTTTTACAACTTGTTCTTTCACCAGGTGACCATTTGACAAATTCAAGTAGAGCACAGAGATTGATTGCCAAAGGAAGTAGGGATTATTTTCATATAAATCAAGTGCTTCTAAGAGCACGAGCCATTTTGTATTCATTTTTGTATTACGCAGTCAGTGCCTTGACATTGAACAATTTAATTTCTATTCTTCTCATCAACTTGTTTTGGATGGTGAATTTGTGTGTTTGGATTGCTCTTATGTTAGTTGAATGAAAAAATATTTTGGAGAAAAATAAACATCTTTTAGGGGTTGATCAGTCGTTGTATAGTGATATATAAAACTTGTTTCAGCTTCTCTTAGCTCTGACAACTATCTTCACTTTCTTTATGTTCTTGTGGTTCACCGTTCTGTTTTAAGGAAATTAGAATGCATTTAATGAACAAGAGCTGTTTTTCTGCATTGAGTATCGATTGGTCTACTTTTGATATTATGATGTCACTTATGATATTATAATGAGGTATATTCCACTGATACTTTGTTCAATATTTCTTGGTATTTCAAAGGTGACACAGGTGATCACAGAAGATATGAAATCATTTTATATCTCCTTGGGGAGTGGCTGTATCAATATCACTGTCATTGGTTGACCATTGCATCTTTCATATCCTTGTAGAATTCAAGCTTGTAAGTGATTTTCATTGGATCTATAATTCCATCCTGTCAGTTTAATTAGCTTCATTCATATTTCTGAGAAAGAACAGATTCTAGTCTGTTCTATCGTTTGAATGTTTTTGGCCTCGACGCCGCCCGATCACGTCATGAAACAGTCATGTGACAGTCATGTGACTGACTTGATAGTTTGATTGTGTGGGAGGAAGTCTTAAGGTCCGGATTGTTCAAGCAAAGATTACATCATTTGCTTGCATATAGTAAATCTTATAGGATCATCTAAATTTCATTCTACTTCATATAAAGTATTCTTACTTTGATAGAACATTTGTTTTGCATTTTAAATGCAAACATATAATCTTTCTTCACTATGACTAATTTTCTAGGATATAGAATATGTTGTTTCAGCCTTTTAAATCATTTTTTTCTTCTTATTACTTACATTCACTTGGATTATAGAAAGGCTGCTTTCATACATATAAACCCTTACTATCATTTCTCAGTCATGAATCCTATTATCTGCTAGTCTGTGTAAACTGTTAGCCTATCTTTTCGTTAAGTCTGAAAATATTTCACAGGCAACCTTCTTATGAGAAGGATTGAAAGCCAAAAAGCCAAAGCCCTATTCAAACAAATTGTGACAGTATTGCTCCATGCAAAGTGCCTTTCAACTTTTATAAACATTTCTGATGTGAGTAATCACGTAATATAACTGTTAAGTTTGTCCCCTTACCTTGTGTGGTGAATTGAACAACAAGATTAGTGTCTGCATGTTTTTAGGGTGTTTTTTTTTTTTTAATGTTGAAGAAGATAATGCACATTGTACATGTTTTCAATATATGTCAATGTCTTCTTTCATTGTGCTATTTTCTAAATGCAAAACTCTGGAATGTCTGTTGCCTGCTGCAAAAGTGGAGATCTTTGAAAAATATTTTCTTTGTTTACTATTAGGCACAAAACAGACTCAAATTACATGCTTTGACGCTAAAGCCAGGATGCACAAAATATTTTCTTTGGAGAAACGCTAGTATCAAGCATGTATCTCATGGATATAAGTTGCAGAAATTGTATTTAGCAAAAGAAGCAGGATAAATAAATCATGTTGAGTGAACCACTTTGCAGTAGTTGTATTTGTCTTGCTAAAATGTTTTTAGCTTTAAGGCATGTGTGTTGTGTATATCGTCGTAGAAATATTTAATATATAAGGTATGTGTATTCAGGCTTATCTATGTGTTCCCTGAGCTTTGTATGATACTCTGTAATTTACCCAAGGATTTGGCATGTATATTCATCCAAATGTAGTTATGCTGTATGTGTATATTTCTATTATATCCACCATGGTCATTGTATATTTCATTTAGATTGCTTTTGTGAAGTCGAAGGGAGGTGTTGTATCAAGCTAGAAAGAGTTCTGTGAAAGCACCTTTATTCTCTCTACTTTTCTTGCCAAATAGAGTAATAATATGAATCTCAGAATTTATTGATAAAGAGAAAGTACCGTTGATTAAGATTTACTGTAATATGTAGTGTGGATATTTTTGTTATCTTAATAAAACTAATTATCATTCCTGATGTAAGAAATTAATGTTCATAGTGTACATTGCAATGTTTTGATAACAGAAGCACTAGCCAATTGTACTTTAAACAGATATGTGGCAAGCAGCTATTTTTCATGTTTTGTACAAGCTAAAATTTTAAATGAATCAATGATAAAGTATGAGGAATGATGATGTATGTTAAATTGATAAACATCTTTCACCTTTGCAAGTGATTGTAGGTGTTGTGTCAGAGGAGAAAAACTAGTAAATGTTATCATTATATTTATGAATGAATTCATATCACTGACGAGTCAGAGTTGACAAATAATTGTTTAAATTCTTAACATGATTATTAGAGAATTTAAATGCAGTTGTTGTATTCAGAAATACAACAATGTAATTGCTCTTTTCATCTATCAATCTAACTTTCATTTTTGTCAGGTTAAGTGGAAAACAAATCATTAATATTAATTTTTCTTAAGAAATTGTCTTTTCCTTTCATGTAAAACTTCAAATAAGGTGCTATGAGTCTTTCCACTTCCAAGTTCTTCTTACATGTCACAATGTAGCAATCGTGCTAAGTAATTGAGTCACAGGTACGATAGTGGTGCTATTTCAATTTTGGAACTACCTTTAGAGGCTATAATACCAACTAATGGGGCCGTCAAACATGTCAGCATTTAAGCACATACAGTGCACTGTAAATTATTTGCAGTTACGTGTATCCATTCTTTGCTATTTTCTTAGTGAATTATGTGTATGTGATTTTGAAGAGAAAGTAGTATGTTTAAATGGCCTTATCACTTCAACTAAAGTGGAGATTATAAAGAGACCACCTTTCATATTGTGCTGCACAATTATGTTGAATTATAAACATTGGACAAGTACAACTGTAGTTGATGTGTACGCAAGCTTACCTATTCTGTATGAATTGTTAACATTATTGATGATAATTTGGGTTTTTATCCTATCTGTATGGTTTGGCAGCACTCACAGAATGCCTCAAAGTTAATGCTAATCTGTTGCAACTTGCAGTGTCCTTTTCCAGGTAAAGAGACTTTCTGTAAATTCATGATCAGATTGGGTTTACGTGCTACGTTTGATCTAATGGTTTATTAGCACAAGCTTGATATGCAGACCAGCTATAATCTGTTTATATCTGCACAAATATTTAGGCACTGTATCTACTTAAATGCCTTTCTCTCCAGCGATAAAAATACCGTCTTTTTCTACATTGTGTAATGTATACCCATAGTATACCGTCAGCTTTCAGAGTTTATCAACTACCTGTGGACTTAATATTGATGAATTTTCAATAAAATAAGAACAAATCAACTCAAAATTGATCTTACTAAATTTATAAAAATATGACCATGAATTGAATACATTGTATATCTTTTGCTTATGTTGCTGTATGAGTTGTATTTATTCATTTGATAAAGCAAAGCAATGTTTTGTTATTGTTTTGTATAATTTGTAAGAGGTATGTCTGTTGTCTTTGTTACGGCCCTCGCTTGACATCACTACCTCTTTCTTCAGGTAGTGAAATGTACATCATACAATAAAAACAAGGCGTCCAGACTGGAAACACAAAATACTTTAGTGGTGCAGTTCTTTTATCTCCTTTTTATTTCTTCAAAATCTCTTTTGATGCATTAATACTGATGCACTATATGCGTGATTTAACGAAATGTGTACTACATGTATCGGATGAAAATCTTATATCCATTGATTTCATGTCAAAATGAAAATGTCTTGATATGATCACTGACTGGTACCAGAACCAAAGAACAAATATTCAACATTCTGGTTAAGAAATTTTTAATTTTGGTTTGAAATAAATGGATAAAATTGTCAAATTTCATGTTGTACACTATACATTTCATGGAATTTCTAATATGAAGTGTGAAAAGCAAGTACAAATAGGCAGTTTTTAAAATGATTTTCATAGCTGATGGACTTTAAAAGTTGTGGATACAAGCATCAGATTTACAAATAATATCATGTCCTTTTTAAGTAAGAGATGCACAGAGAGAGAGAGAGAGAGAGAGAGAGAGAGAGAGAGAGAGAGAGAGAGAGAGAGAGAGATAAGAATTAAATTCAGATTTCAAAAGAGACAGAGACAGGTTTAATAGAAAGAATAGGAGGCAGAGCAAAAAAGGTAACATTGAAAATTAAAAAATGTTCAGCAACAAATATGAGGGTACCAAGACATAACAAAAGAGGTAATGTTTGAATGGGTCTTTCAGAAGAGAGTGTAGGATTGATAGAGAGAAAGGAAGAACACAAGCTCAAGAGGAGTGTAAAATGTAAAGGAAAAGAAGGGAATATGTGTGTAAGATTTATGAAAGAGTGAGATAGAGAAGAAAAAAGTAACACCAGTTCTTGCAGATTGTGAGTTTTTAATCAGATAAAAACACAAGTCAACAATTGAAATTTACAACTAAGTTACTTCTGAACAAAAGGTATCTTTAAATTACCACACAAACAAAACTACAACAAAACGAGTTAATTTTGTCAGTCATGAATATTGATTCAATTTTATTTTCACATAAGAATGGATACATAATGCAATTAAAAACTTAAAAAGGAGGGATTTACAAGCACAAATGGAGATGCTATAGCATGTTGGACTGGCGTGTTTAACTATAAACTAAACCTGAGATCGGTTTTAATACATCAGTAGCATTAATTTGACAAGGCCAAATGTAGGGAAAATACTTGCATGATTTAAAAAATCTACAAGCTTACTGTCCTAAAAATGTTGCTATTACAATCTTATGCTTACTTAGCATTGGCCTATTGCAATGTATCAATGTATACAAATTACAATTTCATGATGAGGTACAAAATAACCATTTCAAATCTTTAAAGTCAGCAGCATTTTTATTCTGGGCATTATTTGGAACATATGTCACACACACACACACACACACACACACACACAGCCTATTGATAGAATATGTAATCAAATGTCTAGCCATTTCGTAGATATGTTGATAAATATTTAGTCGAGATGTCAAATGTCTGGAATTAAATAATAGGAGAGTAAACACAACATACAGTTACAGACCTACACATCAACTAGCACAAAAGTGAATTGGTGACCAATGTTTTACCAAGTTCTTGTACACAAAAGACGGCTTGTCAAAAGCCCAGTATAAAAATCATTAAAACTGTGTAAAAAAAGGTGTATTCTGTGTCTAAACATATACCTACATATTGACTGTAGTCTTATTATTATGCTTAATCTATTTCCTGTTAAATTAAATGACCATTCTTTGTACATTCAAAACAAGCATTTACGACTGTCAGCCACATGATTGCAATTAAAGTGAAACATCAACAATAAGAATCATTAATCATTATTGTTTTGGAAAAAGGACAAACGTTACATAGCAGAAAATCGAACTTAGCTCGACCTTAATAAATAACTAGAAAGTATTTTCTATTTTTCACTCATCCAGGGTTTACATGTACATGTTTGTAAATTTATTTGATGTATATTCTAAAATGAAATGTCATCTGCACACTGGCTTTAAAGTTATCATAAATCTTATTTTGTGAAAGAGACTCTAATAAATAAACATTAAAAATACATACATTTAGAAGGAATTCAAATTGGAATATTAATAATTACATATATTTGTGGCTTACACCCAAATATGATTAAACAATTGAAATTTCTCCCAGGAAGTATTACATTTATAAAATTGTTATACATGTATCTTATCATTTAAAATAGTTGTAAAAAGTAAAAAGTGCAAAAAATTGTTAATACCAGAACCGGTACATGTATTAAAGCAAACACATACGGATGTATTCGTAAAGATTCTATATTAATACTACAAATAAATACATGTAGTAAGCGGACAAAAAAGACAACTAAAATCCCTTTTAATCTGCTTGTCATAACTGTTACTTTCCAAGTATAATGACATTCAATGCTGGAGAGCCTACCACTACTGTAAGAAGTTTTAGGCACCAATAAAACAATGGAAAGGTGTACAAAGCTACAGTACTAATGAGATCTTGTAATCAATCTCCATTGCAAGAGAAACTGGCTGACATGTATTGACTGCATTATTTATCATGAAGTAAATGGACCAGGAAGTTATTATAAACAAACTTATGAAAGCTTACATGTGTTCCATGTTCTAGTGCTCTATACACCATCTGGATGACTAGTTGGATTTCTTCAAAATTTATTCTATCAAGTAAGTTTAGATCTCATCTACTGGTAGGCCTATATGATTATTACTTCGTGCATTTTTGGTTTCATACCATGAAAATTATGTTTTTCAGTCATCATTAGAGCTCAAGAGGCATTGTAACTCCATGAAATAATTTACACATACAAACGTAAAACATAGGAATATAAACTCAATTTGTGCTAAAGACATTTGACATATTTCAGAGTATTTGGGGAGGATTTTCAGCTCATGAAAGACAATGCTCCATTTCCTTTTGTGCAAGAAGAGACTCTGCTCTAGTTAGCATTTGTCTGCATGCAATACTATTTTCAGCTGAGTTCTAAGAGATTTCTACAAAATTGCAATTTTTTTAAAAGTAAAAAAAGGACAATCCAATGGACACCAATACACAGAACTTGCTAAGATGAGGGGCAATCCTGTGCAATTATATACTGTTTATGGATGATTCATTATGTAAATAGTCAATGAAAAACAATTGCATAAAGGTTGGCATTAACATGCTATCTCAACAGCATCATCAATATAAACATTGTTGAATTCACTTTTTCACACCTCTTATATATATTTTTTTAAAGAAGAATCCTATACTGATAATATTATTGGTCTTGTCTTACAGTAATCTCAGAGCATCTAAACAAAGAAAAAATGACTAGATGCTTGTGCTTTGTTTCTAAAACATAAATGCACTACACAATGGTTTCTTTTTCATTCACAGACTCCAACCTACATCACATTCACAGCCAATCTTTATCATTTTGGAGCACACAGTTCAAATAATAATGGGGGGGGGGCAGTAAAATATCATCTCAACTAGTGCCATCTATACACAGAGTTTGGCCGAGCCGGTTAAAGTTGGACACAATATGACAACTACTGCTTTGTTGGGCAAGCACAAAACAAAAGAATATACACCATGTTGTGACCCAGTGAAACCCAGTGGCCAAACTCTGTGTATAGATGGCTCTGATCTCAACTACTGAGCATATTTCCCATTTGTTTGCTAATTAGAGCTCCATGTAGAAGGGTGTTCACTCTTATCCTTTTACACAAAGTTAACCCTCTGCCTCACGAGGAACTGGGTGGTCACTGTATGAACTTTATGGGAAATTGAGAATCCAGTATTTAATGGGTTAACAACTTAACACCCTCTTGGTTCTCAACAGATGACTTTAACATTTTACTGTGTAAATCAATGATATATACCATGGCTGTGATACTGTATATCATATTTACATGGATAAAGAGGAGAGGAGAGAAAGATATTACTATGTTTACTATGAAAGTATGCCTGCACACCTTTATATGCTTTATAATATCATAATAATAATAATGATAATAATATATCTTGTTTTACCCAGGGTAGCCTTATCAGTATTAATACTGTTCTCCCTGAGGGCCCTGTATTACCCCGGCTTTGTCTACACACATATACAGTAGTTCTTGTTAAAAGTAATAATAATAATATTGGATATTTATATAACTAAATACTCCGGCTCTGCTATAGGCAGCCGATTTCGGCGCTCACAGCATTCAAGGAATTCCTTCCTACCGGTACCCATTAAATACCTGGGTGGAGAGTGGCAAATGTAGATTAATATCTTGCTAAAGGACATTATAGTGCTGTGGCGGGACTCGAACCGCGGACCGTGTGATCCACAGTCTAATGACTCATCCACTAGACCGCAACACCTCTATGATTTTGAGACTGAATTTGAGAGAGTATATTGCGAACTCAAAATCTATCACTTACCGCCCTGAGACAGATTGCATAATGGTAGAGTTTATTTGATGGTTGTGAATTGGTTCCTTAAGATAGGTCTGATTATCTACATTGATTAGGTCTGTATTACATTCTTCCAAAATTCAGTTGTTTTTGTCAATTAGGGATGCTGGATGAATGTAGAGAAAGGAGGGGGTAGGGAGTATTTCATTCCACCAAAGTCATGCTGACTACTAAATCTCTAATGACTTAACGGTACTGTGCCCCTTCCCCTCACAAAGCATAATCCAATTGGTTACATATTCTCAGCTGGAAACATACTTGACATCATGAATCATCATGTTCTCTACTGCCCTTTGACCTCCTAACAGCTGAGTAAAAAATGGCTGACAACTGCTTTATTTTGCAATCAGTAGAAGCCCCTGACTCATGGGCCTTTCTGTAATGCATATGATGATTGAATCTATAAGGTGATATAAGATATATGTACCAAATACCTGAGATGGTATACTGCACAAGACAATTAACCATGTCTTCTGTGAATGAGGCATTGTTGGTATAACTATTTCCTTATCACTGTTTATATTTCAAATAGTATCACAATTCTTGATGTACATCACTCAAAGGTAATGTACCTCCCAAGAACGACTGTAGTATTCGACGCTATGATGCTCCATTCCAAATCATAAGAATGTCTTGCACACTGCAAACCCATTTTACTCTAATGAATTCAACTCGTACATTTTTAAATAGCAAACTGCAAATGTGCTAACTACAGAATATGATAATATCAGTTTGCTATATACAATATATATAAATATGACAAGAATTATTGTTCTATCTAAAATTTTACATAGATAAAATGATTTAAAACGATGCTCTGCAGCATCAAATGTCTCCTACTACGACGTGCTCTTCCATGCCTTCACTTTCCGTGATGAGAGCTCGTTCTAAAATCACTTTGCCTTCTTTGTACCTCTGAGACTCCTCCGTGGCAAATTCATAGATCCAACCAAGTTTTGAGTCACAGTTTTTACAGAAAACATCTCGTACCATGTGACGTCCAGTTAACATGATCCTGTCTTGGACCTCACTGAATGATAAATTGACGACTCGTTTGAAGAGATACGCACGACCTGTTGACCCTGTGAAACGGGTTGACATCAGTTCCGCCCTGTTGGTTAGTACTGTGTCACAATTAGCACATGAGAACAGTCTTGTGCCTCCTATATGCTCCAAGAAAACTCGCCCCATGATGGATTCTTCCTCTGAATGGACTAGAAAAAGAAAAAAAAAGACAAAGCACAATTTTGTGATTATTGCTATGATTTGAATATACTATTATTATATTCATATAACTTACAATGAAAAGTGTTTTTTCCCTGATATGAGGGAAAAATACAAAACAGCATTATACTACAATATACAATACATGTGATGAGTTTCATCTTCAATACATAACATCAACAGGGCTCGACAGGACTGTGTCTGGATGGTGTCTTAGAACGGACAGGACTACTTGGTAACCTAAAGGATATCAAAATATACATTTTGTTGGGGGTTTTTTTTCTTTTCTTTTTTCTGCATTTTAATTCCTTGTTTTGGTTATCAAAATTAAAAAGATAGGATTGGAAAGAGAAGAGAAAAAGAGAGAGAAGCCTATAATTTTGTATCCTGTCATCCACATTATATATCTTAAAAAGAGAGAAAAAAAAGAGGAAATTAATATTAAAAAGAAAGGCGTTGGTGATTATAGTCAGTTCTTGACTGATTGCCATTACAAAAACAACAAAAAACAACAATACAAAACCTTTCATCACAAATATCAATATAAATAGTACTCGGTAGATACTGATCCTTTTAAAAGATCATGAGGTCCATGTTTTTGTCTACAACCTTAACAAAAGCCCTTTCTCATCATTCCAGATAATCTCAAGAGAAGTTAGCAAGTGCACTAACCTAGAGCTGAGATACACAATAGAGAATTTAACAACAAACTAGTTATTGATTGCACAAAAAGCACCTTATCTGACCTTCTCTAGGGAGTCCAATCAGCAATATTGATTATATCAGTAGAGCCAAGAGATAAACTGCCTCCTTGTTCTTTTAAAATTGTGTATCAACACTCTTTTTTCCACACTGTGAGTAGGGTAACAGCTGCTTAAGACTTGCCATAATGAGAAGGAAGGGGTGTCAAGTTTGTATACTAGAAGAATATTATGAGCATTTGGAACTGAAAGAAGCCCACTCTGTATCCTTCTAAACCCATCATTACTAAAGTATGTACTTATGAACCATGGAGAACATTTATTTTGGAAAGAACATGTATACTTTTATTTTCTTTTTAATTTACCTATTGATTTTCCTCTCCTTTTCATGTTTGCCCCATTGCTATAAAATAATTAACTCTTGCACAGCTAGTGATAAACACTCTTCAGAATATAGAAAAAAATACAAAATTTTAGTTAACGATGTGCACCTGTTTATGTTGTTAATTATCTTTAACAGGGCTTATATTGTCCAATTTCTAAAAATTAAAAAAAAATGAATACAAGCATCATATTCATAGGTTAGAAAGCAGCTATATCGAGTTCGAGGTCGGTTTGATTTTTGCTGCTATGTTGGGCAAGCAACTTATAGCACAAATTATACCCCCTGCCCAAATTTATATATTACTATCTTAATTATTTAATCAGTACACCTATTTATTTTCAAAAGACAAAATCTTTCTCTATTTGAAGGTACCTACATTTTGTCCATTCATGTCACAAACAAAAGACAAAGGAAGCAAGTACATGCTACGGCTGCATTCCCTAACATAAATACATACATGATCACAGCTGATTGTGCATCAAGCCAGAGAATGCTAGCTTTTCACACACACAGAACACACAGAACTTGAGCGACAGCACAGTTTGGGTACAGGGTTTCGTGGCGTTAAGGATAATGAATCACTGTATGGTTCAATTTTAAACTTTAAATGTGGCGTTCTCGTGATATCTTAAAAGATCACAATCTATATGCCCGTAGTAAATTAATGAACTTACATGTTGTATGACTGTTTTGGAAAGCACCGTCAGATTTGTCTCGGAATCTTCTGTTGATTGCAGCTGTGTTTATTATGATCGGTAGGTCAGCCACATCGAGGAAACGCTTCCGCATACGGAACAAAAACTATGACGTCATCGTCGTGCGTTCGGCCAATAACAAAACCATGTGTCCGACAGCGCGCCAATCGCAAGCTTTGGCGCGTTTAAATGGTCATTATTATGCAAGAATGAAAGGAGACCAAAATAGGGCAGTATAATGCGAATGTGTCAAGAACAATCATTTCGTTTGGCAGCTGTTAACAGTATACTACCACCAAATTTACTGAACTGAAATTTACTGCATAATTCTGTACTTATTCATATCTCTTAGCCTTTGTTTCTGCCTAAACTAAAGTGAGGATTTCATCAAAGAAGAAGCTTGTATCATGGCGGATCCAGGGGGGGGGGGGGGGGGCCCCGGGGGCCCGGGCCCCCCCCCCCTTGAGAAAAAAATCATGTAAAATCACGTGATTTTTACCTTTTTGGGGGGTTGGGCCCCCCCCCCCCTGGCGCTCAAGGGGGGGTGCAAATTGAAATTTTTTTTGAGGATCAAAAAAAAAAAAAGTACTCACTACCCCCCCCCCCCCCCCCCCCCCCCCCCCCCCCCCACTGAGCGAATTTTTGGCCGGCGCATTTTTTCAAATTTTCGGAGCAAAAAAAAAAAAAAATTGTGCTCTGTAACCCCCCCCCCCCCCCCCCCCCCCCCCCCCCACCCCCACTGAGCGACTTTTTCGGCCGGCGCGATTTTCAAATTTTCGGGAGCAAAAAAAAAAAAAAGTGGGCCCCCTCCCCTAAGATCCTGGATCCGCGCCTGGCTTGTTATATCATATTCATATACTCATCATGAATATACCACAAATGACATGTCCTATGTGGCTCTAAAGAACTAGTCAACGGAGGCCCTGCCAGAAGCCAGGATAATAACAGTAAAACAAACGATATATCAAATTTTAAAAAGTAAAATAGTAAAATTGGAGGCCTATGTAAATTCAGTTGTTGCATCTCCCTTGGAAATCATGTCTGTGTCACTGTATCCACTGTTTTTCATGATGAAAGAGATGACAAAGATGAAAACATGTTGGGAGAGGGGGCCCCAAGAGATTTTTAAAATCATGAAGAAAATCATTTTTGAATTGAAACCATTTCTAACATAGCAAATAGAACTTGTGATAATGAGAGGGAGCATCGTGCCATTGCAGGATACTGGATTGATGATGGATGGATGTCCTCTACAAATAAAATTGATAATTTTGAAATGAAGAGTTCAGGAATAGGAACGAGTTGAAAATCTCTTCGGACAAGTTATTCCAGGAATGATTTTGCATCCCTCCCCCCCCCCCCCCCCAACAAAGTAGGTGTCAGTTTATGTGTGTCTCACCTTTCTACACATTACCAGGTACCCCTAAACAAAAATAAAACTTTTTGTCAAGTATGTTGAGGCTTAGTTTTCACAGTTATTGTTCTACTCATACCTCATTCAAGCACATGTATACATGCTAGGAAAACATGCAGGTATCACTCGATTTATAATAAACAAGGGAAATGCTCTCGGCGGTCTCGCCTGCATTAAGCAATTCGATATGATGAAAAGTTGAAGTTGAGACATTATTTATATATAGGCAGGGTGGCCCATCAGCAGGCCCCCAAATTGAAATCCTCTACATAATCAGCTTTTTGAAGTGGATATTTACGAAGAATCAACAGAAAAATTATTTACTATTATTTCTACCAAGATTAATAACTTTCATGAAATACATGTATGAACAAATAACAAAAATTGATTTAAATCCAAGTCTACTGACCTAAAGTGACCCTAGACTTTGACTTTGTGATCTAGAATTGGTGTCATGTGATTTGTGATACTTGATAACCCTTGGGTACAAGTTTCATGGAAATTGAACAAACACTTTTGAATTATGCTAAAATTTCAAAATCTTGATGTTGATGCCACATCAAAGTCCAAGTTTGCAGACCTGAAATGACATTTGACCTTGACTTTGTCACCTAAAAGACTAATCACATGGTTGGTGACACTCAATAACCCTTATGTTCAAGTTTCATGGAATAGGAATGTATACTTTTAAAATTATGATAAAAATTCAAAATCTTAACCTGATGCCACAATAAAGCCTAAGTTTGTTGACCCGAATTGACCTTTGACCTTGACTTAGTGACCTGAAATTCTACTCACATGATTGGGGATACTTGATTACCCTATAGTCCAAGTTTCATTGTATAAGAACTTACACTTTAAAAATTATATTAAAAATTCAAAAACTTAACCTCAGGTTAAGTTTTTGATGATGATGCCGCAACATAGTCTGAGGTTAAGTTTTTGATGTTGACGCCGCCGCCGCCGCCGTCACCGGAAAAGCGGCGCCTATGTCTCACTTTTTGCTACGCAGGCGAGACAAAAACAAAGTGAGGAATTCTGTAGGATACTCTTTTCTAAACAATATCAACCATCAATATCAATGAATAGCAACATTGGTACCTACAATACACACAGGTAAAAATGACAATGCACTTTTGAATTTTCAGAGAAAAAAAGCATACAGCATGCCATTTATTTCACCTTTTCTGTAGAAGCAAAATCTAAGGTATTCAGAAGTAAAATATACATGTATACAGAGAATGCCGGGAATGAACAATGAGGATAAGCTCATAAGCAAGTTTTAGTGTATTCATATACTACTACGTCATTGGATTCATTATCTCCCATATAACAAAACACCAACATTACCAATATAGATGCTTATAACCAGTTTCATCTACCAAAGGAAAAGTTGTTTACTTGTCACCATTTCTAGGACCAGATTTAGGTGTACCATATGAAGGAATAAACTGAGTGAATGTAATGATTTTTTTAAACTTTGATATTATAGTAGAGAGTGTATGAGTATCTTGTATGGTTATGACACGCCTATGAAATGTGGACCATTTACATTCTCTTGGAAGTAAGATTCCAGTCATAAACTTGAAGCTGAACAATGTTCTAGGTATGACTACAGCAGGGAGGTGTCATGTATTGAAAAGTTCTTTATTTCATAAAGTACGACGCGGAATTTTACATGAAATTTTACTGCTTTAAATTGGTTTAAGTTTTTCAATATTTAATAAACATCAAATAGAGTGTGTCTGACAAGTGTCCTTATAGTTATACAAGCTATAACAATTTTATGATAGCATGTACTATAAATATTAGAAGAAAGGTAAAATTAAATTTGAAGGCCAATGAATATTTTTCATAGAGGAATGATAGCAAAATAATTATACATTAGTATTTCAAATTGTAGATTATCTGCTTAAGTCAAAGAGGTTTCTACCACAACATAAGTGCCACATTATATACATGAGATACATTCATCTTATTACAAGACAAATTTGAATAAGGCACAACTAATGGCTATATGGAACTCTCCTCTTGTGCACTGCTTTTCAATTGTAATAAATGACCTGCCTAAAGCAGCCTAATACATAAGTTTGACAAAGCCATACAAGCATTTTAACCTATTGAATCATTATCACTTAGTTCAAACATTGCTAAGGACATTCATTGTTATGCTAATAACAAAATTAGAGGAAGAGAGACTGGCTATAAACAAAATTATTGATAGCACATGTCTTAAAATAACACTAGCTTGTCAGTGATTTATATTCCGGATTCCCATCCATTGGTACGCTGTATGAAAATATTCTTTGAGACAGAAAATAAACATGTTTTGCACACATTGTACATTGAATTCTTGAAGAAGAAAAAAACATTCGTCTAAAATTCTAGATATGAAAGCTTTCTTTGTATATGAGTAAAATCTTACCGGTAAGCATTTTCCGCAATGTATAAATTCTCTAAATTCTTCTGTTACAATTTTTAATCACTTCACTTTACATCTGCAATAAAGAAACCTAAAATAATGCTTCCTGTGTTTGTTTTTTTAGAAAAAATATATATTTACAAGAAATTAAGAAAATAACATTATAACATATATTTACCTTTCCCATCCAATCACCATTCTCTTAACCATCACACACACTCTTCTTATCTTCAATAACCATGTTGCATATTCAAATGACTTCCATTCCTTTCATTCTGAAATCTTTTATCTGCCAATGAAGATTAATCATTCTTAAAAATCCAAATAATGAAATATACACTTCATTATGATTACCAAGTACTGACTAGTATATAAACTAACATTTAAGATATAATCCTTGAATGGATAATAAGAAGGTTAAAACTCTCTCTACCACATGCCCCTAATAATGTGCACATGCAAAGGAGATGACAGAAATGATAATCAAATATATGTACTGTTTTTACATGTACATATATCTTGGATTTTGTAACTATTTTCATTACATGAAAATGTAGTTTTACATAACTTTAGTGTTTATGTTTAGACAATATAAGGAAATGAACACATTTCAAAGAGACCATAAGTGCCATTCAATGACTGACCTTAATAAAATGTTATCTGGAAATAAAGCAAAATCTTTTAAGACTGTCCAATTGGTAAACTCCATTGAAGAAATATTATCATAGTCCAATATAGCTTTTTTTTTCCTAAAAAAGCCAACATTTTTATACAAAATTTTTGAATTTTCCAAAACTACATGATGAAGGAAGTACCAAAATTAATGAAGGGGAAAAGATTTAGAATCAATTGGAAGTGCAAATGAAAATCTTCATTAATTTTCATCTACCGGTAAACAAAATTTAAACTTGACTTCTAAAGTGGCTGCAATATTTTTGGGGGGTTATAGATACATGTGTTGACATACCCCATTCATAGTGGTGGCTTGACTTGCATCAAGCGTAAGTTCACACTGAGCCCCCGCAAGATAATTCCTGATAAGAATACTCTCACCTACGCAAATTTATCCCACATAAGATCAATTTTTACTCAATTTTACCCCAACTGTGAATGAGGTATCATAATCACTAATGCTTATAAATGGTTAAAATGTTTAAGATTAATAGATCATTTAAATGAATCATATTTGAATTCATGATATTGCGATTTATGGATTTTAAGCAGTTAGGACAAAGATATGTCAAGATTTGATGAGAATTGGTTTGGATAGTATCTGTTTTTTTAAAGAAATCTGTAAACAACACTCTCCTGACATCTTCTTTTCTCACGATCTAATAAAGAAGCAATATACAGTGTAATGTACAATATGTACACAACTTTGGGACTAGTCCCATCTTTCTACACTGTACAATACCATCTCGGCACTGAAATTCTGTCTCTTCCCAGATTTAAATCATCTACCTTCTACATCCATCACATGGTGCATATCTTGTTCATAGTAGTTATCTTTCATGTCATGAAAGCTTCTGTGTACACTACAAGAGTATCCAGATCTTCAATTACTACTTGTATCGCTAGTGTTGGGCTCCTCAAATCCATCCCTCTCTGTGATAAGTGCCCTCTCAAGAATTGTGCGACCTTCCTTGTACCTCTGGTTATCCTCTGTCGCAAATTCATACATCCAGCCTAACTTGGTGTCACAGTTCTTACAGAAGACATCACGGACCATGTGCCGGCCGGTGATCATCATGCGATCCTGTACATCACTGTATGACAGATTCACAACCTGAAGGGGAAAAAACAAACATTTTCATTCATTCTTATATTATGGACACACATTCATACCATAACAATAATAAGAGCGGGTTAACGTATATCACACTTGACACTCTTGGGGCTCTATTCCCCTGGCTTTAAATAGCATGGCTGCTACATGTATATCCGTGCTTGAGCATTTCACAGAAGTAATTCCTGCCAGATACCCATTTACTTCACCTGGGTCAAATATAGACAAATTCTTGCCAATGAACATTAGAGCCGGGACTTGAACCACATACTTTGTGATCCTTAGTTCTTAGACTTTAATCCACTTGACCACAACACCTCTACAAATTATATAGAATACAGATCCTTGACTAACAAAAATATTCAAATTGTAACTAAGAATTCTATCCTGTACAGTAATCCTTTAAAGAATTTTACTCTGTACAATCTTTAACTCTGAAGCAAAGGGCAACAACTGCAAACTTTGTTTCAAGGAAGACAGATAACAAGTAGTAATTTTGTTATAAATCTATGCCATAAATAATTACCTTGTTGAAAAGGAAAGCTCTCCCTGTTGAACCAGTAAACCTTGTTGATAGTAACTCAGCTCGGTTGGTAAGATTGGAATCACAGTTGGCGCATGAATAGAGCCTGGTGCCACCCATGTGATCAAGGAACACACGACCCATCTTGGCAGATGAAGAGCGGTATCTAATATCTGAAACATGGAGAGAAAACAATTTCATTTGATAAATCAACTGCAAACATGCTGTTTTATTCCTTATGAATTACTAGAATGGCTTCTTTTAAAGCCATGGCAGCTAACAGACTCAAAATTGGAGATCATCTGACAACTGTATAAGGCAATTTCATAAACCCCTTCTTTCTTCATTGCTTGATTTTTACTTGATGCATCATTTGTCAGATAGACTCAATTACCCATGTAGAGTGAATGAATCTGAAACCGCGTGTTTTAAAATAGGAAACCACTCATCCTTAAATACATGTAAATTTCTGTGCAAGAACTATGGAGGGAAAAGAAAGTGATTGGTGGTTTCTAAATCTTCGCATATAATATATATGCTACAGTTTTACTACTACAGCACCTGTATGTCCACAGTGTCTGTAACTCTGCAATTCCAATAAAATAAATGATGTAATTAACACATTTCTGTTTCAATTGCAGCTATAAGTAGACCAAAAAATTATGCAAAATAGAGGTAAAATGATTGAAAAAAGTCTCTGATCTACTTTAATAAATTTATTTTCGAGGCTTGAAATGCTATCTTTTACATTAAAAAAGAAATCCTATATTGATTAATAATGAATGAGTATGCAGACGTGGGAACCCTTTTTTCAAATTATGTCAAAAATTACATTTTTTCAGTCATTTGGAAATGACACAACACTCAGCAGCCTTTATACAAGTTCTTTTAAAACTTGCTTTTGAGGAAATTCTTGGCATATTTCTCTTTTTATAATGTAGATCTAGGAATCCTTTTACATTACAGGCAAATGTACGGGGCACAGATAAAGCCAGGGCTCCCAATCATATGACGTGGGCAGTGATGTTTACCCCCATTGAAGACTAATTAGCATTGACCACTATGAATGATATGGGCGCTTGTTCACAACTGTGACCCTTTGGACCCATAACTCTGGCCGGGAGATACCAAACTGTAACACACCAAAATTCATCAAAATCTTCCACAATTGTTTAAATAATGGTCATGATTTAAAAGTTGTTATCTTTCTTAGGTGTTTTGTGTCAAACTTTCTTATCTTTTTTTTGAGTGTTTTTCCTGAAAACGAAGACATTCGTAAATTTGGTAAACACTTTCTTGCAGGTTTCATAGCAAACCGACCAAAATGCTCATCATCAATTCATACTGTGAATTACTTCATAATTACTTGCATGAATTTAAGGAGGATCCGAGATTACAGTTGCAAACTTCTATACACGGACGCGCACGCACCCCGGCCTAATGTTGGTTACACTTGTATTGCATGTGCAGCAGTTTGCCGTGAAACCTGTGAGTTGCATTGTCTACTAATGTCTTCGTTTTTAGGAAAAATACTCCAGAAAAGACAAGAATATTGACAAAAGTTAAACGGTTAAAAAAATCTGTCGGAGCTCCCTGGAGTTAGCAGCAGGGGCTCTGGTCCGAGAATGAGGATCATCCTCATAAATGCAGACAAAATGCGTTCTCAAAAATAAGGATCGTCTGCATTTTCGCGGACGTTTTTTTTTTCATCGGCGCTCTGCGGGTTTCGGGTTACCGAACCACCCACTAGTTGACCATCTACTTTTATGGGTTGTCCGTCTTCCCAAGGATTTATTGCTCATAATGTGAAAGTCTCTGTACAAAGTCAATGTAAAATGCATCAAGAAAATCATCACAGAATCTTTTTTTTTTGCATTGCCAATGCGCTGATCAAAAATATGAAACGTACTGCGAAAATGCAGACGATCTTTATTTTTGAGGATGCATCGTCCTCGTTTACGAAGATGATCCTCGTTTATGAAGACGATCTTTTCCCCCCGACCTGCGCCCCTACTGCCTGGTTAGTGTGACAACTGACAAGTCCCCGTCTCATTATCTGATTTTGTCTGTCATAATAATCTAGTCTATCTCAACCTCATGTAGAAATAACATGGACGGGAAAAATGCCAACAACAATTACAATATTTTCTATAGACTCTAGACCTATTCCATTTTAAGTTAGCGATTAGACTGTGTAACACCAACAGTTAGTTTTACCGTTTGTCCCTCTCTCACTCAAGTGTTATCATGTTTGTGTACCTTCTCATGCTCACAGATAGCTCACACACAAGTTAGTGCTGGCCCACTCTGTGGGCACTACACTGCTATGCAAAATTCATTGGCCCATCTACATCATGATCATGTAGTTCGTTCGCGCTTGGAGTCAGAAACAGACTGTATTTCATACTCATAGAATATGTAATTGAATACCCTGACCGCACAAACCAGTCTCAAAAAACGTACTAACAGAAGTAAATCATAAACTTACCACATCAATGCCTTATTTCTTCAATAAATTGAAAATTGTATGTTGTTAAATTCTCGCTAACCTCGTGCTCGCGCGACATCAAAACGTAAACATTGCGGAGTTACAGCGACCGATAATCAATACATCCAAGCTATCGACCAACAGAGCCTACATGATACACATAATTTGCACTGCAAATGTTGCAGACCCATCTCATTAATTTATCCGAGAGGAAATGATATAGGAAGATATGGCAATATAGCTCATTTTTTAGCAGATCAAAGCCAATGAAATTCTATAGGGACAAAACTCCAGACAATATATACGTGCCTAATCCCTATACACATTCTCTAGATCTGAGAAATACACAAATAACAAGCAATGCAGGGGTTGTATTCTGGGGGCCATTTCTCAAAACTGTTAAATTCTGCATATCTAGGACTATGGGATGTCTACGAACCTAGACTAAGACAGTTTCGAGAACCTGGCCCCTGAATACTAAGTTTTATACTATCTTTTATCCTAGTAAAACATTTTGTGATATAATAAATCTGTTGTGACAGTTAAAAGCATTTACCTTTAAATGAAAGATAAAACAGTTTGCAGAACATGGCCCAGGTCAAATGAAAAAGTGATAAGCCTACGTGGGACACTAAAAAATGAGAATATTTCAAATATTTTGATATTTATAAATCTGGATATACAGAAAACTGGGGCCTCCTTGTGGTTCGTGGATTGCAAGTTTGAAAAATAATCGATAAGATGCGAGTATTGTGAGGGGGGGGGGGAGGAGGGAATAGGTCGTCACATACCACATCATGCTTATCATTGGAGGATAAGTTAAAAAATGTAACAGTTCAGAGTTCAACATTTTCCCCTGATCTATTCCACATTTAACCATCTCCTTTATTTCTCCCACTATCTTTGCCCAATCCCTCCCTCTCTTCTTCTCTCTTTCTTTTGGTCTCTCTGTCTATCTGTCTCTCTCTCTCTCTCTCTCTCACTCACTCTCTCTCTTCTCTTTCCCTCTACCAGTCTCTCTTCCATTCACCTAGCAGTGCTTCATTTCAGTCAATATATACCATTCAATCAGAATACAGATTGATGAGAATTATTTTACACATGACTATATGTTTAAGCAACAGTGGAACCCCATTTCAACAAAATCCATGGGACCAAAAGAAATTAACCTGTGAAGGGCCAGACACACATCACTGATAATAATGATAACTATGAAACTAATTGAGGAAGAAAAATATTGGACATCCATGATAATGTATAAGACATCAATACCTATTTTCCCATATCCAATATCTGTTTTTACAAAGTCCCATTTTACAATAAGTTGCCAGCGACATGTGACTGACCCTTCACAAAGAAATATTCTTGTACCGGGGGTGAAAAACAATAATGAATTGAATTCACAGAACTGGGACTGGCAACATAATATAAACTGATAATAAATTGGTAACAACAAAAATGAAATACATGTCGAAGCATTCATCATTTTATTGATTATCAAAAGAAACTGAAAGAATGTAATTATCTATAATACAAGAAATATTTATGTTTCCTTAACCATGTATCAACAGTCGTTTTCACTGTATCTTTCACATTTGAGCTAGACTTGAAATGCTGCGATGCATTTAAGGACAGATACATGTATTAGTCAAAGACATGTACAGCTTAATTAATTACTGAATTTGGATCACTTTTCTACAAGTATATTTTGTCAATGTCCAGCTTTCTTTCCAGTAGAAATTTGAGAGGTTGTTAATATATATCCACAAAATACCCCAACATTTTAAAATATCTGTACTGGTTGCATTTATCTCTCTCTCTTCGTAAGAATGGATCGACAAGGAGATTGAGTGAAAAATAAGGAGAGAACATTACATAACATATTCATGCAAAAGTTGCAACTCAGCTAAAAATTGGCTTGATCTGTACAATAATCATTTTAAGGTGCATACAGAGATTTAACACTCACAAAAAAACCCAAAACAAACATTTTAAAAGAGAAACTCTACTTTTGTTTGACTTGACCGCACTTGGGGAGATCCAGTGTTTTATGATCTACTGACTTAGATCATAGGCATGCCCTAAAAAGCAAAACTGAGTAACAGTAAGGGATTGAACTGACTTGTGTGTTTTATAAGAAATAGAAAACCAGATGCCTGCACTTAACAGCTAAATTATTCATACCCATTTGTAAATTGAATGTTTGTTTTTTTATTCTTAAGTCAAGAATGAAGGATGGACCGGTAGAATTAGTGCCTTTATTGAATACTTTTTGATGTTATCTTCAATATGTTACATCGTCTTGAAACATAAATCGGGACGAAAGAATTTTTCATGTACCTCAAAATTTACAAAACTTGATAGAGGTATGAATAATTTAGTTGTTAACTGTATGAAAGAAGAACACTCAAGTATGACCCTTCCCCCATTTTAGTCAACAAAGGATTTGTGATTTACTTTCGAACAATCGTAGAGCAAGATTCTTAGTATGTGGAATATAAACAAGAATAATCCTAAGGGTCACTATTTATGGTTATATTAATGGTTACAACATTTTCATTTTTCCAGCCATGCCTGGAATACTGTACAGATATCATTTAACAATAATTGATCAGCCTTGGCAAAATCATCTTAAATAATACACAAAGCATACAGAAAAAAATACTACAATTTTATCATTTTTCTAATACATGACAGAAAATGAGAGATTATTTTCTTTAGCTTTAGTGGCTGCAATGTGAAGTTCTTGCCCTTCAACAAAAAACAATAATTCCAAAATTCATTACAAAATCATAAAATTAAAGAGTTGCCACAGACATTGGAAATACTGAAACAAAAGAAATAACGGAAAAGGACAGTTTATCTGATGCATAATAGAAAGCAGCATCAGGTGCAAAATACCTGATACCAATCTGACAGGATTGATGTTTACAGTGAAAACAAAGAGCTTTTTCTCAGATAGTACAATACACACACATCAACATCCTTGCAGTCATGGCATCAACAGGCCATGACAGACCAAAGAAACAGTGTCAAGATGACGTCTAAGAATGATATCCTCAGCATTTTCTGTGTGGGGGCATTACACTGGAATTGAAGAGGGTCCATGACATCTCTCCTTGCAAGAATTGTCTCAACTGAAGTTTGTAACAAGAACAAATTTGTGATTGACTTCAGTGTGATCCACAAGATAAAATATACAAGAGTTTCTTTGGCTCCCTGGTGAATTCATTGTGATACAAATGTCTGCTCTATTCAAGATGTACAACAGAATATTATTTGACGAGTCCATGTTTCTTTGCCTCAACCTCGTATATAAGCAATCTCCACATTTTGACTACGAAAACTTCTGCTTCTTCATCCAAGACCTACAAAATAAACAAACAACAATATATGTAATATAATTTTTTTTAAATCCATTTTGTTATTGTAATGTTACAGGGAAATGGTTGATAAACAGATGCATGATTGCATGGATAAAAATACGGACATATTAACACCCCCACCAAGAAATCAACATTATTGAAAGATCATATGTAAGGGGAAAGAATAATTGTTAGGGAGTTGCTCACAGGATGGAAATGATTTCCTCCTGCAAAATAGAGTATTTCCCAACTATTTAATTTTCCAAAGCTTTGGCCCTGATATTACATAGGCAATGAAATGTCAGGAATTTGACGACTTTGGATTATATTATATAATAATGATTAAATTAAAGATGAAATTTAAATAAAACACATGATAAAGAAGTTTAGTAATTGCTGAGTAAAAAAAAAAAATTTGGTGAGCCATCATGGATGATTGGTTGACATTTTTGAGAATATATTTCTTGGTTTTCTATGCGTGCAAGTCACCAAACAGACTTGTTTGAATAATGAATAATATTCATTCAGCAAAATGGTGTACATGTCAACTCCTGGAATATAGAACTTGATTATTCCTGCAACCATTTTTATTTTGACGCACACAATGATATTCAATCATGTTACCTACCATGGTAATGTCATTAAGAATGCTCTCTGCATTGCTGTGTAATAGAAGCTTGGAACAGATGAACTCCGTGAGAGTAGGCTCCTCCTCACCGATGTATTCTACAATCTTCTTATTGATCCAGGGCTTGATACGACGATCCATCAAAGACTATAGAGAAAAACAAAAGAATCCCAGTATGAACTTTAACTTTCCACGTTCTACAATGAATAATCATACATGCATTCTCAATTCTACCACAAACTGTCACAAACTATACCCAAATATGGAATGTAAATAATAAAATAATAATTATAGGCACTTCTAAAGCGCCGTCTATCTAGAAATTCTATTCCAAGGCGCATTAATTATTACCCCGTCTTTAGCCTACATGTAGCTGCCATTACAGCGCTCTAGCATTTCAAGGAATTAATTCCTGCCTGGTACCCATTTACCTCACCATGTACTTAGCATACACAACTTTTTTTTAAACACCACTACCGTAGATTAAGTCTTGTTGGAGCAAGCCTATATTTCGCAAAGATATTATTGGAACATCCTAGTTTATTTGTCCAAATGCAGATAACAATAAATATAATATTATATCTTGCTGAGTTTACCTCATCCACTATTGCCCAGTCCACCTTGTATCCAAACAGCTCATCTTTGGCCGTAGGGATCTTCTCAATCAGATTCTTGATGGTCTTGCGTTTCTCTTCTGCTGCATTGGCAATCAACTGAGACTGTCCCACAGCCTTCATCTCTTCCTCCGAGTACTCGATAGGAACCAGCTTACGTTTCTTCTTTCCTGCTGAATCTGATGATTCTTCCTGATTGAATACGTCTCCTACCTTCAGCTTCTTGCGCTTGCTGCCTACCTGCGCTGAAACGAGAGGTCTCTGGTATCCCCCATCATTTGAGTTAGTGGGAGGAGAGTCTGGACCGCCTGCAGGGTGGACGATGAGAGAGAATGAGAAAGGGGTTATCAGCAGGGGATCATTTGGTTCTACATACCTGAAGTTATAAAGTACATGTTGTAACTATAACTCATTCAAGATTCCAACTCATTCTTTATTTTATTTTCCCACATGACAACTAGATTGTACAATAGAGGCTCCAAGCAACATATGCTCCGATGTCAATTTCTAACACAAACTAAATCCCAACTTAAATCCTGCTCTCTAGCCCTGAATTTAAATCTAACCTAAACTTTGGTGAAAATCAAACTTAAAGCAAATGTTGCATCACCTACAACTCATGCAAACAACAAAGGTGAGTTTGAGTAATTGCCATGCAAAATGCACTGCAAACTGTTAAAGAAACTGTCGAGAATCATTCTAAATGCTTGATTACTTTGTAAGTACTAAATCTTGTTGAAAATCACCAACAATGAAAAAGCAATGCACATGGGTATTTAAACTCACAGATAGGTGGTCCAAAGTTTGTAAACTATTTCTAGTCATATTTGACATGGGAGAGCAAGTCAAAAGCAAATTCTTCTTTTCAATTGACATTACTAGTCTAATTACTACTACATCTTTCCGAAGGAACTTTTAACAAAGATGATGCATGTACAATTTTATCGTTTTTGATTTAACACTCCTAAATTCATGAACAAAATAAATAATTGCATATTCATTGACTCTAATACCAATGTCAGCTAATCTATAACAGGCAACAATATCAGCAAAAGGCTAATTCAAGATGGAAACAAATAAAGAAAGAAATATAAACATTGTAATTTTCTATTTAAAAGAAAATCTCCGATACAGTCTAGGTGATTGATTAACATAACATTTTGAAATGGACAGCACAGAAATGCAAAATTAGAGTATATAATAGAAACATTAAAATTTCAACATGAAGTACAGGCAGATACACATATAAAAAACAATCTGATTGCAGTACACTAGAAGATGCAGCTAATCTTTAAAGGGACTTGGTAACATTGTTCAGATGAGAGAAAATGGTCTAAGGTAGAGACTTCAATGCTAGATGTACAATTAATGACAATGTAAAATTTTGAGGGAAAACAGAGAGTATTAGTAATTACATTTTAGGTGAATGTGAATTGTTCTAAAGCAATGAATGGGCTCTATATATCATTCCAGACATTTAAGTGTTGAAAGATCTTTTAAAGCCTGTTTTATGTCTTATTTCATGGAAAAACGTTTATGAATTATGATACCGGTAATTAAAAAATTGGTTGGTGAGACTTTACTGTTCCAGGGAGTTACATATCTACGCCTTACAAAAACACATATATCTTTGTAGTTTGAGAATTTTTTCAGGAATTTTTGCATGTTAGAGGGTTAGTACAATAGAAGAAATTAAATGAGTAACATTTCATACAAAAATTAGGCAGTTTTTTTCATCAACAATGTTACCGGTTTACTTTAAAGGGAGTGGATTTTGACCTTTGCCGTCAGACAAGGATACTGTAATTTGTATAGCAATATAATTTATGTTTTGCAAGAACAGACACAAGATTTATCACTTCCTCCAACTTTGAATGTATACTTAGTAAGCAAACACAAAACAATTGCATGCAGTGAAAAGTTATATTGAATGTGGTAATCCTGTCCTTCAAATTACATGTTAACTGCAAAGTTTGTAATAATCCGTAACATTCTTGAGGAATGAACAGATCACTTGATGGATTAAGACTGATGGACCTGCATACCTTTCAGGGCACTTCAATATGAATTTGTAAAGAATTTAGCAGGCTTCCCACACAGTCTAAATGATCTTCCATTACATGGTTTGCAGATTATGCATGGTTGCGAGTACATTTAATAGAGAAAATGCAAACACATAGGTTAGGTTCCAACAGTGAAGTGAACAAAGCTTTGCCGAGTTCACTTTCAGCACATCCTAACTGATAAAAGTGCACTGCAATTTACATAAGTAATACAAACATGCAAAGAATGTTTCATAAAACAGGTCAACAAGAAAGATAATGCATGGTCACGTATGGTCTGTTGACCAATCCCATCGCCTACATTATCAAACCCGTTTTATAAAACAAATATACTGCAATTTAAACACGACTCCCTTTCAGCAATTTCCATTTTATACAGACCTTTAGTGTGCTGGCATAGTATACATTTTTGGTTGTTTGGCTGGTCAGAGGGTTTGGGTTAAACTCCAGGACAATATACCCATTCTCTTTTACCCAACCCAACACAAAATATTGAAAGAATAACCAAAGAAAAGACTTGTAAGTAGTGATATGATATCTTTTCAGATAGACTACTTGGAAACCTCTTTTTTTTAATTAATTCATAATTTGTGTTGGATACTGCCATACACTGGTTCCAGTATAAAGGCCTGATTAAACACTGTTATAATCACCAGAGTTGCGCTCCATTGATTGGTTATCTCTAGCTAGTCTATGATGCTGAAATTCCTCATCGACAGGTGACAGGGTTTCAACTGTATAGAAAGAATGGTTACTCATCAACATCTCTCATCTTTAACCATCTTTTAGCCTGCTTTTATACCCAAAGATCAATTCGGTAATAGGCTACAATGGGATGTAAGGCGAAATGGTAATGCACTTTTGCATTTAGGAAACAAGATATGAACAGTTTTGAGGCACTTTCATGAATACTTGTCTGATATCTAAGAACTTACAACTTACATATGTTCTGGTCTGAAACAACAATATTGAAATAAACTGTCAATCAAAATAATACAGGAGATATCATAGGACTTAGACATATCTACTCCTGCCATTATAGAATCTTCATTAAAACCAAAATTCATCTCTGCTAAGAACTATTATTATGAAAATCATCCACAGTATTAAGGACAACAATGGCTGTCCCTTTTCCTACCTGGTTGAATTCGTCCAAATCCCATTTGTTGAGCTGTAGCTGCAGTTGAATCATCTTCCGATGACTGGCTGGAGTTATCAGGGAGTGGATCAAATCCTCCCCCACCATCATCATCATCACTACTCTCACTGGCTGGAGTGCGTGGTCCCTGATTGTTCTGTAAAAACAAGAGGGGGGGGGGGGGGAAGTCAGTCAAAAGTTCAACATTTTTACAAGTTAAGTACAAGTGATAACACACAATACAATGGTTTCTTTTTAATGAGAACTTGTTAGATCCTACATGAGCCTCTACATAAAAGGGAACTTTCCAGGCAAAACCAAATTGTTGGAAATATCGTGACCTCATTGACCAACACAAAATTATGTCTGCTGTAATCGCTCCTCTCCTTCAAGATAAAGACCAGTTATGGTTATGCGATTGCATTGAAAAAGAAACGTTGTGGAATCGATCAGAAAAGGTTGATCATCTAGCATATAAATATTGGTGTGTACTGCAAGGTTCTGGAATCATCAAAATGATAAGAAATTTAGCCCAGTCTTGGTAAAGTTACAAGCACTGTACACAGAAAGATGTAAATGGGACTGCCCGACACTTGCGCGACACATGCATTATATCTATCAGGTCCAAATAAATAATTTACCAAATATATCAATTAGTAGGCGGTTTCTGGGCAAAATTTGTATGCTCACGTATTAATCAAAACATATTCTTTCACATGATTGGTAATAATAATAATAATAATAATATCAAATATTTAGGAGCGCTAGAAACAATAAGTACCATAGGTCTTTATACATATACAAATATATGAAAAGAGCTTCCATTGCATTTTTTAAGAGGGGGCGTTTCCAAAACTGGTCTTTCTCTTAAGGTCCACTTCACAAACAAACTTGAACTCATGAATATAACTCTATCTGAATTTATCATGGTGTATTTATAACATAGATAAGTATGTGATACCCTTGTGTATAACAGGGTGAATAACTTCTTAAATCTTTAAAATCAATATTGGTGGGTGTATTAAAGAGAAAATGGACAAGATTACGGAAACAAAGAATTTGTTTCCTTTCTATTATGATAAATACAGTTTTTTAAATGATGGTAAATAGACCTACAATCTGCATTGTTTTGATAAGGACTTCTTACCTCTGGTGGCATGGGTGCATCGGCAGGTTCAAAGGTGGATTTCAAGGTAGGTTGTAGCTCCTGTTTGATTTGTAGCGCCCTTGGTGTTAGCAGCTTCTCAAGCTGCGGTTGCTTGTGCTTTTCTCTCTCAATTTCCAACTGTAACCAAATACAAAAGAATTATAGCACTCATGAATATATCAAGTCTCTCATTTATCAATATGTGATCACATGTATAGCAATGTTTGAGGAAGGAAACAAGAGGAGAAATGTTTGCTCTTAACTGCTTAAAAAAATAATATTCAAATTCAGAGAGTGTTCCAACTTCCAAAACCTTTCACACTGCGATCATCTCATTTATCATTAATATCAATATAACAACATATTTTCATGTACAACAACCTATTCTAATTGTAAATATCAATGACCTTACCTTTTCTATTTCAGCATCTAAGTCTTCGCCTCCTTCTTCCATGAGTCTGCGTTTGATATCTTCAATCTCCTCTCGTTCCCTTCTCCTATCCCGATTATCGCTGTCTTCTTCCTTTTCACGTTCTTTCCGCCTCCTCTCTAGTGCACTACCCCTGGTAATCACAGCAAAACAAAAAGTCAGAATTATATTACATGTAAAAATATGGAATATATTAAGCTCCTTGTTTCCTACATTGCTGCATACGATTATACAAGGGTAGTGATAGTAGTCAGTAGTATCAGTGGAGAGAGCAGTTATCTAGCATTGATCATGTGACCTCGTTTAGACCAATCAGATTGCAAGATTCTTAGTATGCGGGATATAATAGTCAGTAGTATCAGTGGAGCTGAAATGCATAGTAGTGAAACATAAATGCCCTCCAAGTCTGGGGGTTTCCCTATCTACACATCATCAATGGGTTAAACAAAAATATGATTCACTCATTTCAAAGCATTCAAGGTGCATTTTCTCAAATCATATATATCACTCTACCTTTTCTGACCTTATATATAAACCTCATCTCAAACTCTTGATACTAACACTGTATCTAGGAATGACACCTTAAATGCAAAAACGAATTCACTCTTACATGAAGAAGTTATTTGTGCACTTACTTGTAATATTTGGGGTCATCCCTCTCGTCTTCATAATCTTCCAGGAATTCTTTGAGACGTTTGCCTTCTTTATCCATCTCATTCCGTTCAGATTCTTCCTTTTCCATCATCTTCTCATGGTCTCTCTGTTTCTTTCGTTCTCTAGTTTCCCAGTTTCTGAGACGCTATAATACAAACAAAAGAACAAACATGAACAAATGTTTCATGTTTTAACAGTCACATTGCTTGGATTAATAAATTTAAACGGACATCTATATTTTAATTTACTATCCAAGTCCTATACTAGTCAAGTCACTTTTTTTTTATTGCAAACTAGATTCCCAACAAATAATTTGATGTTTCATCACTTTTCCTTCTATGTGAACAAATTAGATTACTGAAGATAAAGCAGTGTTCAAACATCACTTTACAAAGATCAAATTCAATTGCAAAGTAATCTGAAAGCACAGTCAGAGATAATCATCAAGAAAAATCTGATGCAAAATACAATCTTCAACACCTTTTATGTATTTGTGTTTCCCATAATCTATCAACCTCTAAAAGTGTGATTAACACTGAAACTTAAGAAATGTTAAAACTATTATAATATAAACTGGAAACTCCACTTACCTCTTGATATGCTTCCTCTTTCTCTCTGAGTTTACGTTCAAGTTTTCTCTTCTCATAATCTTCTTCTTCTTCCAGACGATCCCGATCTCCATCTCTCTCACCACGTTCACTACGCTCTGCTCTCCCTCCTCCTCGCTCACGATCATAGTCTCGATCATAATCTCTGCTTCGGTCACGTTCGTACCTGTATGTATATTTCAAAACATTGTTTGGGGTATTTGAATTGGTGGAGAACTTGTGGAAGCTTAAATCTTATGAAGCAAACACGTTTTAGAGCTAACTTTAAAGATTATCAGATTAAAATATATGGACAGTTACGTTCAATGTAAACAACAACAACAAAGAGGAACAACTGCCCGTTCCTCTTTCCATATAAATGGAGGATGGGGCATTTTATCAAATACATCAATTTGTTTATACACAAAAGTAATGACCAAATAATCAATTCTTAGCTGATGGAGCTGATTGTACGACGCATGCACGTAATCCTCTTCCGTACCATGTACATGTATAGTACGGTACTGGGCTGTATGTGATGCGATGGACTGCTTAAACATGTGTGCGTACTTATGTGAATAAGTCAGTGTGTGTATGTGTTGGCGTGAGAAAGTTTGTGAATACTTCATGCCAATTCATTAATTCTGCTGTGTGCTATTTGCGAAAGTAACAACTGGCAAAAATCTCTTAGCCTCTCATTCGCGAAAAATATCTGTACACGAAAATGTCAGCTTATACCAGGGAATAATTTTCCTCAAATTTTTTGATTAGCAATTTCAGCCGATGGATGAATATTTAAAATGAAATTCTGTACATTTCTATGGAAGAAAACTGCTACACAAAAGATATTTTGTATAGCAGTCATGCAAAAATGCATAGCAAATTGCGATGCGATACCAGGAAAATTATTCCCTGGCTTATACAGTACTCTATTTGATTTTGAACACAAGTTTGCTAGCCCCTACTTCCCACCCCAAACACCTATCCACATTATATAACCTGCAGAAAAAACAAGTGTTATATTACCTCTCTCTTTCATCCCTTTCCCGTTCTTCTCGAACCCTTTCCCTCTCAGTCTCCCTGTGCCTGTCTCGTTCCCTATCTCTGTCTCTCCTCTCGCGTTCTTTTATCTGGTCTCTCCGCTGCCGGTCCCTCTCTCGTTCTTTCTCTCGCTCTCTCCGGCTCTTCTCCTTCTCTTCCGGAGTCTCCTTCTGTTCTAGAGCTTCCCTCTGATCCTGTAGACAGCAAAAAAAGAAAGAGAACTCTGTGTAGTTATCTAGTATGAATAATGATGAAATAACATAGATCTAGTGAATTGCAAATATATATATATGAAAGTGAAATTTTCAGTTGTCAATCCATTTTAAGTCAGCTTGTGTATCTGTGAAGTGCAAACAATAAATATCCATCATATACAATGTTTATCTATAGGTATCAATGCTAAGTATGTACGTGCCAATACCAAGGAAATTTATCCGTATCAGATTCTTGTCTATGTTGATGACAGAAATATTATTTTCAATTTCTGCATTGGACACACCATGCATTTACAAAAACTAATTCTGAAGGGCGAGAGAGAAGATAAAAACACTAGATTTACAAGTACACAAAGTCTTATCAAAACTTATGGGCCCGAATTCACAAAGCAAGGTTTGAGCTCAAACCTCCTTTTGTTTCGCCAAACCTCCTTTTGTTATTTACAAACCTGGTTTGTAAATAACAAAAGGAGGTTTGGCGAAACAAAAGGAGGTTTGACCTCAAACCTTGGTCTGAGCTCAAACCTTGCTTTGTGAATTTGGGCCTTAATGATGCACTGTAGAGATTTATGGATAGTTATAGACAGTCATGTGTGTGTAGAACAATAGAACACTTGAATCTGTGGATAAATTTCCTTTTTTTTTCTTCAGATAGACAATGAAAGCATTCAAAATTGAAAGCATCTACACAGATCAGGAGAAATAGACAGCTCTAAAGCAGCTTCCTTTTTCAGCCCTTACCCCCTTTTTGTTTAAATGAAACATTTTCATTAGTACTCTGCATTGGCAAATCAGTCGCAAATATAACTTAGTACCATGAACCAAATAAAATCAAACATCCAAGCAAAATCAAGCTGTGATCTGTCTAGCATCTCCTGCCTGTAAAAGGCAAAATTTGGACCTCATCCAATTACAAAACCTATATCCATTGGCAACGCTCCTGCTCCTCCTGAAAATGGCTACCTCCACCGACATCCATTGCTTGACTGCTAACTTCGCTGTATCTCCCATCATGTTCCATCATTATAGAGTCATGTCCATCAGAATTGCTTATGCTGTATAACAGTTACAAATCAATTCCTTTGCATTTTTACTTAATCATTACAAGCTTTGCATAATGAGATGCAAGCTTGCATAAATAAAAATGGCTGATTGTAAAATGTCTCCCATTCTCAGCATTCAAGATCAGTACAGATAGTCTACAAGCAGAAGATTGAAATAGCAACAAGAATTGCCATCTCAGACACCATTCCATCTCACAGAACTTGATAGCAGGTAGGAAGACTGCTCCACGTTGCATTGTTGATGGCAGAGTGGTGAAGGCGCAGTGGTGATGAGTGTAGCTTGATGGGGGCCAATGGATAACTCATGGTGGACAAGGTCTCAAATCTTGCCTTTCTTTTACATTCAAACTAAATCAACTAACATGAATATATCATAGAAAGAACATGCAATATAGTCTACAACTATACATCAATTGATTTTCAATACAAGGGATGAAAAAGATAAAGAACCTGACAAGATTGCTACATCATTAGCAAAATCTCACACAAGACCATTTTGCTTCTAATGCAATATTGCCAGGTGCAAGATTTGTGTAAAATGCTCTGAATTGCCCAAAGCCAAATGGAATACAGATTGACAAGATTGCCATTTGGGAATAATGTGCTACAAAGCACAGTGAAGTAATAGAATAAATTAAAATCTACAATTCTGGTATTGAATATCTGCTGTCACTTTTCTTCCTAAAACAGAGACTCTACTAGAACTCTTCAGACGATAGTAGTTTTGGTAGGCGAGTTGGATATATTTTCCTAGGTATTTGGTTGCAAATCCTCCAACATCTTTTGGGCATAAGCACAGATACATGTATGTACATATTTAACATATCAATCTTGTAAAATTTGAACTGTAATGAATCGACACAGCATAAATAATGAAAGCTACATTGTATTGACTTGCGCATTACAGTGGCATCTTTTGAAGCTTGCTTGGACGGGATGACCTCTCAACTTCTCTTCTGGCGAGCTTCCCTGGCCTGACAAATCATCACATGACTTGTCATAATCTCATGTCACATGAGTTATCATGTAATGTCACATAACCTGTCATACTATCATGTCACATGACTTGTCACATGACTTGTCACATGACTTCTCATCATGTCATGTCACAAACTCAGCAAGCCTATTCATTGTCAACAAGCTCATTGAGATAACAGATTCTTCAAATAAGCTTGAAACATGAGGTGATAAAATAGGAAAAGGTCTAAACAATAAATGAAATGAATGACATGTAATTAAAATAAGCTTCGAATAAAAAAAATGATTTCGAATGATAAAGGGGAAATCATTTACAAAACATTGTGATAGCCTAAATAAACAATGTCTGGTAAATGTTCTGTTGATTTCTAAATAAGCAATTTTCCCTTGGGGCAGGGATATTTACAAAGGGCATAATTTGTGTAAGATAACCTCCTTTTCTATCTTTCTGACTCTCTCTAAAATATAATAATGCTTTGAAAAAATAAACAGAAGTAACAAAGGAAAGAAATGATTGAAAGCTCTGGCCCGATACTCAAACAAGTTTCCAAATTGGCAAGGTTATCATATACATCCTGTAATTTTCCCTTCTAATTTGAAATCTAGCGGCAAAAACAACCACCTCTTACCAAATTTAATACTGCAAAATTTGTCCTTGTCCAAGAAGTAAAAAAAAAGGAAAAGTACACACATACACTTGTACCTCTATTCCAATTAGATTCCAATAAGAAGGGCTTGAATAGATAGCTTGTCATCCTGTCAATGAAAATAGATACTAGTTAATTAAACAACCACAGCCAAAAACATTGCACATACCTCTTAATTCAGCATCCATCTTGGATCAGCTACACCAGCATTAAAACTCAAGCAAGACAATCATAATACATCTTCTACCCTAAATTATATTAGCCCCTCTCCCAATTAATCCATCTTTGATTACATTTGAAATAAAAATATTGAATAGAATAGTTATCCCTTTGTATTCATTCTGGAAACTAATTTGCACTGCACATACACAAAGTGGAAATTAATAAGTTGTAATCTAGGGCGCCACATAAATGCAATATGCAGTGTCTACCCCCCCCCCTCAAACAAACAAAATAATTAATAATTAATAAACAAAATTAAAAAATACCCATAATAATCATAATAAAAATAAAATGAAAATGACACATTGTCTCAAATAATTTTACATTGAAATTTATTTTATTAAATGGTTAAAGACAAAGGATCCACATACCTGAAATTTTATAGGTCCAAATTACCTTCCATATCCTGCAATAAAAGATCTAATTGATTTCCTAACCAAAATAGCAAGATATCAAGTACTCACCCATGATCAAACATTTTAAAATGAATCAGGCGCAGGCTGCAGCGACTATCACGCCCCCTGACGCAAACACTTGGGCCCAAGCCAAGGGGCCGTTGAAGGAGTACTATAATAGTCATGGCAGGGGTACAATTGTTGCAATGAGAAACTTATTTTCACATGAATTTAAGTTAGAGCATATATATGTCAACTATCCTGGATATGTTGATATAACTCTTTTATCAATTCTACTATACCCTCTAAAAGAAACCCAACTGAAAAAATCCATGCCAGCAAAAATGCTAATTGATAACTACACTCATTGAAAAACTTGAATAATTTGGTTTTGTATTCCACCTGTTTTCTTGTTATTCTTGAACACACCCAATTTTCTACATACAAACCAATCTATTGTTATTTGCCAAATATAGATTGGTACCATTTTGTAAATGAATTTTCTTTGCTTTATAAATAAGACTATTCACACTTGAAAAGTTTAGCACTAAATGAAAATCTGTTGTCATTTTCCCTACTTTTTATAGCCTTTATTCCTCCAATTACATGTAAAGAGAAAAGATATAATGGGGCAACTGCATCCTGCAACATGAAAGCAAAGGTAAACATGAATGGTAAGAAATTTTCAACAATGTTGTGCAATAAGTTAGGGAATTCAAACAGAAATCAATAAATGCAGAAACATTATGGAGACAATCTCTTGGAGTATGCTTACCTTGTATGATTGTCTGAAACGATCGATCTCACGATTAATGAGATCCTTCTTCTCTTCCTCTAAATTCATGTCATCAAGCTTATCCTGTGAAAGGAGGATGATAAAAGAGGAATTCATTCAGACGGTTTTTGTTATTACAAAGAGGATAAGTAACAGCAAAGGAGATAGCTTTCTATCCTGCACACTACAGGAAAACACATGAAATCCACAAATGGAGAGAAAAATATAAAAATACCTCTCAAAATAAACGATGGAACATGTATTTACAGCCAGGTGGCCTTTATACATATGTGCCATTCAAACACAGGTTTCAGTGAGAAATACGGTTCAAACAAAACAAAATAATGATGTTCATCTTTTCCCAAGTTCTTTTTTCTCCAGGTGGTTGTTAAAGCAGGTTTGACTGTAAGGAATAAATTCATGTAATAATACAGGAAACACATATTACATTGGTTGAACCAATAGGCTCTCACAAATCACTTTGATTTGAGACATTATCTTCTGTTAATTTGCAGGAAATCAAAAAGTAAGGAGTGCATATTTGGTCAAATAAATGGATTTGGTAAAAAAAAATCTTTGGACAGTCACAGTTGAGAAATTATAAAGGATAAATTAAAGGATTAAGGAATAATTAAAGGATTAAAGAATAGATTTGCCGATCAAGAGAGCTACATACCTTGGCCTTTTGCTTTTCATCTTTCTGTGAATTCTTCTGCTTCTGTCCATGGAAAGCTTTCTCTTCTGTACACGAATATAACATCCAAATGCAATTATTAGATACAACTCTAAACAGGAACATACATAGCAGTATTACATAATAAGCAACCCAATAATACAGCCTGGCAGCTCTTGCATAGAGCTCCAAATGCTTTATCTCTTCCAAAGTTATCAAATGTTGTGACTATGAAAAAGTAAATAACTTCTATGATGACAATAATTTTTAAAAGATTTATTTGGAGATCATTTAAGGGTAGTTCACAAGCCATTATTGCAAGCTATTATGACCAATTCCATCAGTATGTCAATACTTTTAGTGAGAAATAGGGAGCCTGAAATCAGTCTACTCCTTGTTGTCTTACTTAGAAATCCCAGGGTCTGTAATTTGCTTATTACTGTGCATCCCGGTCACACTATGACACTGTTGTATTTAGAAATCCAAGGTGCTGTATTGAGTTACATTCATATAGCCTCACCTGATGTTCTCTGTAGCTGCATAGAGTAATCTTGGACTAGTCTACGAACTTGATTCCTGACATCAGAGTCCTCCCTCACTGTGGAGTCATCAAGTTCTGATGTCTGGATAGAAAGAAAGAAAGAACATTCAACACACAGTTTATATTAACGTATTGCCCATGGGATCCAGGTAGCTCCTGTATTAAAGCCAAAGGGAATGAGAGATTTCAGTAAACTGGTAAAGGATACATTCTTAAAATAAGAGCAATACAGCCTGAAAAAGCCTCTTACTGACCAATTTATTTTAGGACTCTTAACTTTTTAATATACATGTAAATTCTTATGCTTGAACCCAAAAAAGATGAAGCTTTCAACTATAACAAGGATTCTTTTATACTCTAATAAATACTAGGGTCTCATACCTGATCTCCATCCCTCGTCTGTAAATACTCATCAAGAAGCGTTCTCGTTTTGCCATCAACTTTAACCTGTGAAATAGAGAAATGAAATAACGTTTTTTATGTAGAATAAAATCACAAGCCCATGTGGTATCAAAATTCCTGTAACGAAATGGGAATTTCAAATTGCACCTTTCTACTTTATATTACCAAGAATTTCTGACATTTGATCATTATATTTTAAAGATTTGCATAGAAAATGCATTTTCTTTTAAAATCATTTACACTTTGATGATGAACAGAACATAAAAAGACCTTTTCTCAATCTTTCCTGCTATTTCTTAATTTCATTTGTGACTGATATTGACTTAGTACATGTATTTTCAAAGATTGACATTTTAAAGACACATTTTAGACAGCATATTTCCTTACCACAAGTTTTCTGTCTCCAATTTCCAGCTCATGAAGTAGACGGATAGCTCTGAGACTTGCATCAGGGTCTCCATACTCACAGAAGCCAAACGCTTGCAGCTTTCCTGATGCTCCCTGTACTCTCTTCCAGCTCAGCACAGGACCACATCTCTGTACATTGGCAAAAGATACGGAACAAATGTTTAACCAGCTTGGCTTGAATGTGATTAATTGACGTTCTTGTTTTTTCTCATGTAGCACTTATTTGACAAACAATAATCCCAATACTGTTCCAGATACTGATTTGTATCATTTATACACAAAAGTTTAATTCCAACAAGGAATACTGTTTTGGTGAAAATATCTGTGGATGCAACCCTTTTACATGTGCAACTGATAACATGTAAATGCTGTGGTATAGTTGCACTGTGTTGAATATGCTAATCCTATTTATTTTTTTCAAATATTAATACAAAGATCAGAAAGAGGATTCTCCTCCCTCTTTCATCCTTTCCCCAAATCCATTAGAAGAAAATGATATAAACATACAATATTGATTGTAATGTGAGCATGTCATTTGATTTAATAAAGCTATCTAAACCCTGTAACAAACTCCAATACATCATATACGCAATACTCACCCCAAGAAGGCCTCTAACAAGAGTATCCGGTGCACGATCTGAAATGTTCCCGACAAAGACAGTAGTCTTGGGTTTATTGGAATCTTCAATTTTATCATCCTTCTGAAAAAAAGAAAGCAAATTTTTACCTCATAAAATAAACTAGATGGAACTTCGACTGCGCGCAGTCGAAAATGATGCCTCCGTCATAGAGCAATTTTACAAACCAAAACAGAAGAAATTTTTCAAATTCAAGTTCAATTGTAATCCATTAACAGGTTTTCAGAATATTGTGATTACAAGCTATTTTTGCATACATAATGAGCCCATGACCTTTGACCTTATGAACCAAGAATCTACTCAGTTCATTGGCTCTGCAAGAAACATACATGACCTAAGTTGGCAGGAATCCATCAATCGGTTCTTGAGATAACGCGATCACGAGCTGTTTTTGCATACATAATGTGCCCTGTGATCTTTGAACTTTGACCTTGTGACCCCTACATCTAATCAGTTCATCGGCTCTGCAAGTAACATACATGACCTAAGTTTGGCAGCAATCCATCAATCGGTTCTTCAGATAACGCGATCACAAGCTCGTTTTGCATACATAATGAGCCCTGTGGCCTTTGACCTTTGACCTCGTGACCTCAAAATCTAATCAGTTTTTTGGCTTTGCAAGTAACATACATGACCTAAGTTTGGCAGCAATCCATCAATCGGTTCTTCAGATAATGCGATCACGAGCTCGTTTTGCATACATAATGAGCCCTGTGACCTTTGACCTTTGACCTCGTGACCCCAAAATCTAATCAGTTCATCGGCTCTACAAGATACATACATGACCAAAGTTTGGCAGGAATCCATCAACCAGTTCTTCAGATAACGCGATCACGAGCTCGTTTTGCATACATAATGAGCCCTGTGACCTTTGACCTTTGACCTCGTAACCCCAAAATCTAATCAATTCATCGGCTCTACAAGATACATACATGACCAAAGTTTGGCAGGAATCCATCAACCAGTTCTTCAGATAACGCGATCACGAGAACGGGACGTACGTACGTACAGACGTACGTACGTACGTACGTACGTACGTACGTACGGACGTACGGACGGACGGACAACCCGAAAACATAATGCCTCCGGCTACTTCGTAACGGAGGCATAAAAATTGTACATTCTTTTTCAACATATTCATTACATTTCAGAGCAGATTAACTGATGCCAAAGTCTTTCATGCACACAATACGTAGTTTCTGCATAAGGTTTTTGATATTATCATAAATTCTTCAATTTTGCTAGTTTCCATTTGTACAACATAGAAGAGAGTATTCCATCTCATAATATATTATCTAACACTGCATCAACTCAATTCCCAGGCCCTATCTTAAAATCATTTGTAATTGATTCAAACTGATCTTAAATTAAAATCAATTGCAAACTCTGTCTCTCAGAGAGTTTGCAAATTTGTGATTGATTTGGAGGACTTGCTATAAATCCAGATCAATCAACAATTCTTTAATATGACTTATTGTACGAGGCTTTTGGAAGTTTAACACTTACAGGTACCAGAGGTTTGACAATTGACGATGATCTGTTTGAAGACTGGTTGTTGTTTGGTAAAGCTGTCTGTAGAGATGAACAAGTAAAAAATAAAATAATAATAAAATGAAAGTCCAAATGCAAGCTGTAAGAATAACTTCAAACCGAAGCTATGAGAATCCATCAAATTGTTTAGTACTCTGAAAAGGATGTCAATTGAGAAGCGTTTTGAATTTCAACATGATACTATGATTTAGAAGTGTACTCATAATTTAGGACCATCCTATTTGCAAGAAGGTTTAGTCAACGTAAGTGACTTTTATCAGTATCATACAAGACAGGCAGATTAAGGTTTAATTTCTGTGCCAAAGTATAAAACAGAATGTTTTAAACATGTGTCTATAGAAACAACTATGCCTCAAATAGCAGTCAATATATCTACGTTATCATATGATCTGAGGCAGGTTCTATGTACCTTTTGAATTCTCTCATCAAAGAAAAGAAAATATTGTCTGAAACTGTAACTATATGGAAATAATGCAAAAAATTAATGCTTCTTTAAAAACAAATAAAAGTATTCATGATCTTACCCCTGGTGGTGTTGGTAAAAGTCCAGGCATGCGAACATTTTGCCTCACTGCAAAATAAAGAGAAACAATGTTAGCAAAGAAATCAAGGTCATTGTCTGCTACAACAGAATATAGTTAAATTAGTTTACAAAGATACAGTACTCATGTTGCTGCTACACTATGGTGCTGTGCCTGATTAAGTCATTCAATAGAAATAAAAGTTATTGCTTCCTGTTGCAAATGATATCATTGGCTTTCTAATGGTCTATAACGCTGATTTCTAGACAGTACTCGTTTTCAAAGTATCTAGATAACATCGACAAGTGGTTTAGACACTAGACCAGAGATGTGAGGGCTGTGAATATGAGCCCTGACAAGCACTTTTATGTATAATGCTTCAAGGCATACCTATTATGCTTAACCCATCCAATAAATTAAATTTGTGACTGGATACAGTGTTTTTTTTTCAATTATAACTACCACAAAATAATAAATCATCAAAATTATAATCTGTCTGATGTTAAGCTATCACTGTGTACACTTTAATGAACAAGTCATTATAATAAAAATGTGGAAAGACACAGCTAAAAAATATATCTTTTACCTTGTGACATGTTTCCAAACTGTGAATATTGTTGTTGCTGCAGCCCTGGTGGGTATGCTCCAGACAGAAACGGTGGCCGTCCACCTTGGAATGCCATTGTGATGTCAGTGTAAACAGCCCTGTTTGGTGGAATGTATCATACAGCTGGAGAATAGGCTTACACAAGGTTCAGTACCTACAGCCAGTATTAAAGGAAGAATGATAGCACAAACAAAATACTGTTAATTATACACATAACCTACAGGATAAAATTAAAAGCTCCGACTAGGGGTGCATAGGGTCGCAGTGTCGTTTGACACCATGTCCTATGTGCGCTCATGGCTGGTGCTTTGCTATAAATATTTTATGCTCACATATATGTAGGTCTTTATAATTTTTTTTTTTGTATATATTTGTTTTCCCATTATTTTGTTTTTGTTGATTTCTCTAATTTCTCGATATAGAGTAAAGGAGCCGGTAATCGGCCAGCTCCAGTTTTCGGCCGATTGGTTGGATGCAAGGTAAAATCACTCTAAAATACATCGCATACCGTATTTGCCGGCGTAAAGGCCGCACCCCCGCATAGGCCGCACCCCCGATTTTGACATTTAAAAAACAAAAAAAAAACAAACAAACAAAACAAAAAAAAAAAAAAACAAAACAAAACAAAAAAAAAAAAAAAAAAAAAAAAAAAAAAAAAAAAAAAAAAAAAAAAAAAAAAAAATCGTTTTTTTTTTGTTTTGTTTTGTTGTTGTTTTGCTGCCGAAAACCCACGCGTGGAAGGACCTTCATTTAACATCGAGGTGCAGTCACAAATAATAGTAACAATGTCATTTTTAGAAGAATGTGTAAGATCATTAATGTGAATTAAAAACAATAAAGTACCTATTAGGGCTGTGCACAACAGTGTAATGAGGTACCCGAGTACACTCCCAGGCTCACAGGCGAATACCCGAATATTCGGACGCCATGTTTTTTTATAATTTTTTTGAATTTTTTTGAATTTTTTGGATTTTTTTTTGATTTTTTTGATTTTTTTTTAATTTTTGGATTTTTGGATTTTTTTCCCTTTTTTTCCTTTTTTGCCATTACCATACCACTCGGCAGTTTCTCAGGACCCTCGCTGAAAACGCATGCAACTTTACTTTGAGTTGCAGTTGCATACATGCCAACATTTGAAAATCAGAAATCTGTACACTATGTGCGCGAAGCGCACATCACGAGCGCGAAGTCCTTTTAGCCGGGGTCCAGGGCCCGCTTTAGGGCCCTGGAAGCTCTGGGTTTCCAGATGCTCTCTGGTGCAATCTGAGCCTATTTTAGGGACCATTTCCCCTAAAATTCAACCCAAGTTTAGGGGTAATTTTTGTGTCATACCAAACAAAAAAGTGATTGAAATGAATTCCACATTTTAATTTATCCTTGGCAGAGGCAGAGCAGATAGATCTAATGTAATAGACATAGATTTAATAAGCCACTCATGCAGAGTGATGCATTTAAGTCTAGTTACTTTTTAAATAATTATACATGACATAGATCTATGCATAAAATGAGACTGGCAATAATGGTATTCAACTTTCCAGACAACAGTCAACAATCCAAAATTATTGTAACTCATTGAGCTAGGCCTACATGTAAATGAGGTTGTCAAAATCAATGTCAGCAGAACAAGACATCTTGCCGACAATAAATGCAGTATGCATATTCCTCCCCTTTTGTGCTTGCTCTAATAAAGGGAAATCGTTCCTTGTATTCCTGTTTGTACTTCTGAATTCGTCTTGCTGCTGTTCCGCTCATTTTGACAGATTTTCTTCCGAGACAAATCACAAATCACAAAGTATACGGTACCTCGAAACACATACTTTGCATGGGGACCCTATGCATATACGGTGCGCTAGCCGCGATAGCGAATGCATGCATGCTGATATGCGCATGCAAACGTAAAGAAATTATACTTACGAGATTTGCCAGCGCAAGTATTTACGTACGGAAATGTTACGTACGGAAACACATATCAGAGTGCACGTGGCGCGCAGCAACACGCTGCCACTGTCACTGTACGTACATATCAGTGCACGCTGCACGCTGCACGCACCTTGCGCAATGCAATCCGTTCAGCACTCGATCGGATCAATGCTATGTATGGAAAGCCAAATTCCCCAAAATCGGAACGTTCCGTTTTTTAGGGCTATAAAAACTTAAAAAACGGAACAGTTCCGTTAAAATCGGAACGGTTGGCATGTATGCAGTTGAAGGCGCCGATTTAATAAGAATAATAACAGTAAACAATGCTGTTTTAAAAACTAATAATCCATTTTCCTCCAAGTCCAAACAGAAATCTGGACATTTGGTCCCAGTTTCTGAAAGGTGAGTTTGACAGTGCTTGAGTTGGGAAACATTTTTACCGACGGTACCATGCCAGCGGACGCCGCTCTCCCTGGCACGAGTAAGCGTGGGCCTGGACATTTTTTTTTTTTTTTGCGGCCGAATATTCGGGTACAAGAAATCGTACCCGAGTAGTTGTCAACCGTGCGGGTACTCGAGCATTCGACTACCCCGTCGCAGCCTTAGTACCTATGGTACCAGTGGTGTACCTTGTGGTACACCATTTGTTATAGAAAAAGATTTGAGGAACTATTATTATAAACTACATTGAGATCTATTAGAAAGATTACTTTCAAACCAAGATGACAGTCAAATTTTAGTGTTGTTGTAGTTTCCGAGTGGTGAGTCAACACACTGATTACTGAGCTGGGAGACATTGCCAGGCATAGCGCCATAAATCGAAACTAAAAAAAAAAAAAAAAAAAAAAAAAAAAAAAAACTTTTTTTTACTCTTTCGCCGCATAGGCCGCACCCCGACTTTTTGATATTTTCTCTTCCAAAAATACTGCGGCCTATACGCCGGCAAATACGGTAATAGCATAACACATATCCCACACATACCATACCATGCCAGTGTCACTGAAGAACCACATTTGCAATGAAAAATATATCCTAAAATATCACATTTTAGCGATGTAATCGGCGGTCCCGCTACCCGAATCTGAAAAATCGAGTATTTTACGCGTGTCTGCAAGAAATATGGGTACCATAAAATGAGCTTTATTTCAAGTATTTTTCAGATTTAGAGCCCGATTTTGTGCTAGTCGCAAGCTCAAAAGTATCTCATCGCATGTATTAAATCAATGCAGCCGCACACCGCAACGCACACACGATATCTCTGTCTAATTCAGATTCCAACTTCCGATCACCGCTGTGCCTGTCTTCGGCCAGACGAGCACTCGGGAGCTCCGGCGTGGGATACCTGCTCCACCCGCTTGTGCTGTACATCAGCGCGGAAACGCACGGCGCGCGCGAGCGCTTCCTATTGACTTTGTACATGCGGCCGTAAACTGAAACGCTCGGCCGATAACTGGCTCCAAAACAGTGAAAATTGAAATGAATATTGTCATGGCAATTCGTGATTTTTTTCTGGGATTCTTTTTTTGTTTAAATAATAAAAATATTTGCTTCATGATTTGAACAAAAAATGATAATAAATAGGAAGTAAAGGGTCCTAAAAAAAGGATGTTGTCTTAAGTGGCCGAAAACGGGCTCCTTTACTCTATATGTCATGGTTGGTTCTCCAACCAGAAGTTTGTATTCAAACTTCTTTAGGGGCTTCTAGGGGATATCCTCATAAAAAAGGACAAATTGTGTCCTAGACTCTACTCCTAAAAAATAAGGATCGGCGACATTTTTTTTCATCGGCGCTCTGCAGGCTTCTAAAAACGATGCTAAAAACTGATTCTGCGTAGGAAAATAACCCCACTTCACCGTCTTCTTACACTTTTATGGGTTGTCTGTCTTCCCAAGGATTTATCGCTCATAACGTGATTACGTGAAAGTCTCTGTACAAAGTCAATGTCATTTTTGCGGATGCATCTGTCCGCGAGCGTTTACAGAGACGATCATTCTCGGAGTCGGACCAGCACCTCTAACGTCTTACTCTTAGCTCTATTCCTGTTGTTGACTCAACTTCATGTTTAACCTCATCATGATTTCTATTTTCTTTCATTCATAAAACATCAAATTTGTATACATCTAATTCACTTATGACACACATTTTCACTCAAACTTTCGGCCAAAGACTGGTTGCGGCAAAATATTTGTTGGTTTAGCCTTAGGCCTAGCGCCGCGCCTATGCCATGGCTATGCAATTCAATGCGATTGAAACGGAAAACCAATGGCCATGCACATGATCACCGATTATGATGCAGCGATAGATAGATATTCACAGAATCTCAATTAGGAAATAAGCATGTAATACTCACCAAACTGCAATGAAAAGTCCTCGGGCTACGACTAAAGTATTAGTCAAAGACTTGGTATTTTCTCTAGAATCTTTGTGGTTCTTATACATTTCAAGAGCTCATTTTCTTCTCCTTTCTTGCCATTTCATTTCAAATTAATTGGAAGACATGCAATCGAATTCGCCATTAATTTTTTGTCTTAAACTACAGATGGCGCTATTTAACACAGAATCAAATTGCGCTTACCGACGTCCACAACAAATGCCGTAGATACAGGATTTAGAATTTTAAATCTATATTTAAAGTATATTCATTCATTCTAGTGAGATGACTTGACCTGCTGCAAGGGACAAAAGTTAAGAAGCGATATTCATGTAAGTACCTTAGGTCTTAATTTATTCTGGTATTTTTTTTCAGGCTGTTCATGTACAGCCATGTCTTTCTGCAGGAATTTGGTCGAGCCGCTAGCCTGTATCTACCCCGAGCGGCTGGGGTAGCAGCTGGTGGCCCGCCGTGAGAGAAGACCAACCCGCGCAGCACAGCGCGCATAGCTAGTGCACATTTTTTTTTTGCTTCTATTTAGTCTAATGACTGTTAAGAGCTATTTTATATCAGAGAAGTAGAACTATATAAAAATAAATAAGGAAATGTGGAATAGGGGTTTGGTACAGGGAGCTCCCTGGCCTGGATACGTAGAACTGTCTTTACTACTACTAGCTTGCATTTACTTAGCACATGCATGGATGGATGATGGAGTTACCTCAGACTCAGAATCTGGGCAACGCGTTAGGTTCAGGTTTTCAGGCAAATTATGCAATTATCATGTATGATGTAGCTTGAGCTTGCTCCATGCAACTTCAGGGATGTAATTTATTTGAAATAGGGATCCTTTAGTTTAACTTAGATAGACCCACACATAGGAGCATCACTATCCTGGATGTGTAGTAAAAGCTATCATACTGTAACGGACACGATTCGCCACCTTGGCTTGACACGGAATATTTGTCAGGATGCCCGTGTCTGGCCTGGCGCTCCCCGTCGTTCGTTTGGACAAAATATATGCCCGCAGCTTGATGGCTGGAGTTCTTTCTGCTCACACGTATCTTAACAATCTTTCGTCCATCGACTGCAATCGGTCACCTCAATCGTTGTGCACAGCAACAGTCAATTGAACATCCTTCGAGCATTCAATCAATCAATCACCAAATCAGTCACTGATTCTCGATCTCATTGTCTAACTATGGTTTCACTGCTCCAAGAAATCAAGCCAATCATAAGTTGTACGTTGAAATTCTTTAATGCGATCCAATCAACATGCATACAGGGTAAACTCAGCACAAGTACAAGTGTAGACTAGATGTAAGACTCGATTACAGGTAGGGCCAGGCCAACTATCAGGCTATCTATCAATGATCAGGCCAGCCTCGGTGAGGCTGGCCTGTATCGGATACAGTGCAGTGGAAAGCCCTGGATGCACAACCCTGGCCGTTCTATCAATTTCCCTATAGATAACCGTATAAAAGAACAATTATGTCCTCGTTAGTAAAACAACACTTCAACACAACATTTCTGCTAATCCCATAAAATCTTCACATATAATCTTCAGTATAACCCCTTATTCCTGATTAAATAACTACTATACAAATAATATCCCCAAAAGAAACATGATAATTGCACCAACATAATTGTTATATGTAATTTATGCTCATTTTCCTTCAGTTTGGTAATTGCTAAATCAACGATGCGCCATATTGCTATAGCGCATGCGTGTACAACAAAAATGCTTAACCTTCGTCCAATACTAAAACCCTGATTTGTTACAATACCTTGGATCATACCTTGGAAGTAGGCATAAAGTTATACAAAACTTATTTGCCCCTCGGTGTCTGCTAGTGGGTTACTCTTGAATTTGGCATTGTGCAGTTACGGATGAACATGGACAGTTAAATAGTTCATCAGGATTAAACTTGTCCTTCTTCAGTGACCAGTACTTGTCAAGATTTGATTTGAAAGAATTGAGTGATGGACTTTCTGCTACATATGATGGGAGACCATTCCATTCGTTTACTACTCTCTGTGAAAAAGAGCTCTGCCTCAATTTAGATTTTACATGTTTCTTTTGTAGTTTAAACTGGTGACCTCTTGTTACTGTGACAGTGGTACGATGAAAGAAATTAGTTGACTGGAGGTCGTCGATTCCATGCATTATCTTATAGACCTGTAGCATGTCACTTCTATGACGTCTGTATGATAATGAAGGCAATTTTAGTTGCTCTAGCCTTAACTTGTACTGAAGACTTCTGAGAGGTTGAAGGAGTTTAGTTGCACGACGTTGAACTTTTTCCACTTTGAGAATATGTTTCTTCTTATAAGGGTGCCACACGGGAGAGCAGTATTCTAGTGCTGGTCTCACAATTGACTTATATAACTGTGTGAGTCCCTTGTTGTCCATAGTTGAAAAAGTGCGCTTGATGATACCCAGTTTCCGGTTTGCAGCATTGCAAGCAGTGTCAATGTGATTAGAAAAGGACATTTTATCATCGAATATTACTCCCAGATCCTTTTCATGATGAACTGCAGGTAATGCTTTTGATTCTCAACATTTCAAACACCACTGTACAAAACTCAACTAATTTCACTAAAAATCGGTACTTTAGTGACAATTGATGACACCTAAATAGCAGTAAAATACATATTTTTCAACTTACTGAGGTTAAAAAGAATAATTTAAAAATTAAAATTGTAAGTCTAGTGTCAAACTTTGCTTACAGCTGCATCGACATGATTGTGTACAGTCTATGCAGTTTTGTGTGGTGTGTATATTTGTGTATAGACTTCTAGGTCCCAGCCTCACAGCATAGATGCAGTGCTAGAGGTAAATACGCTGTAGCATTGACTCTCTATGCTTTGCTGGAGTGCATAGACCCTATCTCTACTCTAGTTGTCTCTAGATCCATTAAGAGATTTCATGAAGTGTTACTGTAAGTCAAAGGAATTATTTTTTTTTTTTATTATTGTTATCGATCATTATCATCATCAATATCAAGTTAAATTTTATATCTCAAATTTGCTGATTACGTACAGTTGTATGCTTGCTAAATTGTTTATCTTTTCAAATGTTCTTGATTCACACCCAATTCTTTAGGAAGTTTGGTATCATTAGGTTCTACTTTTTAAAAGATATAAATCTAGATCTAAGTAATATGTTGTTTTTTTCACACCAGCCCTACTATTTAACATTTTTTGTTTTTACTATTTATAGGAGTCAAAATGGCGCAATTCATCACACCAATTTCAGAGACGAGAGAAAAGCTTTCAAGATTCAAAGGGGACTATCGTTTTGGAAATTTTGAGGTCATCCCAAGCCTTCCCACTTCAGGTCCTGCCCACAAGTCTGAGAAGCATGTCAGAACTTATTTCAATAACAAACAAATCTTTAGAACCATTAGTGAGTGGTTTGAGGTTTGGATGCCATGGCAGAGGCGCATCGTTCTCTGTGGTACTACAGATAGGTGCTCTACGTCTCAGCTTGAGTATCTTGCAACAGCCTTGGAACCAGTGTTTCACAGAGACTTTCAGAACTCACTCAGAGGGAGCTATCCATCACTGACCTCCAGGAAAGTGATCCACACTAATGAGCAGTCAGAGAGAACAGTGAAATTGTCTGATTCTGATATGGGTAGTGTCTACACCAAGCAAGAAGATCAATCCCTATCAAGCGAAGGATTGCATTCTCTAAACTCCTTTGCTTTAAAATTTGTCAATAACATCATTTCAGAAGCAGTTCAGATGGCTGCAGGGAGAAATGTAGAATTTGATCTGGGTGAGGAAAGTTATGATGAAAGTCAGAAATCGAAAGGCAAGAAAGGACCTAAGAGAAAGCCTTCACCTATCAAGGAAGTTCAAGAGAGCTCCTCTTTTGAACTTGAAAGCAAAGTATCTCACACATTGAGCCCAACGAGAAGTCAGTCACAACAAAGTACATATTCATCATCTTCCAGAGACTCTATGCTAAAAGTACCTATGAGTGACAAGACCAGTTTCTCTGGCACAAAACACAGCACCACTTCCAGTCAAAAAGATGGCCTTCTGCTCATAGAGCGGAAAAGTGTCGACACCTCATCTTTCCTCAACCAATTCAACTCTTCCACTCGCCCTCTAGAGTCTTCCTTTTCTGCCAAGCCATCAGAAAGGCGCAAGGCAAAGAATCGATCACAGGCTTACAATCATTATTTCTGTGGACAGGAGGACACTGTCTTGGCCGATGAGCATCACTTGGATGACCTACCACCTCTGGAAGCCAAGAAGGTGTCCACGTTCAACTGGTGTATGAGTCACAGGGTCACACCCTCTGCAGGGTCGACCGCAGTCGGATCGGCTGAGAGCCGTAGGAGTAAACCACACAAACACACCAAGAGCTATCCCCTCCCAGGAAGTGCAGCAACCACCGCAGACTACTTTGATCGATCAAAGATACAGAAACTAGGCAAGATATTGTTTTAATTAATTTATTGCATCCATTTTCCTGTGATTTATGCTATACAGGAACTCATTAGGGATAACAATGTTTTACTGGTAAAACTAAATGAAGAAAGTGAATGAATTGATATATATTTATCTGAATTAAAATATCTTAGATCAGGATAAATAATTCCAATAAACGTAAATGCTTACTTTGTATGTGCTTTATCCAATGTGCATGTTCAACTTCTTTATTCTAAAGAAGTGGTACATTTATATGATTTTTTTCTGGTTTGTTCATACATGTACATACAGCAATATGAAAACATTTTTGCAATTTATGAAATATTTCTAGGATTTTCATGATGGCTTCCATCCAGTAATATCCCCTTTGAGTCATATGCTTTAAATTCTCAGTAAGTTAATCTTGTAGTTAGTAAGCTACATAAGCTCAACAAGTTTAACTAAATGTTATTCACTAGCTAATGATGTTTTCCAATTTTCATATCAATACAGGTGCAATGAAAGGAGTTTTGCGTACAGGTCAAATCAACAAACCACCCCAAGTTCAAGATCTCTACATCCCCGTCCAGAAGACTTTCAAGCCAAGCAAATGGTGGACACCGCGACCTGTAGTGGTCCCTGCTAAGAAGCAACAACTGAGGGCAGCATTCAAGGATCAGTTGGAACAGATATGGAGTGTAAGATAATTTAGTTTTCTCTAATCGCAAATATGCAAATTGCAAATTCAGAGCTACTGTCTCTCTTAAGCAGGGTATAAAAGTCGTTGCTGCTCTGAAGAGTAGTTTAATCATAACTTATTCAGAATTTTTAAAGTGTAAATTCATACGTTGATACGTTTGTGTAATTCAGACTCATTGTTACATTTCTGAATATCGAAAAAGTCTAATAACCTACATTTTTTTCTTATTTGGCAGTGGATGAAGGAATGGGAAGATCATGAGAAAGGAGACCTTTTGGTTGAACTCATCAAGATGTGTGACCAGGAACTTATCAAATTCTTTGCTTCATGTCTCACCAAACGGTAGGGATTTAAAGAATGAGCTTTAACATAATTTATATACAGCATTGGATAACATGATTCGCATGAAATCAATTTGCATTTTGCATTAGAACATGCAAGATTGATAAGAAATCTTTTTTTAATAATTGGTTTATAACCCATCAAGTTTGCTCGCATATATATGCTATATATCTTTACTTTCTTGTAGTTTATTCAATAAAAGTTTAACCCATTGCCTGTGTGAACCAGAAGGCTCTTATATTAAAGCCTAAGGGAATACAATAATTTAGTAGTCTATGGGTTAAATACAATAACACAAGAATGTTGATACTCATCAATATGCAAGGTACTTAATATGAATTTTAACTTCATTGAATTAAGTAATTGAAGATAGGAGCACAACCTAAAATATTCTATTGATATTGCTCTAATGTCTTTATTATTTCTTTATACTAAATACTAATAATATTGTACCCAAATTGATATATACATTTTTGTTTAACAATTTTGATATCATATACCATGCTTATCAATTTAATAGTAACAAAGTGTAAAACAGTAATTCTAATATTTGTTATTGCATTATGAATTATTCATTAACAACTGCATGCATGTACATTTATTTCCTTTTTAAAATTGAAACCGATGTTCAGGTTGCATCAGTATGTGAATTGGTATGTGACATATTTATTTGCATGTGTGTTTGCACAAGATTCATTGTCTTTATCCACACTGATTTTGCATTAAGGTTATTGGTAACATGACTAATATTGATTCAGTTTTGAGCTAACAATATTTGTTATTTAGAAGAAAAAGGAATAAGTGTAGCAAGGATGCACAGGCGGATCAAGAAGGGCATGATTGCTGAACCTGGAGTGAGAGAGGGCGGGAGGGGAAAGAGGGAGAAATATACATATATATACATGTATATATATAAAGAGAGAGAGAGAGAGAGAGCAGGAGGAAGAAAGGGGGTAGCTTTAGGGTATTACCATTGCTATATTTCAGCTAAATCCCAGCACCTTTCCCTTTTGGGCTAAAAAAAAATCTGAAAAACTCAGAGAATGGGTAAATCAAAATCATTTTCCAGGTGTAAAAGGTTTGCTTTGCTCTTTAAAATTCTCATTACTTCACAATTTTGGTTTGCATGGCGAATTATCCACTGGTGACTAACGCATTCATTATTTGTTTTTATTTCATACATTTTTGCTGTGCAGTCTTACATTCAATTTGTGCTTTTACATGGAGATTGTTGGTACAGTAGCTGTGTGAAAAGCTATACCTTTAGGCAGCTGCTTGTGTCATTGTATGAATGATAAAGAGCAATGATTACATTATGCTTTTCAGAACATTGAAGGTACCTACACATTGATAGCAATATTAATCCAGTTAGAGAACTGAGAGAAATCCTTCAGCTGATCTTTGTATTTTTGTATTAAGCCTACAGATAATTTTTGGCTATGGCTCCCAAGACAGACAATCAATTATACCAACCTCATGAGATCTCATGGACTGTCAGTAAACAGGGATGTATCAAATATTGTTCTGATTATCCAGATCAGCTGGTAGAAATTAATATCAGGTTGACCTCATTTTCCACTCCCTGTTTTACTTTCTCTTTACTTATACATGTGTATTTTTGATGAAAAAAAAAAGATAATTGAGATATATCTGGTTAAGGGTTAAGGGTTAAGTTTGTTTCTCAGTACTTCTTAGATTGATAAACCCCAAAATTTTAGTTGTGAAATATGATAGTTGCTTGATATTTACTAAGAGTTGGAAATCCTGCCACTGGATTATCAAATTGTAGAGTCTCATGATACTTTCATGATTGTATTTATTACCTTTTGTTGTATTTATCAGTACAAACATTTGAATGTGCTATTGAAAGGAATGGGAAATACTGCTATAGGTGTAGATTTTCAAAAAAATTACAAATTTGTTATTTTTCAACTTTGAAATCAGTGTTTCTTTTTCCATATTGCCAGGTTGGAAGATCGTATGGATATCAACAGCCTTCCAGACAAAGTGCTTCTCCGTGTCTTCTACATGCTGTCTCCTACAGACCTGCTGCAGGTAGAGTTGGTTTGTAAGAGATGGCGATTCCTTGTCTCACATGAAGAGCTGTGGCGCTACAATTGCAGACTCTTAGGTGAGCAATTAAAAGTGATAATTAATCCCTTGCCCTTTCCTGCACTCTAACCTTCTTTCAAAGCTCTTTGCTCTTTACTTTGTTTAATTTTTACATTATTATTACTATTTTTTTAAATATTTATTTGGCACTTTCAAAAGAAACAAAAACAAGAAACAATATACAATGTACATAGGATATAGTGAATGAATACAATAATTTGGCACTTACACACCCGACCAGGTGGCCAAATCAAATGTACAAGTGATATTTACCTGAAAGGGATTATATGTGAGTTTTCAAGAGCTGAACACAAGCAGTTGTACTGCTATTTTATACCAATGTGTTAACAACCAAAAAGATAAACAAATAAAATGTTGGGGGTAAAAAGGGTGATATATTGTTAGGTACCCCAAAAGAAAACATTTGTTTTGTTTAAGAACAGGGATAGAGAATGAGCTGAATTCATCTGCTACAACATATGATTATAAACAAATTTACAAGTGATGAAACACACAAGATATTAGGGGGGAATGCAGAAATTGCAATTTATAATCTAGTATTAATAGTGTGCATATAATTCCTAATTCCAATAACATTGTTGGAATTTTATAACTCCAATGAATTCCATGCAATATGATTGACTTGTTGAAAGATTCAGATGATGAAATTACAAATATTATCAAATAATGGGGATGAGCAATATAAAAGCCCATCTGTCATTGAGTATCATCTTTAGTGTAGCAGTTACTAATGACATGAAAACTAATTAAATATAATACATTCATTCATAACGAGGATACCAAATACTTAGTTTAAATGTTTATACATGTTCTTACTTATTCTTTGTTGCTGTTATAAGTTTATGTTCATGATTTTGTTATTATTGATTTTTTTAAATAAATAACTGTTGTTCCTTATTATGTTTATCAGGGCCTCATGGAAGACCACCATTACACCTGTCTAAATATCAGAAAGAATTAAAGAAAGAAATAAATAAATTAAAAAAAACATTTGTTGTTTGCAGGTACCCGTTACAATTCAGCAGACCTTGTTCAGCTGATTGAGTTCTATATGAGTGAGGATGCTGTAGACTGGAGAGAAGCTTTCTGGCAGCTTACTGACATCATGGTGCATCATGATGAAGCAGTCCAGAAACCTGGTATGATATCTTCCTTCTGATGTTATCCTTTCACTTTTATGTTCTCAGACTTCTTCTGTCTTTACATGTTTATGTAGATCCTGAGTGATGATGTTCAAATGATGTGATTTCGAATTTAGTCAAAGAAATTCATCAGTTCTTCATCAAATTTTTGAAATATATTTCACAAAGAGAGTTGATGATGTCTGCATTTATTATCATACTCACGTTTTAAATGGTTTGCAAGAAATTCTCAATCTGAATTTGTCTTTTTTCCAATTTTTCTTCATAAATACACCAGTTTACGGTTGTATCAGTGCGCATGCGCAGACAGTTGACCTCGGGTCATTGGCCCTGAAACAGGGCCAATAACCTTTGACCAGTGGTATTTATGCGTAAATTAAGATTGCGCCCATGCAAATGATGATATGCGCGCACAACGCAGCGCGTAGGCAGTGATCATCATAATTTGCATGGGCGCAATCTTAATTTACGCATAAATACATGACCTCTAGGTCATTGGCTTTGTTTAAAATGGCGCACACAACCGTAAACTGGTGTATTGAAGTCACCCTTCAGTGACAGGGAAACCTATATTTGTATTGTAGGTTCAAGTATTTTTTAAATAATATTTTTTATTGCTATTTTTTGTAACAGATTCTAAGAGATTGTGGAAGATGGTGACAGACAGGATCTCTGAGCTGAGAAGAAGATATCTTCATGAGGAAACCGAATCAGAGTCATCAGGTAGATATGAGAATAATATATCTATCCAATTCTCATGTGCTGTCTAATCCAATATGTGTAGTAACAATCAGTTATTTCATCAGCAGTGCATGGTCATGCTTTTTAATCATATGCCTAGAAAGTGACTCCAATCGTACTTGCCTTATACTATACCCTCTTTGAACCCTAGAGCAATTTCATGTATATTCTAATAAATTATGATTAGCTTGTACAACTAATCATATGTGTGTGTCTATATAGAATACATCTCATATGATGGTCCCATCTTGAGTTGCATGCTCTCAGTGATGCTGTGCAGTTTTCTTTAACCAACATTATTCATATTCATATTCATATTCATATATTCATATCAGCTACTGCATTGTACTGCATTGTACATTGTATATGTTGATATTAATAAACGGAAATTGAATTGAATTGAATTGAATATTTATTTCATTTCCAACAGAAAGGTAAACAAAGATATTACATTTTTTTTTCATACATAATTCATTTTTTCTGGAAACTATACAAATACACTTTGCACATAATGAAATTATTACTAGAAATTCTTAATTTCTGAGGAAATGGGTGGATCCACTAAAAAGCAGTGCTTGTAGTTTGTGGATCCCCCAGAAAAAAAGATATAATTGTCCCAAATTTTGCCTACGAAGACTTGGACATTCATAATGTGTGCTCTGGTTCATGGCTTTGGATTTCAATGAGAGTAATATAACCATAATCTATCATATGATTAACCATCAGCTAGTTGGCCATGTTTTAGACATAATAGTGAGAGGGTGGAAAAATAAACTTATTGTGACATGGAAAGGAATTATCCATTATTTGACATTTATCTACTCCCCACCTTTATTCAGTTAACCAAACTTATACCTGTGACAATGTCTCGTAACCATTGTTTTTGTATGTGCTGTACAAATGTATAATAAACTTGACTGTAGACTGAGTATATGTTTACTACCCATAATCTCCTCTATATCACATTTCCCTCTTTTATCATGCACTTCCATATCCTGTTTGTTTTGCTTATTTCATGTATTATTCCTTCATTCTCCTTCTCTTTCTCTTTCTTCTTTTCCTCTTTTTCTTCCTCCTTCTCTTTCTCTTTCTATCTTTCTCTTTCGTTCTCTCTTGTCTCTTCCATTTACTCTGTGTTTTCAGCTATCACTTCAACTCTCTCTTTCTCTCTCTCTCTCTTTCTCTCTCTCTCTCTCTCTCTCTCTCTCTCTCTCTCTGTCAACTACACACTGTATATGTCCTGTTTTGTTTACCCTCTTATATCCTATACTCATCTCAGTATTTAACCTCCACCATCACCTCAAATTGCTGTTTTTGTATCTAATATCCTAGTCTCTACAGAAATATCTGAGTCTGATTCTGTTTGTTCAGAAGTAGGTGAGTCTATCTCAGTGTCTCCTCTATATTTCATGTTCTTAATGTTTCTCTCCCAGCCTAACTTCCATACAAAATGAGATTTGTTTCTCTCAATACTTGATAGAGCAGTCAGCATGTATACTAATCCCCAATGTCTATATGTATTAAAAGTGAATTTGTATTTATCAGCAATATGAATTACCCAAAAGCTGAAACCCCTATCTAACTGAAGGTAGCACTTTGTAAAGCATGGGATGTCAATTTCTTCACTTCAAAAAAGAGAAATGTCAAAATAGTAATATAGGATTTTAATCAGGTTTTCATTCTTTTAACATATCAATGCAGTAACATTTGTGTATCAGAAATTAATTCAGAATATGACAATACCAATATGCATCCCAGTTGCACGTACCCAAAGTCGTGTCTCATTAATGACAGTAGGTAAAGTTTAAATTGATATGAGTTATGATTTTTGTAATAGTTTTTGTTATCAATAAGTCTTAATTTCTTTTGAATATTGTGAATATGTATTTCTGTGCCTGTAGAATAACAAATACTTTTAATTGAATAAATTTACCTTTCTGAATCATCAAAAATTAAATCTTCCTCACTTACTCTTCCTATCACATTGTCATTATCATCATTATTCTAATTACTGAGTTATGATTTTATTTCATTATTCTTTCTTTCCATACATATATTGTCCATTTTCACTAATAGTAATAGCAGGGTAGGGTTGTAAAACAAGTATCATACAAATAGAGCATTGTCTTTGCTTTTGCAATGTTCTGTTAATTATGTGTACTTCTTCAGGCTATCAGGGGGAAATAGATCATTTCTTTTGCGCTATAATCTTTCCATATGAAAGAAGAGTTATGTTGTTGTCTAATCAGTTCTGATTGCTTGTCTTTTTGTGCCCTACAGTTGAGATAGCCATTGCTGTTGCCCGTCCAAGACCAACCAGTGCTCGCACAGAATCATCATCTGATAATGGAATGGATGAACCAGATAGGGGGTAAGGGTACTTTCCTAAATATCCATTAGCAAATCATTGCTGGTCATATGGGTGTGTATAATAATGATAGAACTAGCACTCTGCCCTGTCAGTGAGAGTGCAAAAAGTCATGTAAGAAAGTGAATTTGATCATTAAACAGAGATATGAATAAAAAAATAGGATAGTTTCTATTATATTCCACATACTAAGAATCTTGCTCTATGATTGGTCAAAAGTAAATCACGAAAGATAGTTCGCCCATCATTGGTGGGAGAAGCAAAAAGTTTGTTACACTGTGTAGATAGTACTATTATCTACACAGTGCAACACACTTTTACTGAAGATAGAAGTACTATCTACACTGTGCAACGCACTTTCACTGAAAATTATCCAAAAGCGCACTAAACGGGCGTAAATACGCGCACATTAATTAAAGAAAACACATGCGCGCACCGTACCCACAAGGTGTTGGGTTAAACTTTAACTTTTTTGGTGTGAATTTGGGCCTAAGTAGATGCACACACGTCCTTTTCTTTCTGTAGTTTAATTGTTTCAGATGTGGAATATAAAGCAAATAATCACCTTTTGGTTTCAGGCGATGGCTAACTATCACTTCCTCGTCGATCAGAATGTATACGCTATCTTTCCTCAGCTTCGCTTCGGAAAGATAGCTACATCCAAATCGCCTCGGAAGTGATAGTTTGTCCCATCACCTTCACCAACGGTAGTTATTTGCTTATTCTATGTCAAAATTACATATTGTGAGGGCTTGTGGAGGAATAAGCAAAATGATAATTTGAATAGAATGATGAGGAGATGGAGGAGTAGTATTTATAAATAATGGATTCATTCAATCTTAAACTGAATTGAACACATGACTGTTCTGAAATCAAGCGAAATAGTTTACTTTCAGGCCAACGATGAATGAATAAATACTTCACTATATTATGATGGGAGGATGTTGCTCAAATGATAAAAGATCCAAAGTACTAACATGGGATAAGGAAATTTGGTTGACTAAATCCAAGATATCTTGTGCATTTCTTGTAAAAGCTTGTTTTATGAAATCTCTGTGAAATGCTGAATATGGGGAAATATTTTTGAATTTTCTAAGGAATCCTAGCAATTGTTTACCAATTCACATTTTCTTTGTGGAGGCATTAGTAGGGGGAAGTAATTCTGAAAGAAAATATCATTTGTTTTTAATATTTAATGGTTTATATGATATCTGTACTCCAGTGATATATACTTCATGGTCATTAAAAAAAAAATGAATTCAGGATTGTAACTCAAGTCACTAGCTCTAAAACTACACCTCTTTTAAAACAATTGTAACCAGCTTCATATTAGTATTATATCTTTTACAATATATAACCTAAAGCATACATCATCATAGTAAATATCAGGGGGGTGTTTCACAAAGACTAAGATCAACCTAAAGTTAGACTTAACTATGGCAGGCCGTTCATGCCACTTGTTGCTCTCAATTATGATTTTTAGATAATATTTTTTCCTTCAATAATGAATTATCAAAAAATGTAAATTCTGTAGATTTGGGACAACGATTTGTATGTCCCTTGAGAGGCCAATGCCAGTAATTGGTGAGAGCAAACAGTAGCATGAACGGCCTGCCATAGTTAAGTACAACTTAAAGTCGATCTTAGTCTTTGTGAAACACTCCCCCCCCCCCCCCCCAGGTCCCATACAGAATGAACGCCTTTACTCAAGAGCATGTTCTCATCTCATCTACAGCTCATCTGGATCCCATACCCCTGTGGATGAGATGCTACATATGAGAAGGAGAGGTGCTTTAAGGCCGCAGAGAAAATCTATGAAGATGGAGGATATTGCCTTGGACATCAGGCCTGAGTTACATCGTGCTGAGGACCTGCTGGTAAGAATATTCTTTTAATAATAATAGCTCACATTTGTAATGTGCCTAATACTTTGTTTTTAGGCGCAGCACATACCCCGGTCATCGGATTCTGACTTACCCTCAACACAATGTATGCACATTTTCCATTCCTTGGAAAGAAAGAAAGAGCGATTGATGAATCCCACAAAGAAAATAAAGCTACAAAACATGTTCTCTTGTCTTGAAACCATGATTCCAGATGCTTATCTACAGTTTTTAATGTCAGCATGACCTCCTGTAAAACAAGATATTTTACGATTGGTCCGAACACATGAACTATTATGCCGTCAATTAACTCTATCACTAAACTTGATATTGCAAAAGATACATGAAGATGGCCATTGTTAACATTTTGTGAGAGTCTCCTAGTTTAACAGTAAATATATGATTTATTATCTCAACAAATGTATAAGTTACTGTTAGTTATTTGGTTTCTCAAATCAAATTTTCTCCTTTCCCTCCCCACTCATTAGAACCCATCGTCTGAACATGAAGAGCACATGCATTATGATGGAAAAATCAAGCAAGTCAAGAGAGTCCGCCGATTGCAGGTAAGAAAAATGTCTCTTTAATCATAGATCCTCTTCCTTTAAATGTCGACAAAGATTTGTGAAAGATTACAATGAAAGATTGCAGTGAAACAAAGTGTTTCAAAACGTTATGGAGAGCAAGCAAACTTAAAAAAAACTACATATATCAATGATTTTTGTTTTGTATGTCACAAACAAGACAGTTTTAATCATGATACATTCCATGCCCTCTACATCCTTATATGAGAGAGACATGTGTCAATTCTGAGATCCCAGAAATTAGTTTTAAAAAACTGTTTTTATGATCTGCCGTATGATTATACATCAACTTGAAATATAATGCTGATGATTCCCAGCTACTATAGACTGCTACATGTATATATACTGCATTAATCATGTAGAACATGATACTTCAATTTCATCATTTTATTCATGTATTTGTGAAACATTTATGCCGTGTTTCCCTGTTATTGATGGTTGACAGTTTGTGAATGTCTGAATTGAAGAGGAAAATGACAGACTAGCTTAGGGACGGTGCTAACCATCAAATTTCATCTCTCTGTCTCTCTTTGTTTCTGTCCCCCTCTTTCTTCAACACAAACTAATCATCAGTTAATCAGAAACTTTCAAATATCTTTTGCAATATATGGCAAGCTTCCTATAAGTAATGTTGATATAAGGCTGTGGAAATATGAGTCAATCTCCAATTTAATGGTTTATCGGGGGCTATATGTTAAATCAGCTTTCTGACATGGATCCGATTCATAATTTATTGTCAACTTGATGCTTGCAATAATACAAACCCCTTAGAATTAAATGTCAATGATGTTTATGTATGAAGTAGTACTTCATGTTTCTTAAATTATCCTCGGTATCACCCCAAAAAAATAATTATGTAGCATGTAAATATTTAACAATTATATGTGCTGTTGATGTTGTGTGTTGATTTATGTTACTAAGTACACATACACCTGTAGAACATTATTTCTGGCTGATCTTTTGTAGTTTTTCCCTGAGGTGCAGGGGTATGAACACACACATTGGATTGTGCTACTTTTCAGTTTATAGCAAGGTTCTTCAAAAGACAAATCATAAACACCTTCAGGAACATTAGCTCTCACATAGGGCTGCTGCAATGTGGTATTTCCTTTATGAAGTAAAAGTAATGATATTTGCTATCACTGACTCAGCTATATTTTGATATGATGAGATTTGAATGTGGCAGTCTCAAATGAACATACAAGAGAGCTGTGGTAGTATTATGAATCCATTAGTGAAACTCATGATTCTGGAAAAGAAATAATTTAGCCTTTTGTTTTTGCAATTTGAAAAGTTTGCAATTCAGGAATAATCATAATTTACCCCTCTGAACAGTGAATTGTGTGATTTTCCTGATTAGTGTAGGTACCGGTATGAGAATCCTTTTTTAAAGTCTATAGGTATGTTGGTATTTATAAGCGAGTCAAAGTCTCCCATTCATTCTGTGCATGGGTAGATTGATGGGTAGGTAGACAGTTTACTTATTTCCCATCTACTGACTCACTGCTTGCTGTACCATTCCTTACTTGTTTAGTTTCATTTACCTGTCGGTATAGTGCCACCCAATAGAGTAAAAGGCCAGCTTTCATATATATCATAAAGCAATTTCGCCATTTCCAAGTTATTTTTGGCATTGAGTGGGTTAAAGGTATCGTGAGACCCAGATAAGTTGGCTAATGCCTTCCATATGTGCAGGCAGCAAACAACCACAGGTACGTACGTGCACCAGGTGTGCATGTACACCAGGTGCTGACACAAATAGAGCTTTCTTTCCCTCCGTCCGCATGCCCGTCACTCAGAAATTCAATCGAGATGGCAAGACTTCAAGTATTTGGGTCAGTATTGTGTGGGTTGGCCCTAACAGAGACCCTAATTACAGCCAGATACAGACACATTTGTGTACCTGCTGAGGTGAATGACATATACCATAGCTTGGCTGTTTGGGAACAACATATCCTCGGAAGATGATGAAGTTTATATGTGGACCTTTTTTAGGGTTTACATCCATCACCATACTCTATGAAGAGTATTTTGTTGGATATTAGATAAGAAATCTGCAAGTGAATATGTAGGCATTTTTTAAGGACAAGTTCAGTGGTTAAGGAAATGTTACACAACATTTACTTGAATGGATTACATGATTTCATTTTTACTTTCCATGTTTGTATTACATGAGTACTATGCTGTAAATGATCTTGTCAAGATTTTTTTCTACCATGGATTCATAACATTATGACCAATCATTGCACAATTCAAGTTTGAACTTGTATTCAAGTTGGCATTATGATTGGACAAAAGAGACAACAAGAGGGCGATATCTTAGTTTTGACCTTCTTCGTACATTAATATACCTCTAGAATTGATGGTAGGCAATTCAAAATATGATACTCCAAATATACATTGTCATCTACGTGTACCAACAAGATTTCTTATTGTTTACATTGTAAAGTATGAACTCTGGTCCTTCTTAGTATAGAAAAAAGCGTTTAGTGGTGAAGTAATTTTCCAGTTGTTTTTCAGTCATTTTCTGTAATAGTTTTAGATAGCTTGGGAATTTATGGCTACAAATTGATTTTCCAATTGGCAACAGTCCAGAAAGCAAACTGGATACTTTTTTTTCATGGAAGATTAGAAATATTCATGCTGTGTTTTTTCTATGAAATCAGCCATTAACATTGTATGAAGACATTTTGAAAAGAAATTAATTATGGAGGGTAAACCAGTGCTTGAGTGGCAATCTGTCAAGTTTGTGTTGTGATCCCAAACTCAGAATAACTTCTTTATTACTGTCCTCTAAGAATTACATTGGGTTTCCCTCACATCTTAAATTGAATTCCAAAATGAGAATTGTATATCTGTGACAGGTTTGTCTGGCCGGGGAGATATATCCCAACCTATATTGTCCTCTTAACTTTTAAATGTAGCGGAAGAAAAGTGTTTGTTGATTTGGTCTTAGACCACCTACATGTAGTTCCACCAAAAGAATAAATGTTTGTCATAGTTTTGTGCAATTTTGTTGATCTTTTTTAATTGACAACAAACTTGTACACAATCTTGTACATTATGCTTTGACTGATGTGAAAAATGCTGCATTGGAAACATTCTATAGGGCACTCCTCATCCATTTCATTTAAGAAGCTATGCTATATTCATGAATTACGTTTGAATGAAATCCATATTTTGAAGATTATTGATGATATAGGCATATTTTCTAATAAAAATACACTATATACATGTACTGTACATAAGAATATTTACAAGAGGTGTATATCCGCATAGCTACACCACTCAGATGCAGGTTATTAAAGGGATGATATTTCCCAGGTGTGGGTGGAACATCCATCGGAATGCATCCAGGTGTTGCGATTGACAGTTGGCTTCCGTCTGTCAATCATTGGTACAGACAGGGGGGACCATCCCACCCCCCCTCTCTCTCTCTCGTTCTCTCTCTCTCTCTCTCTCTCTCTCTCTCTCTCTCTCTCTCTCTCTCTCTCTTGCTTTCCCTTTCGTACTCTGGTAACAGAATTACCTCTAATGGGGTCTCCATGTTGGAAGAATTATAGGTCACACCAGATACCTGACATTCCTATTCAAAATAAAGTAACTCACTATGAAAACCTCATCAAATCAGGTTTTAGTTGACCACAAAAAAGGTAATTTGTATATGTCTCCTGTTCGTAATTGATTGTAGGCATTTAAGATATGTAATACAATAAGTACATATCCAGTGAGAATGCTGCATGGTCCATCTACCCTTTTATACTACATTAAATATTATCTACAGATGTCTAAATGCAGAGCACATCATTTGAATTCATTGGATGAGAACAGGTTTAAATCATAGTACTTTAATTATAGTAGTGCCCCCAAAATGAAAACTGAACAGTATGAAAATATCTTTTAATGATGTCAAATTGGTAGTTAATAATTATTTATTTTTATTTCAAACAAACCAAGAGAACAATAATTGGTCACAAGGTAAGCCTATTCCATTGTTATTTTTATTGGGGTTTTCATCATTGAAGAGCCTGGAATAAAGTCAACCAAGAGCAAACAAGCAACGGTCAGAACAGACCAACAGGTCAAGATCCCCTGGCTCTGTTACACTGCCCTGGACAATTACAGGCTCCGTCAGAATGGCCTTCATAGCTTCCTATATATTTATATATATATATATGAGCCAACACTGACCACATTCATGAAATTATGAAAATGGCCATATTATTTACAATAATATTAACTATGAAACTTAGAAATCCAAGTCCAATGAACACTGCTTCATGAGAAAATAAACAAAAGTTAAATAAAACTCTGCTCCTGTCGTTGTAAAGTTTTTCATATAACTAGGGAGATGTGTAGCCTATAAGCAGTTGATGATTTAGAATAGAAAGAAAATCATGATTTTTTTTTTTTTAAAAGATGTTCTAATATTTATAATCTCACTATTGCGTGCTTTTAAAGACTAAAGTTAATTTGAGCAGTACTAAGAGAAGACTGGAAGTCTGATGAATGACACAATATCCCTTCTGTGTACCGGTATGTTTTATCAATGCACAAGTCTCCTACCAGGTCTTCCTTGAGGTCTTTTGTCTAGGATGCGTACACATTTGAGATACATGGGGGAATTACAGCAATATCACTATTCAGAGTATAGAGATGAAAACGTGTTTGTAATTTTTCGTCAAGCTCTCGTCAAAGTGATGCACCATGACAGGAAGTGGAAGGCCAAATAAACGAACGGTATTTTAACGATGATTTAATGATGGATAAATGACATGTACTGTCCATGGCTACCAAATGAAAGCCTGATTGTCATTGCAGTTTCATCTGCGTGTGCATCTTTGACAGTGAAAGACAGACAAGAAGGGTGAAGAAACATGGGGCTGGGTGACAAAACCCATCTTGTTGTTACGCCATCTAAGATCACAACCCCATTTCCTTATTCTAGTAACTGGTAATCTTTCCCTTCTGCACCCTGATGGCATTTCATGATGTGCTAATTTTCCTCCAATAGTACTATGACTATGCTTTGCACAAAAAGGCAAGATGGTGGGGTGGAAATTGGTAGTCGGTTGCCATGGTGATGGCCATTTGAACGAAAAAGCAGCCATGTCCCCCAAGCAGGCCTAAGCTAGAATTCATTGCACTTTTATAGGGGTTTAAGATGTAGGGAACGGAGAAGACATTCCAACAATGTTGCTTCCAATGTTGTTTGATTGGCTGTGATGGCTTGTTTGGACCCATCTGCGTGTTTACGGACTGCGTCTGTGGAAGATCTGGATGCATGTTTAGAGATCTGTCGAAAGGATACACCAGAGTGGATTCAATTGGAGTAGATTACTTCTCTTATTGAAATTGACAGGTTTAGATATTGTGCATACATGTGTCAAAAGGATGTTCCAGCGCTGCATGATACTGCTTGAATTTAGAGAGAAAAATAGATGGGGAAGAGCAAATGCAAGTGATATCTTGGAAAAGCTTTGTTTGTGAAAACACAACAAAGTTTCTTTGTGTCATGTTTAGCATGTAAGCCCGAACCTTTCTTTTGAAAAATTACAGGAGGGCAGACTGTTATAAATCATGCATAATAGCAATACGTCATGCCATTTCTTTAAAACAAATTTCTTGAGCTGCATCTTTTGAAAAATGTCATTGCACTTTAGTTTGCTTTTGTTCATTATCGGATGTTTGTAGATATTGTAATAGGACAGTATGTATTCGTTTTAGTTTGGACATTTGAATGGTTGTATCGTGATTGAATGAGTTTCAAGGAAAGGGCCTTCAGTTTGTTGTGTAATGAGAGATTTTATGATTCATCTCAAATGTCCATGCAAAAGATTAAATTGGTATACCTTAGATGTCTGCTTGGGAAATGTTCATGGACTCTGTCAGGTTTAATATATATTCTGTATACTGTAGTTACTCACTTACGTGTTTTGGATGGACAATGAGAAAGTGATGTAAAAGATATCCATGTTTAATACCTAATTGAGCTTGGTTGTTAGATTGCTTGAAATGTCCCCATATATAGGTAGAAGCAATGTTGATAAATGCAGTGATCATGCTAAAAAATATTACCTGTGAATTATTCACAGGTGTAGAGTTCATTGGATTGAAGGGAAACGGCTACAAAAAGGGAAGACTATATCTGGGCCCTGTTTCATAAAACTTAATCAATAACAAGTGCTGAACTTCTATGAAAAAATTTGCTCTCAGCCAATCGAATGCCAGGATTTCAGAAGCTTATAACAGTTGTTGTTACTTGTTATTGATAACAAGTTTTATGAAACAGGGTCCAGATTGGATGAATCAAATGTTTGAACATAAAACCATTACACTTATCATGACTAGGTAAGAACTGAAAAAAAGTTTAATAAGAATTGATAAACAGTATCACCAGGGCCCGTTGCATAAAACTTAACATTGATGGTAATTTTGCCATCAATGGCAACTACCATGGTAACAGGGCTCAACAGCCAATCAAAAGCAAGGTAATCCTTATTTTTGTGTGTTATTTGTTGGTCCCATGATTTAATAGGAAAGGGTCGCCTAATATCCAGGGCATTCAAATGTGGGTCTTTTTTTTTCTCTTTCTCTCTCTCTTTTTTTGTTTTTTTTGTTTTTGTTTTGGGGGGGTTTGGTTTTTTTTTGTTAGGAGTCGGTCCTGTACATGTATGAAAAGTGACAATTTTAAATTGTTGCTTATAATATCAATTTAGCATCCAAATATTTCATTGAATCCTGAGCCCTGTATTAAATATGTGGGTAGTTTTAAAAATGTAAGTTTTATTGTTCAGTGTGTAGTACAGGCATATAAGTTTAATAGCATTTTTGTACCCATTTTTAGTTGGTGGACACTTTATTCAATTTCTTATCTGCACATAGTTATTTTACAATTCCTTCCTTTAACAAAATATATGTGTGTGTTGTTTAAAAGAAAGTCTATTATAAGTTATCACAAAATGTTTCACAAGGTACATACATACATACCAAAATTCATATCACTCATGTGAATTCTAAAATATGACGGATTTGGAAACAGCACCAAAAAACTTAGTCCAGTATGTTTGAGGTTTTATTTCAAAGGCATATTACTTAGATATTAATCACATCATTAAGAATTTTTCTTTACATTTAATATTTGTTGATATATTCCTAGATTGATCGATCGAGATGGGGGGGGGAGTGCTGAAAAAGTAGGGCAGCATGGCTTCAGTTTTTAAATGAAATCTTTGAAATATGTGTAATAGTGAGCAACAATTCCCTAAGGGCTCGATCATGACCACCCAAATCTGTATCAGAATATCATCATCATGTGTTCTTGTGGCTAGACCGACCGACCCCGGCATGCATGTCGAAAGGAACGGGGAGAAGTAATGATGCTTTTACAAGGGATAGTTTGGGCAATATGACAGAACGGAATGTGGTTCAGGTGAGATTTATACTGCCCCCAGCGCTTGTGATAATATGATTAGTTTCGCATTATCCTGACAGATAACACCCATCACTTAGATGAGTGTAAATAATCCATGCTGTGATTTACGCCTCCCTTACAAGTCTTCACAACAAAATACCCAGATTTATGGCTTGCTGAAGATGATACATGTACTGATATGAGGTTAGAGGGACATGAGAACACTACCCGGCGATGTTTCAAAAGTTTGACGTTGTTGACAGCGACGAAACTGCTTTTTTGGTCATTGTCATCCATAAAGATATATTCGAAGAGGAAGAAGAGCGTTGACTCTATGTAGAACTATATGAGTTAATGCCCTTCTGGCATTTGACCAACGATACTCATTTGCCATATTTGAAAGCTAAGGAGTAAGAATTGGTTTTAGTTGAATATTTCAGAATAAAAATTGCCTTCTTGAGAATTTTCCATTTTGCATTTATCTTGTAACTTTTCATGCCTTATAGTTACGATTAGAATTATTTAAAGCTCTAAAATTAATTCTATTCTGTATAAAAAGTATGGACCATTTTTCTTCCATATATACTAGAATGTACGTAGCAACAAATGTATACTGTATATTAAAGAAAGCTTTGAAATGTAATCTACACATCCAAAATATTTTCATAATTGATTGGACCTCTGAACCATATCTCTTTTACTTAATTGTTTTTACTTTTTTCTTTTTTAGATTAGAACTTAAAATTAGGAATTGTATAAATTTCTTGCAAATACTTTGTAGCAAAATGTTGCTCTAGTGACCCAAACTTCCATTTACCCCTTTGGGAACAAACTAGGATGTTCAAAGATGGAATGCAAAACTCTCCCGCAAACAAGATAACAAATCTTCATGTCATTTCTCTAAATTTGGTGAAGGTTCAATCAAATGAAGATATTTACTAGCTTTACCTGAGTTCTCTTATAAATATGAGCAATTCTAATGGTATTTACCCCAACTCTGATCTTTTGGGAAAGAAGATGCCAAATGGAATTGTGCCATTACCTGCCTACAAAGTGAGATCACCCACAGTGATAGAGCATGTTCCTTGTTTGACTGGTTTTAGAAACATTGCTCCTGCCATTTATTGGCACAACTTTGAACCTTGGAAACACTTTCCACCCAGATTTATTACCATCCCTCAATCAACAAATGGTCTACGATATAGATGATGTATTGACAAGGGGACGATGGAATGAGGGATTCACATCTACCTCAAACTTCAACAAGATTTACTTCTTATTCCATCCATAACAGTTTTGATTATACAAATCGATTACAAATCATTCATCTTGAGTTTGATATTTGCAACATTTTGAATAACAACAGAGATTGTCATAATTTGAAGTAAACAAGGATCATAACTGTAAAAATATGATAGATATGGGGATGATAGGGATTGACATATTTATGTTTTATTGAGATGTACCGAGTATCATTCTCATCAAATGAAAAAACAATCAATGTAACCTTTAGTATGAAACATACTTGTTCCTCAACTTAATCCATCATATTTTATCTAGTTAGGCCTACTAAATACAAGGCCAGTATGAGCCTATGAGTTACTAGTGATATTGTTTAGTTTGTAGTAGTAGTAGTATCACTGTACATTGTACAACTTGGTTTAATCTGAACTTGAAACCACCCCTGTCTACCACACCCCCTCGCATCCAAGTCAAAATGTAGGTTTGGGAATTTGGCAATCCGCATTCAATTTCCTGCACCAGGCTGGGAACAATAAATCACTGGAATCTATTTGTGAACAGTTCTTTTCTTTTTTATTATTAGGAAATACCATGTAAAGAAAGTAATATTGCACCTTAATGAATGCAAATAAAACTAAGGAATAATATGGAATTATGTTGAGTCATGTAATCGACCCAAAGGTGAAGGGGAGTAGTTGTCATGGTTTCTAGACATCAATATTAAAATGAACATATGGCAAGGTTAACCATACAGTACTTCATGTCATATAGAGAAAAAAAAATCTTTTATTGGGTACAAATTATTTTAAAGAGAGATATGACAAACTATTTTCTCCTAAGTAATTCCTATGTTTGTTGATAATTGATGTTTACTGTTGTCATCATCTAATTTTGGGTGTTGTCTATTATGGTGGACAAAAGAAACATGCTACTGGACAACACTGAATACCTAAGAAATGACAGAAAGAGTATCGACGAAGAAAATGAAAGGATATAAAGAAAATGAAAAGATATACAGTAGACATTCACATTGCTTTATAGAAATAGAGGAAGTTACAAAGTTAGTATTTATATCATTATCAGTGGTTAAAAAAAAACTAAAAAATTGATATAAAGAGGAGAAGGGTCTGAAATTTGTCATACGATACCTTGTCATTTTGTATCATTCTAACTGTAATAAACTGATTTCAGAAGTCAATGTATTGTAAATTTTGTTCATTCTGCAGGGACACAGTGACACCATCTGCTGTGTGAGGTTTGACATAAGGAGATTGATCACTGGCTCCATGGATCGCACCATCAGAGTGTGGGATATCCGCAGTGGCAAAGGCATACGCAGGCTAACAGGACACAAGGTAAGATCATATTGCATGCATTTCAATACCAAGAAAGTTAAATCTTAATCATGGTCAGAATTTTGTTTTAAATCTAACTAACTATTAAAAATGAATTACAAATTGAATTAAAAACTTAACTAAGTTTTGATACATATGAATAAAGTCACATATATATATATATATATATTGCTGTTTATTGGACATGGAGCCGTGCGCATACACTGCGTTTGGAAGTTTAAACCATAGTTCAAGATTAACCTTTAAGAATTATGGACATTGCAAGCGGACAAGAACCGTGATTAGACATGATACTACCCATGATCATCGATCATTCCCTGAAAATAATCTGAATTTAAAGCAAACGGATTTATAGACATCAGGGCATGAAAAAAAGGTTCTTTCAGTAACCTTTATACAATTCAAAGAAAAAAAGTTTTGATACAATTGTGGATGTCCTAAAGTAATTGGTGGTCAATTCATTATTTTTTATTTTGTTTGGTTGATAAGGATGATATTTTTGATTTTTTTTCTTTTCTTCTTTCTTTTGAAGATCAATCAGATATACTCCTTACAATCAAATTCAATTAAATTACATTGCTGTAATTATATTCTGATTGTATTGAAACCATAGAATAAATCACTTTTAATACAAATGTATATTTACCAGGTTGTGTCTATCAGCGGCTCAGTGCAATGGTTGGCAATCATACCAATTTTGTTGTTGGAAAACAACTTGGAAATCTTCCAGAAAATGTCTCATTTGTTGATTTGTAACATTAACATAATATCCATCCAAGCAATTTGTGTAGACCAATAGAAACAATAGTCATCTTTGTTGAAATAAAAAAAGCCTTTTACGACTCTTTTAAAAGATGTACTTATTGTCATTTCCTACATGAAACTGTTTAGTTCCTCCAATAACCGATCTCCATCACCCTTCCAACAAAAATTGACCCTAATTTGTGGTCATGAGTAGTCCTAGAGACTTGATTCATAGGAAATTGAATCAGTTGTAAATTGATGTAATATAAAACCAAGCACCTGAGGTTATGTTATGTCATTTATCTAGACGTACCCGTACATATATATGCAAAATGATTTTATTCCCAATTTCCAAATGTGTGAAATTGAGCAAAACCACAAAACATGAATTTGTGATGACATACAGTATAGACTTGATGTCTACATTTTTGCTTGTGAAGCACTCCTTTTAGAGTATTGCTTTGAGGCCAATGATTTGATTTTTCACAAAACAATATGCAGAGAAATGTTCCGTCTTGAAAATGTCATTTATATTAGTACTGGTGTGCTGTGCTCAATTACGCAATTTGCTTTTGGTACAATACTTTTTCTTTAATTATCACTTAACATATATTTTTAAGGATAAGATATTTGCAAATTTATGTGTATGAATAATTTTGCAATACGGATAATCATGTCTTTTTTGTCAGGTTCAAAGTATTTAGTGTTGAATAAAACTACTTCTGCTCCAAAATGACACGCCAAATGGTTAAGTGGAACCTGAAAATAGATAATTGGTTTAGTTTGCTGATGGTCAGTCTTTTGATGGTTAAACTTGTATTTATAAATTAGGCTGTGGCATCTTCAAGTAGAAGCTTGATCCTCACTCTGACCATGGCCTCATTCAAGAAACAAAAACAAATGTGAAGAATCATGATGGGATGAAAGCTTTTAAAATGCAATCATTAGCCAGGGCATTATTTCATTATGACTCATACAATGACCTCATAGCCATGGCCCAAAGATGACCTCTGAACTTTAATAACTCATTTTGATGTCATTACAGTGATTACCTGGTAAAGCACATGATTTTATTGCTTAGCAAATGAAATATTACTTTAATCTACTTTGAAAGGGACTTTTTCTTCAAACAATGTAATCAGTTGATACTCTTGAAATGGTTGAGGGGACAATGAAGAATGAACTAATAAAACCTTCTCTTCAGTCATTTAATGATATGTAAAAGTGTTCTATTTGTAATCTTTAAGACAATATACATTCTTTAGGAAAGGGCAATAAAACACTTAAATTCCTAAAACCTTCATAATGTAGAAGTGAATTCTTTCAATAGTGTAAAGGGTGGGTAATATGATGGAGAGCTTGTAATTTAATGGACAGTTGAAGCACCAGCCCTTCTTTTTCTATTTGTTTGTTCTGCTTGATTTCAGGCAAGTTGCATGGTTGGATTTTTGTGTCCACTGTAATTTTGTAAAGCAAAGATTGAGCTGGGACTGTGTTATGTCAAGTTTCCCTGTAGTGAATAGATGGAATATATTTACCACATTTAACACAAATCACTAACAGATATTTGTAAGAGGATAAAACCAGTTAATATAGAAATACATAATAATTTTTGCCTCATCGATGCCTATTCTCAAGAAATTTGAAATGCAATTAAGTTTGTTTCATACAGTACCTAGCATTTTAAGCATTTTAATTTGACTCAAATTTTCCAAGAGAATTTTTATGTTCTGCAATAGAGAGGAAGAGGCAGTTACTTAAGGTCTGCACTAGGTCTTCATCAGTCAAGACTCTCTGATGTATGTAACTTCAGGAACACTTTCATTGAGTGTTGTAATCTCTAAAAAGCAATGTTGTTAATGCTAGCCGCCTGTGGTTATGTGTAGTAATATGGTCATTTCCTTCAGCCTGTCACAGAGCCGGCCAGAAGCTACGGACTAGATAGCCACCCTCGTGAGCTCAGTCGCCAGGATACTAGGCACGGTCAAGAAAGATAGCTGTATGCGAAGAGAATTAGGCCAATTAGGCCTGCTTGTAGCCCCTTTCCTATTCCCTTTCCCCTGTTTTGAGAACTCAATTAGGCAAGGAACAGTCCTTGCAAAAGAGAACTTACAGAAAGTTGACCCTCACATGGCTCTTGTAGATGTAGTGACGCATGACTTCAATTATGGCCTCTTAAAATTGGGATGTGCTAGAAATTGATATCCTCCTCCTCCTATATCTTCACATGAAAATGTTTTATTTTCTTTCACTCTACAGAGGGGGTCCAATGCAAATCATTTGAAAAATCTCATCCACTATGTTACAAGTTAACAATCATAGAATTCTCATAAGGAAAATGGGATGAGCCAGTTAACGTTCCTGGATTTCATATTTTGTTTTCAGAGTTACATTTAGGTCTATCATTTAAAATTTGCAATGAAATTCTTGTTTCAAAATAAGAGTTTCAAGTGCTTTTACCTTTTATATTTTCAAGTTTGAACATCATCACTAGGCCTCATAAATTATGATGTAATTAAAGGACAAAGTATTGTCCTATCCTTGTGGTATGTAAACTTTGTCCATTAATGATGAGAGACATACATGTGCATCAAACAAGTATAATACTCTGTAGATGTGAACACTAAATGCTTGGTAATTTATTTGTAGATTAATTCCAAACATGGCAGAAAAGAAAGTTTTGTCAATAACTGGAAGATGTAGAAGAGAATATAGTAGATTGTTGAAGAGTTTAAGATATCTCTTTCTCAATTATGTAAACTAAATTTGTAATAGCTTTAAGAAAAAATACAATCGTTAATGATGTATGAAAATTGGGACTAAATTCCAATTTAAGGTGATAATTTCCTATGATTAAGACTTTTCCTAGTTTTTATGAAGTGCATTGCCCAAGTAAAAAAGAGAACAACAAATTGCATACTTGTGATCCCCCCAAAATGTAGAAGAGTGCCCCCTTGTGTTGACTTGGAGTGCATTGTGATGCAATTTCAGCTGTTCCATCCAAGCACAGATAGAACCCCTCTATAGTCATTCAATACTTAACCCATCTGTTCTCATTCATTCATCCTATCTGCACTTTCTATGATACATTTCCTCCACCTGCAACAGACAGCGGCTCTTGCTTGCTACCTTTCCCCCCACCCAAAGTCTGAAAACGAAAGAAAGGGAAAAAAACCTGAATGACTAATGCAGTTGGCTGTACTGGGCATGGCATCGTAGAATTAGCAAGGAAATTGCTCTGGACACGCGGCAGCCACAGCACGCTGCTCTTCACCGCCATATGTATTATATTAATGGTTGTAGCTAGGACCGACCCCATCAGGCCCTTCTCCTTGTACTCTGTGACCCAGCTTCTGTAGCAACCATCAGACACGCAAACCCACAACCCTTTTTATTCCCCCTCGCTCTCCAACGTCTATTGCTCATCCAGTCTCAATGATCCAGACAATAGAGCAGTTGCCAACGTGAGTTTTACATGAGAGAAAACACAGGTACTTCACCTCAAGGAGTCTGCATGGTTGATGTAGGACAGCGCTTTAAGGCTAGGTTTGAAAAGAGCAAAAGCAACAATTTTGTTTTTAAACTGATATGTCAGAAATGCCTTGGACAAAAATCGATATGAGAAATGGGAAATGGTTTGGTTAAATTCCAATGATTATGATAAGCAAATGCAATTAGCAGCTATTTGAATTCAAGCAATTAATTCAAGCAATTAAAAAGCAGTTAATATGCCGGTAAATGTATGATTTATTCACCAAAGTAAAAATTCCAAGTCTACTTGCAAGTTTCCCATCGCTGTTTTTAAACACTATTTCAAAAGTCTTGAAGACTTTGGATTAATATAAAGAAATAAAATGTACCATGTTCCTTACATACAATTCTATTTAATTACTCTATATAAAATAAAAAGAGGCTTCCTTTTTATATTTGCACACATACATTTAGTGATTACTTTTACATTGTGTTTTTTTAGGATGTTATCACGATGATTGATTATTAGGATATCCCGTTTATGCAGCTTAATCAGCATTCCGTTTTTTTTTTTGGTTAACCAACGTTTCCTCAACCGATCAAAAGAAACTTGTTTAGATGCTTGCAATATGTTTTTCCCATCAAAAAAAATATTGTTTATGATGAAGGGAATTATAGAGATTATAAATGGCAGCCCTACAATGGACAAATTTGAGATTCTCCTGTGTGTAATAGAATGTGCGTGTATGCCACCACTCTGAGAAGTATCACCCCACTGAGGATTC